TGTAAATCTTTGCCAATTTCACAATTGAAAATAACAAAAACAACGTTATCTCTTTATCAAAGAGTTGGAGCGCTTATCAGGGCGGTGATTACCTGGAAACAATGCTCTGTCTGATTAATTTTTTTTTTTTTTACTTTTCTTTGTTCTTCTCTTCCTCATTGTGTTTAGTTTAGTATTTATTTAAAGGGACAATCCATTATGAATATTTTTGGATGTTGTTAAATCTTAATAGTCTACATTTTTGAAGTACTGAACAGCAATGGTTTTTAGTCGAGGAATTTGAGAAATTGTTTGTGCAAATATTCCAAAGTCTTCAGATTGGTTTTACTAGCATGGAACCAGCAAGTTATACAATATAAAAACCAGGACAATGTGTTGGAATAAGTTTGAGCAGCTTCCATTGTTAAGGAGTTCTTGAAACATTTGAATGTGTTGATGATGTACCTGAGACCTGAAGTGTTCAATTGAATGTTACACCCAGGTAATATTGTCCATTTCTTCCCTATTTACATTAACAGTATGTTTGGAATGAATGTGAAAATTAATTAACTGTGAGAGGCATAAATACAGGATATAGTGTTATTGATGCACTAGAGAGATATGACATAAGCCAGGTTTTTTTAAAGTCAACAGTAATGTGGGTTTGACTCACTGTATCAAATCCCTTGCGGATGTCTAGTTATATAAATACCGCTCCATTATCAAGATTTTGTTTTGTTTCATTTTGAATTGTCAACCTGCCATTTTCATTCACCAATTAATGTGAGTTGCTCAACAACCACCTTTTCTGTTTGTTTTGTTATAATAGGGAGAATACTAATTAGCCCCTCAATGTTGATATCTTCTTGTTTTTTTCTGCTTTATGAATCGGAATGAAGATGGCAGTTTTCAATGTCCATAAGCAATATAGTGATTATCTTGTTTTTTATTCCAAAAACAGGAGTTTATTAACTACAATGTTTCTATAATAATATTGAGTGTACCTGTCATAATTCGACACAAAGACAAGTTATCTAAATGTGACATGCCAATTTACTTTAATATTATAATACAATATAAAAACCAGGACAATGTGTTGGAATAAGTTTGAGCAGCTTCCATTGTTAAGGAGTTCTTGAAACATTTGAATGTGTTGATGATGTACCTGAGACCTGAAGTGTTCAATTGAATGTTACACCCAGGTAATATTGTCCATTTCTTCCCTATTTACATTAACAGTATGTTTGGAATGAATGTGAAAATTAATTAACTGTGAGAGGCATAAATACAGGATATAGTGTTATTGATGCACTAGAGAGATATGACTTAAGCCAGGTTTTTTTAAAGTCAACAGTAATGTGAGTTTGACTCACTGTATCAAATCCCTTGCGGATGTCTAGTTATATAAATACCGCTCCATTATCAAGATTTTGTTTTGTTTCATTTTGAATTGTCAACCTGCCATTTTCTTTCACCAATTAATGTGAGTTGCTCAACAACCACCTTTTCTGTTTGTTTTGTTATAATAGGGAGAATACTAATTAGCCCCTCAATGTTGATATCTTCTTGTTTTTTTCTGCTTTATGAATCGGAATGAAGATGGCAGTTTTCAATGTCCATAAGCAATATAGTGATTATCTTGTTTTTGGGTTTGGGATGTCAAACCATTATACAACTCATATCTAGACCGTGACCTTGAGTATCAATTAGATTTGGTCTACTATTTTGTAGTTAGTTCTAAACCAGTTGGGGCGGGTCACGGCTCAAAAGCGGCCATAATGACGTGCGCTGACATGCTTGCAATACCACCCTGGGCCATTCATTTGAATACGGCGCCATCTTGAATCGCCAGGGCTTGGTTTTTTGAGAGAGCCCAATTTTTGGCCCATTAGTTAGAACAATGGAGATAGACGTGACTACGTCCGTTAATATATATACAGTCTATGTTCTAAACCTAGTCCATTATGATTAAATGCCTTATTTGCATAGTTCCATTCCTGGCTGTAAGTGAATGTTAGGGTTGTTTAGTTTTTTTTATCAGAATCAGAATCATTTTTATTGTCACGTAAGTAACAGGAAGTTACAGACTTGGAAAATATTTCGGCTCAGTGCAACAGTCAGAAAGAGAGGTAAAGAGTAGAGAAGGCACAATAAAAAATAAAAAATAAAAAAAAATCAGCAACACAATTACTATATACAATATACAAGTGCACATGGTGCACACAATATAAGGTGACAGCAGTAAATAATATATAATAAAATAATATAATTTATAATATAATATAATAATAATATAATTAGGGGGAAAAATGGCAGATAAATTAGCAACCAATGTTGGCAATGATTCCAAAAATCCTATTCCTTAATAATGGAAATACAAGTGTGTCCGTCTGAAGTTCACAAAAATAGTGCCGGCATAGGCCAGAAAACTTCTGAAACACTATGTTATGGAAAGATAAGATTGCTGAGGAGCTGGTTGGATTCACTTTTGTTTGTTCCCAGAATTGCCCCATGCAGTGCAGCCAGTGCAAGACTGAGAAGGGATGAGTTTGAATTGTTTTGCGGCTTCATGGCGTGGAACCCTGCAGTCTTAGTCAACCATGGTCTTGAGTCTGGATTAGACAAGATTTTAATGGATCATGGAACACATTGATTTGTTTCTTTGTGTTTTTTAAAAGAAAAAAATGATTTCTGCACCTATGCTAACAAGCTTTGAAACTGCCAATCCAAAATCAAGAAAGTTATGCTTGAGCGTGAAAGAAGCGAGGTCTGCGTTCTAACTTTGTATTTGTTATTCAGAATCATCCATCCATCCATCCATTTTCTTCCGCTTTATCCGTTGCCGTATCGTGGGGGCAGCATTCTAAGTTGAGACACCCAGACTTCCCCAAAACATTAACTATTAACATATACAGCATGGGATCATTATGTCTAATTTGTAGTTCAAATAAAACATACAGGCTGAAGTAATCTAATTGCAGTGCATTATGCCATGGGAGGCTGCGCATGGCTAAAAACCAGTGCAGCCTCCAACAAAATTGAAAGGCTCATATTCAAAATGTTATTTCTCATGGCATTGTATGTTTATACAAATGATAAATACAAATGATGATAACGGCACCAGAGTGTGTGTATGAAGCATCTTATAAACTGGAGAGAGAGAAATTTTGTTGTAAGCTCAGATACTTCAGTGGATAACAGATCAATTGATTTGAGAATGTGTACATCAAATGTGAGGATACAATTTAGAAATAAAAAATAGCATGCATTCTTGTATTCTTGCTTTTGCCCTGAGTGGATGTTGTGAATGGTTGTTGTCTGTGTATGTTTGTGTCAGCCTGTGTGACTAACTGGCCTCTGTCCAGGATGAACCTCACCTCAGGCCCAAAGGAGCTGGGACAAGCTCCAGTCCTGTACATTTCCTGAAGGAAGCATGAGGTTACAGACCAATGAATCCTCTGTATTTGAGCTTCTTTTATGCAGCTTTCTAGGAGGCAGCAGCTGTTCACACATTGAGTCAAATCTAAGCTACACAGGCATCAGGTCCTTTCTGCTCCCTGTCAAATGCAAGCCCAATATTCACCGGCATCTTATCACTGTTGTGGTGCCCCCAAAAAATGATGCCTCCCTTGATGTTTACAGGAAATTAGAGTGCAAGCCATTCGTGTCATACCTTTCAGCAAGTGTCTGTCTGGACAGATATTTTCATCAGTCTCCCGAGCCCTTTGTCACTGGCTATGTTTCTGTGCAGCCTCCCATGGCATTTCATTTTCACATAAAATGTAATACTTTTTTCTGTAAGGGACAAGCGTCAGGGGCTAAAGTCATTGTGCTATGCTGAAGGGAGGTTAAAATACTTGGATCTGAGAAGAAAATGCCAGATGGAAGAGTTTTACTTTTACGCTTTTTATATTTAGTATTGGGTATATTTTGGATGATTGTTTTTGCAAACTCACTTGAAATTATTCCAAAAACAGGAGTTTATTAACTACAATGTTTCTATAATAATATTGAGTGTACCTGTCATAATTCGACACAAAGACAAGTTATCTAAATGTGACATGCCAATTTACTTTAATATTATAATACTTGTGCTTTGAATAAAAGTGCTGCCTTATTTGTTTCTGGTAAGATCTGCTCAGACTGTAATGGACGATATGTAATGTGCTTACAACTCCTCTTACTACATGTTACTAGTTATAATTAATCTCACCTCTAGTTAATTCTTACATCTATACACATGTGCAGGATTGCTGTAAACCTGCTGCGGCTGCCTTTAAACAAGTGTAAATGGATACTTTAGTGAAACAATGAGCATGTGTTTATTGAAAGTAATGTCCTGTCAGTGTCATTTGTCTACAGCAGCGAGTACATTACCTGAAATATTGCCAATTTTACAAAAGACACTATTGTGCTTGTTTATGGACATATCCAGTTTGCTGCTACATACCAGATTAAGCCTGTACAGGAGTTGTTACAGCATTTTTGTTTTGTTTACCATTAGCTTTTTCATTTCATTTAAATAGTTGTTAAGAGAATGTACCAAAAAATGTCCACGTTGCTAATACAATTGATAGATACTTCTTCTTTGAGAATTCTGCTTTAACTCAATGGTAGTAAAAAAAATACTTAAATTGTAAGGCACAAACTGAAAGGTAGAAGTAGGACATAGGAGATAGAGATACAGTGAAGTGATTTTCATAAGGGCTGATTTGTCTTTCAGTGTGTTGTGTTGCTTCAGAAAACGTATGCACACAGTTCCAGCTTGATATAGTAATAATTTATATGTTGAGCATTCCTAATTTTGAAGATAAACTGATGCTTATGAAGTATGATGCTGCTACAATATAACAATTCACTCCAATACAAGATAATAGTAACTATATATAATACAAATGTACGACTAATATTAAAGTCACTTTTGGTCTTGTCTATTGAGTGGCGTGAATTTGCATAATATGTTAAATAAAGTGTACCAACTGCATATCCTTTCTAACTGTGTAGCCTTTCTCTGCCCACAGCACTCTACTCCATCATACTGTTTTGTGTCTTCCTATGGATTCCCTTCGTCTACTTCTACTATGAGGAAAGAGATGACGACAACATCAACAAATGCTCCGTAAGGAATCACTTTAAATTTAAAAGAGCCCCACCAAAATATCAAGAAAAACAATTTGGTGACAGCTTTGAAAATGCTTGATAGATGACAAGTGATGTTGAAAATGCAAGTCGTAGTGCTCTCTCTCCCCCATATTTCAAAATTGAGCTGACAGGGGCACTTTCTCACCAACGACACAGCCTTCTTTTGTATTGTTACTTTAAAAGCACCTTGAATAGCAGCAAGACTGACACGTTATCCCCGCTAGGTCAACCTGGATCTACAGTGCCTCCATAAAGCTCTCACTCTACTGTCCTCAGCTAAATGGACTGCAACCCCACCACCTCCTTTTCCATTACTTTTCTCACCACAATGAATAATATATTTCCCTTCATTTTTTGAATGACCTTTTATAATTTCCCTCTTTTTGTGTGTTACAGCAAGTAAAAAATGCACTGAAATATACAATTGGATTTGCCATTGTCTGCATAGCACTCCTTTTAATTGGGTAAGTTGAAAGCATGGCTGACTTCTTCTATGACACTTAAGGTGGAAGTTGCCGTCGAGTAATGAGAGAAGGACCCACAAAGGTGGCTTCAGCTAGACTTGTCAGACTTTTAGCTATTTAATACTATGTCTTTAATTATTTTCATCGCTGATTCTAAAGTTGTGGTGCAGTCTGGTTGTCATAATACCTACTAAACCCCTTTTCTACCTGCTCGACTTGGCCCTACTCTACTCTACTCAGCTCTACTGTACCCCAATTGCGGTACAGTTTAAGCGGTAACCAGTACTTGCTTGCTGGTTCTCTCCAGGCCGAGCTGGTACCGAAGTGTTCGAACTGAGATTGGTCAGAGTGCTGCTGGAAATCATGGTTACTAAGGATATGGTACCTGGTTGCGTTTTTGATGCAAAAGAGTAATGGAAACGCAACCAGGTAGAGTAGAGAAGAATAGGGCAAAGTAGCGCTTGTGGAAACGGGGCTTTACTTGATCCCTGTTAACGTCTATAGAAAATGCACAGGTCAACAGAGAGCACAGCACAAACTTCTATCACATCCAGTTAAAAAAGTCATAGTCATAGTGAGATCTGTTAATAATTTCAAATTATATTAATTCCTCAATATAATATAACTAACACTGTGGATGCACGCACAAGTACAAGTTTGGCGGTGGGTCGCGTGGCTGGAGGTGTTGATTGGTAGTGTTATGACGAGGAGAGAGGCTGGACCTGATATTGAAGCTCCAGTCGTCTGCTGGAGCAGGCCTCCTGTTATCGGCTGTGAACAGGTAGTCCACCAATTGGCAGGAATGTTATTGATATGGGATATAATGTGTATGTTTGGGAGCATGGAGTAGGTATTACGATCCTTTTCATTGAAAAAAATAATTTTAATTGAATTAGTGTCCCCTGCTAAAAGTGAAAAAAGTGTTCTATGTTGAGAAAAAAAGTTCTGGCAGTTCAATGTCTTGTGGCTTTATTTTGGATTAGATCTGATTTGATATTTTTCATTTCATTCCCTTTATCTTCCCCAACACAATAGATTTCCTTTGTGGAGTTGATAGCTACATTTCTTTGGCTTAACCTATAACAACTCAACAGTGCCCCAGTTGAAAGGTGCCCTAGAAGGACACACATATTGACTGTTTGGAGTTTTTATAGACAGAAGCAATTTCCTTCCATTTTACCTCATGAAGTGAGTCGGTTGGTGCTTTGTTCTGGGAATCGTTCCTTTGTTCTTTGATTTCCAACAACAAGATGGCTTTTATCGGCAACTGGTTTTCTAATGCTCTGAGACATAATAGTTTTGTTTGGTGAACTCTGTGGGTTCTAGTTTGATGTTACAAGCCTGTGTGTGCTCTTTATACTTGGCAGGTGAACTACTACTTTAATGGACACTGAACTTAGATTGTCGTACAGAGGGTCTGTGAGCCTTTTTCCAAGGCGAGCAGTACTTTTTAAACTAAAATAAAATATAACATGTACACATGAGAAATTCACAGTATCTTTTCTGCATTTAAGTATGATTTAGGTTTTAGTGCAGAGTACTCATTAACATTGATTTCATTTTTTCAGAGCCTTTGTTCCTCTGCAACCTCCACAGCAGAATGGCACCCAATGGGATAAAGTACAGTACCTGTTTGAGGAACTTGGAAGTAGCCGTAAGTTGTTTTATTTGGAGATAGATTTTTCTTTCTGTTGATTTATGCCCTAATATGAAGAGACTGTATAAGGCACATAGTCCTGTTTTTTTTTTTATGCTAATAAAGGATTATGGCCAAATATGGGCCCCCTTACATTTCTCTGGCCTTTTGCCATGTGAGGATCAAGGAGGAAGTTGAACCATCTGGCTCACCACCACAGACCTTTACAATCTCTCTGCCACCTTTTCCCAAAGCCCATGGCGAGGGCCACGCTGCTAAGAAGGAAGCATGCACCTCATGCCTTCTCCCTCCCATCTCAGTCCAGATGGGAGGTTAATTGCATAAAGGGAGCTGCACTTTTGGGGCAAAAGCCAACTGACTGCTCTGTTAAAATTGTTATTTAAAGCCACTATATCTTTAATAGATTGACCATTGCATTTGCTTCTGGGTAAAGACAATATCTGAATGCTTTCACATCTTTAACTCCGAATGCAGCTTTTATAATTATGTATGGCAAATATGGCACTTAAAAGAAGTGTAACACAGGTTAAAAACATATATGTGAGGTTTGCTAAATAAATGATTTCATACAGTTGCTGTTGGTTGTTTTGATGTTGCATTGCACAAAATCACAAAGAAGCAGACTGTGATGATTAAATATTTAGAGAGTGTATTTTACAGTGTCCTGTGCTAACCCTATGGTGATGTTGTCGTTCCACAGCAACCAGCTACTATAACAAACAGATCTCTTTAAAAAACACATCTCAGTAAAAGGGTTGTGAATGCACACACGCCTGAAGGGTTGCATGTAGCTAAGATAAGAGTGTTCTTATGCCTCAGATAGAATTGCAGCAATGCTCATGTGGCCGCGCTGCTTATAATACTATATACCCTGTTTATTCCTGGAAAATTATCCCTGAAATGCAACATGCGTATCGTGGATAATCAAGATATTATTTTGCCTGCTAAATTATCAGGTTGAGACAGTACTTATTGAACACACCTCTCTGGATTGTAATTCACAATTGTCACTCAGTCCCACTCACAAAAACTTTCATCCTAAACTATTGTACATGTGGTAAGGGCAACCGGAATTTCCAGAGGAAACTTACACATACACAGAGAGCACACTCAAACTCCACGTACATTTAAATTAAGATTTTGAATGTAGAATTTGGAGAAATACTGGTAGACTTACACTATGTTCAACACATTCATAAAGCCTCTTAACATTCACACAAATCTTTAATACTTTTTCCAAAATATTTTACCAAATGCTCTTTCATCATATATTAATTAAACATTATTCAAGCAATAACTTGATATTCTCAATCAAACGGTGCTGTCAAGGATGAAGGAGAAAGGTATGAAATGGACAGGTGGGCTGAGTGCAGTGAAGAGGCTGCAGGGAGGATGACATTGTGGCGTATTCCTGAAGGGGGCGACTTTTGCACAGAGCTCCATGACAGGTGGGAATGTGACGGGAGGACGCCCATCAGTCTCTTCATCAATCGCTGTCTTCTGACAGCTGTCGTGACAGCCTTGGGTGCTCTCGCCTTATGGGTGGTCCATCCACGTTCTACCTCAATCATTAACAACGTGCATCAGTTTACTGTATACAGTGGGACAAAAAACTGTGAAACCTATTTTTTTGTGGTTACTTCAAATGTTTTTCAGGGTGTGTTCAGACCTGGAAGACTTGGTTCACTTCAGACTAGTTAATGGTTAACCAACTTACTGCCAACATTGCTCAGAAAATATTTTGACATAAGGTGGATCCCCAAAACTTAGTGGAGACAGAGGACTACTAAAATCAGTAAGATTAAAAAAAAAAAAAAAATGTAAGAAGAATATGCAAGATAAACAAAGTGAAACTTTAGGTTTAAGATTGCCGTCTTTATTTCTTTATGGGAATAGCATAGTGGGTTGTAGATTTGTAGATTTTGTGCCAAACTGGTTGCACACCAGGGGCAGTAGTCATGTCTTTGTCTTGTGTCTCTAATGTCCCTAATCCCTCCCCTGCCTCTCACCTGCAGATGGGCTTCCTGCGCTGTCGTTCTCCATCAGCTCCTTGACCTTGATCGGCATGTTGGCCGTCATCACTTACACAGTGAGTTGGAACGCGCACTGACTTAATGTGAACTTGTGTCTCGAGTGTTGCCACGTTGCACGGTCATTAAGAAGACTGATTTGTAAATTATTCACTGGGGTGGTGTCCTAATATACCCTGCCAGTTTTGTGTAATAGTGTGGATTCTGTAGGTCAAATCCAGAATTGAACTTTCCAATATTATTAATGAGAGTGATTTTATAAAAAATTGTCATTGAGTATTAATGATTAATATATTTACTTTACAATTTTTTCTTACGATCTTATAAACAATTGCAGTTATACCATCTATTTGCTTTTAACACCTCCCACCAGTTTGATGATCAATTCCTAACTGATGTCTGCAGTGCCAAGCTCTTGCTTGAGAACAAACCTATGAATCCACCCTTGTCCTGTTTTAATGACCTCTTGAACAGAGCGATTACACTGGAGGAGGTGCGGATAGTCATTGATAAAACTAAACCACACAAGGCAGTGGGTGTGGATGATCTGTCCAACGAGGTTCTCAAAAGCCCAAAGTTGTTAAATGTTTTGCATTGTTTATTCAAATATTGTTTCCAGAATTGGGTTATACCATCAATTTGGTATAAATCTATCATCAAGCCTATTCCAAAATCATCTCAAGCTGACCCCAGAGTCCCTCTGAACTATAGAGGCATAAGTTTATTAAGTACAGTTTACAAGGTGTTTTCTGCCATCCTGAATAACCGGCTCTGTGAATTTTTAGAAGTGAATGAAATTTTGGTGGATGAGCAGAATGGATTCAGGAAGAAACGAGCATGTATTGACCACATTTATGCTCTATCCTCGGTAGTGAGAGCTAGACTTCAAGAAGGCAAGGATACCTTTGTGTGTTTTGTTGATTTTAAAAAAAGCCTTTGATTGGATAAATCGAGATCTGTTGGAATTTAAGTTACTTAAGTGTGGTATTAATGGGGATTTCTATGAGTGTGTTAAAGCCCTGTACAAGGCTCCAGTAGCTTGTGTACAAGTGAATGACCTGAGGACTGGTTGGTTTCCTACTCCCTTTGGTGTGAAACAAGGAGACGCTCTCTCTCCAACATTATTTGCTCTTTATGTTAATGATTTGGCACATGAGGTAAAGAGAGCAAATTTGGGAATTGCTATTGATGACTTTAACCTCAGCATTTTATTATATGCTGATGATATTGTCTTGATAGCAGAGGAAGAAAAACAAAACTGCAAAAAATGTTGGATATTATGAATGTGTGGTGTTCCAAATGGAGATTAACTATTAATTGTGAAAAAACTCAAATAGTTCATTTTAGAAAACCGTCTGTATCACGAAGTGACTATGAATTTTCTTTTGGTCAAACAAGGTTGATGTATTCTGTTACCTATAAGTATCTTGGCTTTGGTTTTCATGAGAACATGAGTTTTTCGGAGGGTAGAAAGATACTAGCAGAGTCTGCAGGGAGGGCCTTAGGCGCTGTTATTAATAAGATGAAGATCTTTCCTGATTTAAGTTTTACTATTTATACACAACTGTTCGATTCAATGGTGGGATCTATACTCTTTTATAGTGCAGGCGTCTGGGGCTTTGGAGAGGCTCCAGAGTGTAATAATATACAAGGCAGGGCCATGAGATATTTCCTAGGAGTTCATAGGTTTACCCCCAGAGCGGCGATAGAGGGTGATATGGGTTGGGAACCATGTGTAGTCAAACAGAAGGTAGAGATGATCAGATTGTGGAACCGCCTTGTTCAGCTACCAGAGGACAGAATTACAAGGAAGATTTTTAATTGGGACAAAAGCCACAGACACCCTTGGTCCAGAGAGGTGTTCCAGATATTGTCAGAAGTTGAATTGGATTACTTATTTCAAAATAATCTACAGTGTAAATTGACAACTCTAAGGCAAATGCTAAATGATATTTATGAGGAAGAATGGAACGTGAAAGTTTTGCAAAAAACCAAGCTCAGAACTTACGTCCAGTTTAAGAGTTGTTTTGCTACAGAAAAATATGTAAAATGTAATCTGAGAAAAGGGCAGAGGTCTCTGTGTGCTCAGCTCAGAGCAGGAGTGCTGCCCCTGGAGGTAGAGGTGGGGCGTTACAAGGGGGTTCCACAAGATGGTAGACTGTGTGCTCTGTGTGAGCTGGGAGTAGTGGAGGATGAATTTCACTTTTTGTTTTACTGTCCTTTGTACAATGCATTGAGAATGGTTTTATTCACAAATATTCAATGTAAAAATCCTGATTTGTTTTGGCTTTCTGATGGTGATAGATTGTGTTGGATATTTGAAAATGATTTTTTTACAGTAGCAAATTTTGTAGAAAAGGCTTGGACATTGAGACAAAGGACTTTATATCCAGAGAGAGAGTAACTGCATCTGTATGTTTTGTGGCTTTATCTTCCTTTCTGTTGATAGTGTCATATAAGCCCATGAGGGCTGGGCACATACTGTATGTGTACGACACTTAAATAAAAAATATTCATTCATTCATATACCAATTCATTATCTCTTTGAGACTGACCAGACCTGTGTATTATAATACATTTTTTGAATACAGCTATATGAGCCACTGAGAGAGTTATTCATTATGAGTCATGCTTTATGAGACGAGAGCTATCAGTTGATAGATCTGCCCTCGATCCATTTACATGCCTATATTTTGATTTTCTCAGAATTGGGTTGTTTGTCATCTTTTTTTCGATCGGTTGAATCGACTGTCTGTTAATGCTGTCCATTTTTCATGGCTGTTATCTTGGTAACTCTGCTCTAAATTCCCCTCCCCCCAATCGTGTGTTGCTGTTGTATTAAACATGCAAAACGAAAGAACAAGACACAGCCAACATGTTTGCCATCACTGATGAGTTCAATTTAGATATATCTATATGTTTTGTTTACTTTTTGAGGGATGGGTACAAAATATTGGGACAGTTTAAAGTGCAACCATACTACACATACTGCCAATTTGTAAACAAACAGTGAAATATTTATTTTCCCTTTTGAAATGGACCTTACTGTAAATTTTACGGATGGATTGTCTCACAGTACATGGTGTGAAAGTTGGCATTGCAGTGGTCATCGTACAAGATGCGTAATGCCTCAGTTTTACAATGCCAAAAGAGAACACAAACCGTATGCATCAGTGTGTTGCAGTTTGCGTATGATGACCATGTGATTTCTCCTGGTGTCAATGTGTTTTAATTTCAGGTGATTCAGTTATGGAGTGTGAGTAACAGCTTCCTCAAGTAACATGAATACATGTGACTGGTGAAAATCTATTACCACTTTTAGTGTGCGATCACTTGCACAACCTGTAATGTACATGTGTGTATGACACATAATAGGGTTTAACAATAGGTCTTACAGAAAATCCTGCTCTGGCAATGTAAGGTTGAACTTTAAAACCCCTTAATGCTATTATTTGGCTGTCTTTGTTTGCAGCAGTAAACATGAGCTCCACTGAGGCTTGGGCTTTAGCTACATTTCAAAGCTCAGCATGCATTTTCGCCTTTTCCCCTTTGCTCTTAAACATCCTCCCTAAGATGCTGATGCTGAGTGTGGAAGATGAATGTCTGTCGATGTTATCATATTTGAGATGGACCTGGGAAATGGGTTCTCTCAGACAACCTCACTTGACAAAGTGTTTGGTTTTGGATCTCTAAACTTTAATTAGGTATACCTGTATGTGTTCATTATATTTGATCATGATGACCCACCTTGAACATAGATCCGAGTTTTGAAATGCATCAGACTTTTCTCTGCCCACGAGCAGACAGACAGAAGTGAAGTTACTCATCTGAACCATCTGCCCCTCCGACCACCATCAATGATTGGTGCGATAATAATATTCACTTTGTGCAAACCATGTTTTAAATACAAAAAAACACAAATATTTATTTTTAGCTACAGTTTGCAAATAAAATAGCTTTAAGTGGTGTGTTAAAAACATGAGAGTGCTTCCTCCTCCCTTTTGGCTCCCCTATCAGCAGCCGCCGCAGTAACACAGAGGGCCCTGTCTGCCCTGTGTCCACTCTGTAGTCACATGACTTCCTATTTGTCAGGCAGGACAGCAGGATCTGTAACAAATCTTTTTGTAGGTACTATTATAGTGTATCTGTGGACTTTTAATAACATTATCGAGCATATATGATAATGGGGAAGTGGTGGTATTTTTACAAAGAGACACCTGTGTTTCCTGCTAGGGCATGTATTTATCCCATGCCCTTGCACATTTGTGGGGGAGGGAAATGTTTCTCTGGGGATCTGGGACAGGTTTTCCTTTTATGAGTGTGTTTGATATTCGGGACATGCTCGAGCCTTAAGAGCTCCATGATTCATTGCAGAAGGCGACATTCGCCTGTAGCAAAGATCCACAGCAGAGACTAATAATAGTCGAGCCTGTCTCTGTATCCCCAGCGACTTGCCTAATGCTATCTAACACTCAGGAACTAGTAAAAAGTTGTCTCCGAAAAAAATATAAAATATAGGATTTGATATTTCTCGACTTTTTAAAGGGAGGGCACAATATTTTGATCCTTGACTCCTTTCTATTGTTGTTTTTAAATCTATCATTTGGTTATTAAAAGCTGGATTCTATGGGTTTTATTATTTTCACTATTTTGTGAATACATTGATTTCCAAGATAATGATCTAGATGACATTTTTCTGATTAATACATCATATATTTTAAGATTGTATTATTTGTCATTTGAACTATAATCTAATAGTACATAGCTGAAAGAGCCCTTCACTGATAAGATCCCATTCACATTGACGGGTGTTTGATGCAAGCCTCCCTCCGATTTCCTCTTTTCTCAAACAAAACTAAAACGCATCTTAAAATGAATCAAATCTTGGATCAAGGATAGTGCTGTCACATGGGGGCACTGTTAAGCTGTAAATTGCATCAGGCTGATACATTGATATTCTCTCAAAATGGTTGCAGCAAAAAAGTAAGATATTCAAATCACTTGTGGGAAAAATTATAGATCTAATTATTTATGTTTAAAATGGTCTTATTCAACATTGTCATCATGGGTTTGTCATTAGGCATTGAAGAGGAATGAGTGGCTGAGCTGAGGTCTTCTGATGCTGTATAACATTAATGCATTATTTTAATTGTGCTGTTCCAGGCTTATGGCATGTCGGTTCTGCCTTTGAATCTGATAAAGGGAACACGCAGTGTAGCATATGAGCGTCTGGAGAACACTGAGGACATGGATGATGTGGAGCAGCAGATAGATATCCTCAAATCCAAGGTATGCAACAGAAACAGACATTTTACATTTCAATATAATCATTTCATTCGCAACTCTAGTCATGCATTTTACTGTACTTGAGCATAATCTCCACGTGTTCCCGCTCTCCTAATCTTTTTTCCTGGTCCAGTGCAGTTTGCATGCAAATATAGAAGACTCCTGGAATAAAACATACATAATTGTGGCTATTAGGCTATAGTTGGAACTTGCCTGTAACCCTCAATTCAACTTAATGAGTAGAACATTAGTCATTCTACCGCTGTACTGTTTGGGGACTTCTCCACAAGGGCAATTTACATCTACAGTAAATGTGTATTCGGGTTATTTGTCATGCTTTTTACAGTGTAAAGATGGTCGTCCCTTGTCCTCTCGAGACAGACGGAGCCTTCATGAGCTGGAGGGGAAACTGCAAGTCCTTCGACGCAGGAACAGACACCTGGAAATTGCAGAGAGAAACTGCTGCTCTAAAGTGGGCAGTGCTCTCAGACCTTTCAAGGTGAGTGTCCATGAACTGATGGCTTCTCTCTTGGTCATATGTGAATTTCATAAAAAGTTTCAACTGAAAAACTATTTGAAACATTCATAATGAATTTCAGATCTGCTCTAGATTCACGTAGTTCCTCTGTAGTTATGTGCATATTTGCATAAATCCCATGGGTAGTCTGCACCTAATTTACTCTCAAGTCTCTCAGGGAATTCTGCATATCTCAGGTAAGATCGACCAACTTTTATGCTCTGATGACACTGGTAAGAGGCATCTGCATTTTTGTGTCATCCACCAATATAAATCTATATGCTTTTGTCCACTGCAACCCTGTCAAATGGTGTGCCATTCTGGAATACTTGTGGGAAAAGCTGCAGTTTTGTTTGGACCTGTGTCAACTTTTTATTCTTATTGCCTTTTTAATGCTTGGCGGGACATTTTAGTGAAATTATGCATTTTATCTGTAATTATTAAGCATGTTTTACATATTAGAATGTAAAGAAATGCCATTGGGTTTGTGGTAAATAATGGTATTGAAGAAGATGACAAAGTCTGGGATCGTGTCTTAAATTCCGACAGAAGACATGTTTTATTGTCGATGGTAGAGACAGCACGAACAACACAAACAACAGAATGCAAGTGTATTATACAGAGCAGAGGCATGGAGACCTCCAATCAGCAGCTTCCACGGTGCCAGCAGAGATAGTCAAAACATGAAGTGGAAAAGTACAGGCTTCTGCACATTGGTAGAATGATGAGTTTAACCTTAACAAAAGTTGCTTAAAAGTGTTATGAAATCTCACAGTATGTCAACAGAAGGGTACTTTATCATTTTATTATGTCTTTTTTTATCCTGGAATAAAACCCCACACTTGTAGCACTCTATGTAATAATTTTTCTTTTACTTAGAAGATTGAAGTAGAAAATGAATATGTTATTTATAAGATATTCTGCATCTCACACAGCAAGGTTACAAATCCAGCTGCTTGTTCAGACCATATCTCTGATAAGGGCAATGTGAGTTTCACATCATTCTCCTAATTTCCTTACAGTTTATGTTGCCACAGCTATTCAAATTCCAGTATTTTACCACGCTGCAGGAATGCCCAAACATTATAAACTGCTGTCTGTCACAGTTGGACTTTAACCAAGGGGGTTGCTGCTATTACAGCCCCCAGACTCAAATATGAGCTGTAATGAGTTAGGAGATGTATTGACCGTATAGTCTGTCATCAGTGTGGAGTAATAAGCCAAATTATTGTGTTTTTTCCTGAGACACTATTACAGAAACACTATTAAACACCTGACAGTTTATCATATGCTTTGTCATATGCTTTCCATTTTTGCTGCCACGTTCCCTGGTGTAGCCTCTCTGAGTATCTGTCCCTTTTTATCACCTTATGCCCTGGCAATAATGTGATGCCATATGGTCCATCCTTGATGAAAGACAGGATCTCGACTGTTTATGGTTTTCATTTTTGATCTGTGTACTGGGTGGCATCTCTGGCTTGGATTGTTGATATACTGTACATGTGTGTCTGTTTGTACTTCTGTTAGTTGACTTTTAGGAAACAGAATTTTCACAGACCCATTTTTGCCTTCAGATTGTACTGGGGATTTTCTTCATCCTGGTGGCACTACTGTTTGTTGTTGCTTTATTAATTTCAAAGTAAGCATAAATTACTATCACTCTCATGTTATACTATTCAATTTTAGAATGTATATGTATTTGTAATACTTGTATTTATGTGGTAGTTTGGATAAAGCTCTCCACTCAGCAGGCATCAGCTCTGGGTTTGTAGTCTTTGGCACAAATCTCACCAACCCCCTGAACGAACTTCTATTGGTCTTGCAGCCGGTGAGTACTGTTCCATCTTTCCTCAGTCAGTAAGCAGCCTTCCAGTACTTAAGTTCAGGAACCTTGTGGCATTCATACCATATAGAGAATCTGGCAAACAATTTAAACGTGCATATATTGTGCTTTACATAGGAGATACAGTAGATAGATAGATAGAACTCAGGTGTCCAGTAGCAGCAGAAACCCATCCATCCACTCAAACAAAACAAATAAATATTTCTAAAAGTAGCGAACAATAGTATTAAAATGTAACAGCACCTTAAGTTGCAGCAGTGACACTATGAGGACTGTTGCATTTTCAAGCTCACCAAGTCTACAATGGGCATGTTCACGTGTGTGTGGGGGGTCGTCTCAAGTGAACCAGAATGGGTCTCGTTAAAGTAAACCAGACCAATAAGTGTGACCATGCACCAAGGGCAGCATGCTTGAAGTTGTTTTGTTTTTTTGTTACTTAATTGTATTATGGATAACTAATTATATTTATTGGTTCATTTGGTTGGTATCATGCAAGTTTAAATGACATACAGTACATGACCAAGCATGGTTGCTACAGTACATAGCACATTATTGATATTTCCTGTTGTCCCATGGATCACAACAGGTTACATGGTATTGCATAAAAAGCACTAGAACAAAGTTACAAGCCATATAGCTCAGTTAATTTGACTTTGCAAAAATGCTTAGCTGCATGGAAATTGGGAAATTTGTCGGCTCACATTGCATAGCATTTATAAAAGATGATCATTAACAGTTTTGAGCATCCCAAAGGAGGTAGCCAAACCAAATGTTTGGCAGATAACAGGATATAAACACCAAACTGACTCTTGTCTCTTAAATTACAGGTTTTCCCATTAGATTACATCCTGATCACTGTTATAACCATGTACTTCGTGTTCACTTCAATGGCTGGTATTCGCAACATGGGCATTTGGTTCTTCTGGATAAGGGTAAGCAGCTTGCACGCACAAATCTGCTTATCAGTTCAAGCATCTTCCTTTTCTCTTTTTGCAGCTTTACAAAATCAGACCAAAGCGCACTCGACCTCAGGCTCTGCTCTTCCTCTGTATGATCCTCCTATTGATCGTTCTACATACCAGCTACATGATCTACAGCCTCGCCCCTCAGTATGTCATGTATGGGAGCCAGAAGTATCTTGTACTTGTAAGTAACATGCATTCTTGTTCTAAAGTTGTTGAAAATGATCTCAATATATTTCCATAACTCATGATGACCCTCGATTCAATCTCTAACCCTGATGAATTATTAAGCAGTACTTGGTTCTTTACCCGTCTTATTAGAAGACAATGGACAATGGATCTCTAAATGTGATACATTGCAAATTGCTCCTTAGAAAGCCTGATTACTCACATATTGCATTTTAACTCTTTTTGTTTTGCTGTTGTGCTCCTGTGTTTTTTTTTCTCAGCTGCCCTCTGTGAATAATGCTACCTTCAGCGCTACAAGAAGCTGTGATGCTGATGCGCCTGAGGGTAAGTCTGTCACAGAGCACAGTGAGATCTCACTGGCCCAATGGTGAAAGATGTTGCTACACAAAACATTCAGGATTTTTACCAATTCTTCTTCTGCAGAAGAGCCATAAGACTTTTTCTTTTCTTTTTCTCTTTTTTGCATTCTTTCTGGATTAGATTCCATTTGAGAGATATATTTGCGAGAAACTCTAAGCTTTGCCTCCAACTAAACAATTATAAATAAAACAATCAACTCTCAAAACCAGTATAATGCTAGCTTTATAACAATACTTTATTGTAATATTATTAACTTTCTTTTACAATCTGAAACTATTCAAAATACTTACTAGCAAGAGTCAACACTGAAGTCCCTGTACCCCTGTTTTCGAAACACTGATCTAGCAGGTCTACAGTGTTAGAAACTTGGAGGAATTTTTTTAAGTTTTTTGCATGACTGTATGATAACAGTTTATTATTCAATTGAGGATAAATGATCAAGGACAAACCTTTGCTGGTGCCATTATGTGGCGACTTGCCGTCTCCATGCCAACCTTTATAACACCAAAGCTCTGAAGTGCGAAGTTCAGTACATCGTCTTTCAAGTTGGCGACTCAAGCTACATTTAAGATATTGTAGCTATAAAACCAACTCAATGCATACTTATTATATGTTGTGTGTATTTTTAACTGATTAACTTGTTATATATTTCAAGTATTTAAATTACATCACCTTAATCTTCTCCATCAATGTACTTTATGTGTAATTAACTTCTCAGACAATGCTGTGTGAGCCAAAGACCTGACACAATTTAAATACCCTTTAGAGTTGGTTTGGCACAAACATTTAGAACTTAAACAGGTTTAAATTCACTAGTTTGGATGGCCAAGTAGGTAGTACATAGGAAGCTCATGTAACTGTAAAATTAGAAAATAAATAAATGCCAATCTTTGAAAGACCGGTGAGAATTGCTCTTTTAAAGCAGCCCTTTACTTTGACCATATCACATATAAGAACATTTTTCTGCTCAGGCAACTTGAACTCTAGCCTCTCAAATATTTCTCAAGCTTGGGTTTAAAACGTGTTCCATCACTCGAGTTGAAAGTTCCTTAAATAGAGAATTTTATTAATGAACCAAGCTTAAATAATTAATGAATCCACTGAGCCCAGTTTCAACCTTAGAAATTCTTAGGGTTACACAAGCAGTCTCTGTCAAATCCTCACTCAGCATCGACCTCACAGTACATGTTCTGGGAGGGGCTTTGATCATGTTGCACAGCCTAAGTTGAACGCTGGTGTATTAACATCTTGTAACATCTGCCCGTGTCTGAGGAGCTATCATACTGGTCTTACATGTTCACGCATAAAGAATCATTCTCTACTTATAATTTATTCTTTGGCTGACAATTTTACAATCGTTAAAGACCTCAACACATTCTGTCGGAATTCTTCTGAGACATCGACAGCGCTGATATTATTTCAGGGTTTGTGTCTCGCGTCAAATATGTATCTGTCTTTGTGGCAATTTGCTCGTCACAGAAACGACTGTGTCTGCCGTTGTTTATGACTGCTATGCTAACACCATCACATTATCACCAGCTCCCAGGGGCAGTCTCGCCAACAGTGGAAATGACCTAATGTCCATTCCTCATTGCTCAATTTTATTCACTAATACGATCACCCATGCGATTATAAAGTTGTCGGGTCACACAAAAACAAAACGGCAAAGCTAATATTATAAAGTTGTTTATTTCTAACAGTAGCTCGGTTGGTAGAGCATTGGCCTTAAGGCCAGAAGGTCGTGGGTTCAATTCCCACCTCTGCACCTTCTCCACCGACTCCTGCTGATGACTGCTGTCGTTGTGTCCTTGGGCAAGACACTTAACCCCACTTTGCCCAAAGCCCCCGCTGAAAGATCAAGGCTATGCTCACACTCAGAGAGCAGCTGTCCTCCTGTGGACTCACCACCTGCAGAGGGTCAGTGAGGGGCTGGTGCTATGAGACTTGGGTGGCATCTCTGATTGCCACCCCCCTGACCCAGAAATGGATTAAAGGGTAGAAAATGGATGGATGGATGTTTATTTCTCATCATTATCCTTCCAATGCTTTCTTTTCTGCGTGTTCATGGCTAATATACTGTGGTCATTATGATGGGTGTTACCATGGCGCTACTGCCTACGTAATTCAACATTTAAAATTACAGGTTACATTGTGGTTTACTAAAACACTAGCCTGGTCGTACCACACCATAGTACAAATTACATTTCGTACTAAGGTCTGGAGGTGCTCCATTGAGCTCCGTTTACAGTTGGGAGGGGTTAACTTTTTTTGCAGATTGAAACGATTGGATCTGAGTTAACCCTGACGTATGTAGTGCGCCCGTGTCTGTCATTAGCATTTAGCATTTAGCCTAGCCATCTCCTTTGCCGCTAACGGAGCCCATGGAAAGTAGCGGCAAATTTTTTTCCTGCGATTACATTTTCTAAACATTACTCTTGCTCTGGCTTCAATTTCTTGATAGAACCAGACCGGATTACTTTACTACCGCATTTCTCGCCATTGCCAAACTACAACCTTCCCGTTCAACGCAAACTCTTGACATCACCCACAACTAACTACAACACCCACCTCCCACGCTTGCTGATTTGTCGATTGAAATTCAACCGATTGTAATCGCAAACACAGGGACCAGACCCAGACGTTACATGCAGTGAAATGATGATTGAGCTGAGTGTACGGATGGATAAGGCCAGGCTACTAAAACACAGTTGACACATCAGTATATACATGTAGTGATCTGATACAATACAATTTATTCTTGTATAGCCCTAAGTCACAACAGAAGTCATCTCAGAGGACTTAACAAAACACTTGAAATCACCAACACAGGTCAGAGAATCAACAGTTAAAATACATGAAAAATATAAAGCACACAAAAAAATTGTTGTAGAATGTTAAAGTGTCCTGGATCATCACCACATCCTTTTTGTTGGACACTAACTGTCCAACAAGACCCTCCTGCATCGGCAAGGAAAAACTCATAAAGAAATCTCATTTGAGAGAGGGATCCGCTCCTCCGGACGGACGGGCTATAGATCCAGGGCCTAAGCTAGCTACAGGACGTGGACCAGTGGCCGCTGAACGTGGACAGGTCCGGTGCAGGACTGAAGCACTTCCAGGCGGGTCGGGCGGGGCAGTCCGCAGGTGTAGATGGAGGAGGCCAGGTCCAGAGATCCCGTCATCGTACCATGAAACAGACAATGGGACAACGGGTGAATAGCAATGAACAAACTACAGTCAAAATCCTAATAATGCTAAACAGATAAAGTAGGAAGGAGGAGAGGATAGTGCTCAAGTTACCATACTTCTCTCAGCAAACTGACTCCCTATGCAGCTTGACTGGGGACTCTGAGGAGTTTAGCCTTCCCTGAGTCTCACCTTCCTAGCCATATGCTAAACTAAAGAGGACTGTTTTAATCCTAGCCTTGAATAAAGAGAGCGTATCTGAAAGGAGGTGAGATAGCAGCAGCCACGGCTAGGCTAGCCTAGGCTACAGCACCAAGATTCATGGATAGCACACCAGGTGTGCAAACCGATCCAGGCAAACAGCCTAACTATATGCTAAATTAATCTGATGCAGGTATCATTGTGTAAAGGCTGATTTGCATTTAGGTAGAATTATATCATATTAGTCAAATATATCTTTTAGCTGAGTTGTCTATAATGGCAGTGACATAAAATGCACCTGTGGATTTATTGGTGTATAATCTAAATAAAAAACGTCATACACTTTTCACAAGCCAATTCCATACTTCAGAGTCCTGGATTCTTTGTGAGCCTTGGGATTTTTGGCTTCTTAGTAGATACACAGTAAGATAAGATAAGGTGGACTTTATTAATGTCACTTTGGAGATATTTACACGTCACATTTGTGTAAAAGACAGAAGTGTTCATATACACAATGGTTTTACTTCTACTGGCTTTAAGGCTGCAGGGAATATTTAATATACAAATTATGTTAAGTTGTATGTTCTTAAAGTTTTATAGAAATACTATTATATATTGTATATATAATAGTGTTTATATTTTCTGAACTGTTTCCTAGCAACATGCTCACTTGTGTGTTAAAGAGGTACCTGGGGTCATCGTTTTGTGCATTTACTCGGAAGTGTCAGGTGTCCAACCAATTTTCTACACAGCGCTCCAGCATCCCCACAACAAATTAATAGTAATTTTCCAGCAACATGGGGATTAGCATCAATTTATGCCACAATGAAAAAAATGTCACTCAAAAGTTCTGTTCATTTCAGGGAAAGAATCTCTACAGTATTTAAATACAAGCATTTTAGATAGAGCCGTTATTATTTTGATAATCAATAAATCAAGCAATTCTTCTTTCAATTAGTTATTTAGAATGCATGTATATATACAGTCTGTCATAGGACTAAGCTTTTTGTTTGAGAGACGGTTTATATACTGAACATAATGAATTGGAGAGCCATTCACAATTAAACTAAAATGATTGATTTTGTTGCCATAATTTTAGGTTAGAGGTTAATTTGCTACTGAATTTATTGAAAATTATCCTGCTATGATTTTGATGAAGGTATTGATTTTATGAAACAGACCAATCTCCTTTTTCGTTTGACTCAATAGTGTTGGCGTGTTCTATATCTATTGATACAAGTATAGATGTTATAACTTTTCATCTCCAATGACCTGACACCAGACCAGGAATATACGAATTAAAGTTGAAAGAAGTTCAAGGTGTAACTGTTGAAAGCCAGTACTTTACAGAGCGGCTGTACGTATGTGTACAGCTCTGTACAACGTGGAGAGTTTTGCATAATACTTTTGCTCTGAATGATAATGATTTCAAGGTGAAGTTGTTTTTACATAATAGCACAGATAAGGAGATATGTGCATGTACAGTATGTATAGTAAGGAGATGAAGCCTCCTTGAAGGCACTTGAAGCCTAGTAAGTAAGTAAGTAAGTAAGTAAAGTTTATTTATAAAGCGCTTTTCACAGATAAGAATCACAAAGTGCTGTACAGGACAGTGGACAAAGACGAAACAATATAAAATAAATTTACACACATGTACTTAAAAGTGACATTAGTGAGAACCCAATCAACTAAAAGCTTTGTTAAATAAATAAGTCTTCAAGCCTTTTTTTAAAAGAGCCCACAGAGTCGGCCAGACGTAGGGACAGGGGCAGGGCGTTCCACAGTCTGGGGGCAACAGACTGAAAAGACAGGTCCTTTCGAGTCTTATAATGGGTTTTGGGGACCACAAGCAGGTTCTGGCCAGAGGACCGGAGAGTGCGGCCAGAGGAGTACAGGCTGTACTGGGGGGTCTGACCATTTAAGGCTCTGAAGGTCAGCACTAAAATCTTAAAATCAATCCTGAATTTTACTGGGAGCCAATGAAGAACAGACAAAACAGGAGTGATATGGGACCTTCGAAGGGCACCTGTTTAAAGTCTAGCAGCAAAATGCATTTATGTATGAGTGACTGGAAGGCAGGGATGGTCTATTCTAATGCTAATACTTATTAAATCACTTCAAAGTAGATTTAATATTACTGCATACATTGACCAATGCCACATGTTAAGTTAAGTTCTACTTCATTGTACCCCTAGGAATATTATTTTTCTCTCCATCTTGAATGCCACTATGGCCTCTGTCAGGAGCTGTGGGTGCCGTAAAACAGCACTTGTGGATCCATCTACAGAAGTTGTTCGTTTGTACATGGATTTAATGGTAGGGGAAACTGGAGCACCGGTAGGAAACCTATGCAGAAATAGGAAAGACATGCAAACTCCACCAAGAAGGCCCAGTGAGTCTGAGGAACAGCTCTTGTGGACTTTATTGCATGCTTGAAATAGTGGGCAGTATATATTTTGTCACAGCACTAATACAACTAGAATAGAAATCCTGATCAATACTGAGTTTGTAACCACAGTAATATAAAAAAAATGATTAAAATTCAAAATAGCATTGGTATTAGATATAGAATAATCTAACTCTCTGGTCTTATTTGAGTCGCACTTATCTCCAGAATGATTGACAAATAGAAAGTCTTGAGGCACCTGGAAGTAGAAAATCCTCCTATATACCTTTAAGGCTACTCTAAACCTATAAAATATATATAACTTATAGAGGCAAAGTTTTTTATTACGTTTGGTCTGGGTTTGCTCAGTTTCTACCCCAACTGGGCAGACTGAATCTTGCCACTATTTGACATCAGCGGCTTACTCCATATTGGCCAATACTCATCCATTCACATAAAGAGACAATGACTCGACTCCAATTTTTCTGTTATCCGTGCCTTCTCTGCTAAACTGATCAATAACCGTATCTGCGCTGTCTAAAACTGGAGCTCTAACACTCAAAAGGTGATCTCATCCACTATAAAAACTGTTACACTTTATAGAAGCAATAAAACCACCAGCTTTCCAACAACATATTAACTGCTCAAAGAACTTTGGACTCCCCATCGTTCAATACTCATCAATTTCACTCGGCCCAAACTACTTTCTAAGTTTTAAATCATTCAACAATGGTAGATTCTTCTGAAAAAAAAAAGAAATAAAATAACACTCTTGCTAAGAGTTAGAAAACTTGAAGATAATATAAATAGCACATATCAGTTCATAAAGTTTAAATACAGATAAACATTTAAATAGAAAAACCAAAGAGCTGAACATGCATATACGATAATGGAATTCTTTCGCACCCAAATCTGCACAATATATTTTTTAATTGACTTTCTTTTTCACAACAACTTTAAATGCAGCCAAGAAGTGTTTTGCAATCATGTGGATAGCATAATTCATCTTCAAAGTAACTCCAAGACAGTTCCATATATTAGCTGCATGAATCTGATACTGATTTGTCTCGACCCTTAGTCCCTGTGCTCCTCAGTCCCAGCAGGAGGTCAGTCCCTGTGCTCCTCAGTCCCAGCAGGAGGTCAGTCCCTGTGCTCCTCTGCTGGGATGTGCTCTCTGTACTGAGACCATGGAGACTCATATACAATTCAACAAGTAAAGTGCCCCCAGAACTTGAGCATTTAAAGTTGCTCTCCAGTCTTATTATTAATCCATGTTCGCATTAGAATGACATCCCAGTCTTGTCACATGTCCACGCCGTTTCTTTTGACTTTTTCAACCAAGGCGGGTCGTATGTAAGGCTCTATTAAATGTTGCATCAGTACAGCTTTGTCTATGGGCCAAAGCAGATGCACGCTGACACTGACATGGGTTTCCTCTTCTCTTCTCCCTGCTTGTCTTTTTGAGTTACAGTGACAGAACGCCCCAGGCCCTCCATCATCTGCTATTTGCCCACTATTGTTTGGCTTGGCTCATAACACACATGCAATGCTCTCTTTGGGTAAATGATTAGAATGACACAGAAACTATTTTTTTTTTTAATAGTAGCTTAGTTTTCCACAATGGCTCTAAATAAATCCACGGTATAATACTTTTCCCACTCCAAGCTTTAGACAGTTTTGTCGAAGTCTAAGAAGAATCTCTATTATTCCACTGCTGTTTTTTGTTTGACAGATCAGTGCACCGTGACCAGATCCTATCTCTTCCTGCACAAGTTTTGGTTCTTCAGCACAATCTACTACTTCGGCAACTGGGCCTTTATTATAGTAAGTCATTGCACACATCACAAAGCAACTGTTAAACAATAAATAATGAAAATATAATGATTTTATCTTGAAAGGTACGATTATCTGCATTTACATCTAGCTATCATCAATGTGTGCCTAGAGAATAGGTCGACACGACTGACACTTTCGGAACAATTAAAAATGCATTATTTTTGTTTAAGTGAAATTCAGCTGGCCTAGGCTTCATATTCTCTTTTGAAATAGCACCACACATTTGCAGATACAAAAAATAAGAAGTCAGATGTGTTTTTTTTTACTTTCTATCTGCATTTAAACCCCAGCAGGTGGTTTGCATACTGCTGAGGTTGCTTACATATGTCAATAGGCAGACAACAAAAGCTGGATTGTTATAGTAATATCTATCAAACCAAGAGTGCAGATTACATACTGTTGCTTTGTTTCCACAGACCTTCCTGATCGGTCTGGTGGTGTCCTGCTGCAGAGGCAAAAAGTCTGTGATTGAAGGCGAGGTGGAGGCAGATGACTCAGACTTAAGTGATGACGAATACATCCACTGAGAAGAAGAAAAGTTGGCCTCCGCGACTCCACTCCGAACTCAGAAACACGGCTCGTCATCGTTTAGTCTTACAAAGAAGATACTCAATTTTCAAGTTTCCCCTGCCTTCAGAGCCGTGTAAATGCACTTCACCTTTAAGAACCCGCCAGACAGTTTGTTTTGTGTCCCGGTCAATATCACAGATGAAAGTGGGATTCAGGGAGTTTTGCTCGCTTCCGATGGCGTTGATTTTGACAAATTAATCTTGTTTATTTTTCACCAAAACTCTTTTTGCAGCAGCCTGGGTGTATTTGAATTGGTGAACTTCACACCAAGTTTAAATTACATTCTGAGGGCACTTTTGAATCGTGGATAGTGGAACTGGGAGGTTATGTTTTCCTGTATTTTATTTAGACATTAAAATGAGTGTGAGACAAAATGATACCAAAGCATAAACAGGATGGGCAATGTATTTATTTTTTGGGGATTTTGAACTATTGACTGAAATAAGTTATTCAGTAGATTTTAGAATGAACATAATTTTTCATCTCACTCTATTGAGTTGCACTTAAAGCAAAATGCTATATTGATCTTACCATGCTGTAACATAAATATAAGGGGGAATATCACGTTTAACCAACATGGTATAGGTTGCCATGTTGTAGTGTGTGTGTGTGTGCAATCAAGCCTTATGAATGTCTACACAACATGATGGGCACAAACTGATCGATTTATATTATAACTTTGTATTTATCAGAATTCATAGATGTAACTACAGAGATTTGTCATCCTATTTGGAGAGATGGTTCATTATGCATGACACATTTTCAAAAATAAAGACAGTTTACAACCAGTAAGTATTCAAGTTTTGTGTGTGTGTGCTTAACTGTCAGAATGTCGGAAGAGAAAAAAAAGGTATATTACTTGTTTACGGTTATTTCAATTTCAATTCACCCACTATTAATATGGATAATGCAGTAAAACATCAAATAAAATATCAATACTTACTTTTTTTACATTTGACAATCCAAACATGAAACCTCACAAATATAAGGTGATTATGTTTTGTTCCACTGTGGGGTCTCTTTGAAAATACATATGCCACGTATATTGTCATTCAAAACATTTCAGTTGGAGTTTTTTTTGTTCTCAGACATTGGACAAACCAGGAGCACTGTACTGTATAATAGTCTGTCAACAAAAGCAAGACTTTATCCTACAATAAATTATTAGTGTTGTGAGACCTGTCAAAGGCTGTTCACATTTGAGGCATTGTAAAAGGACACTTTGTTTAATAATAATAAAAAAACGTCTAAAATTGACAATATACAAGAAACTATCCATCACACTTTATTTACGCGCCAGTAGTTTGCAGCAGTCTTCCCCAGTACACAGCAGCCTGTGGAGTAAAAGGATGTATCAAATGAAGCCGACAGTAAAACATGGATTAGCATAGAGGCGCTGACGGCTCGGTGAGGATGGATTTGCATAAAAGTCTGCGCTTGTCCAATTAGGAGCCTGTAGCATGCATACCTTGTCATAACTACTCTGCAGACCTGTTCTGAGTTAAGCCATTATGTGATATGCCTCCCCCACATGCACTAATAAACCAAATTAACTTAAAGCCAGAGAGACACCCCAGGCGAGAGCTGGAGGCCGGTTACATCACAGCACAAAGCTGCAGTCTGCCACAGCTCTGGTCAGATACATGATTCAGTCCTTATTTATAATCTATGGATCATAAGTCGGCCCTCTGAAAACGCCTCAACTATGCTCCCTCCCCCAATCTCTTTTGCATTTCTTTACTCTTGTCACAAATTCACAAACAAAGGGGTATTATGATTGAACTACACTTGGTGTCTTTTCACAAACATGGGATTTGAATCTGAAGAAATATGGATAAGTTTATTGGTATAAAAAATACCACATTCATCCATCCTCTTCCGCTTCATCCGTTGCCTGGTTGCAACAATGTGAAAATTCTTTACATTGAATTTAATCAGATCACATGAGTAAATGTGTTAGCTAAGACATTCTTAGTCCATAGGCAAGACACTTAAGCTACATTAAATGAGTATTAGTGACCACTTAGTCTGCTGCAGTGAAAATGATTTAGTTCCAGATGTACAATGTCCTTATGAACAATATTTCAATGCATAATGTATTGTAGTCCAATCAGTATTCTAAATTCTTGTAATACCCAGCCATCCATGTTATTCTGCCTTATTCATTGCTGGCCGTGGGGGAAGCAGTTTATCAGACACTTCCCTATTGACACACACATAATATTTCCATTGGCGTCCCGAGGCCAGCTGAGAGACATACTCCCTCCAACGTGTCCTGGGCCGTTGCCGTGGTCAACTCTCGGTGGGGAGAACAATTTTCACATTTTCATCCCCTTTATTAATTCATATCTGGATTGGAGGGTGGCTGTCAAAGAGCACCAGTCCCTCATTGATCCTCCTGCAGGTGGTGGGTCCGCGGGAAGATGACTGCTCCCGCAAACCGCTCACGGCATTGGTCTTTCAGTGGAGGCTTCAGGCAAAGTGGGGTTAAGTGTCTTGCCCAGGGACACAACAACAACACTTCAGTGATAGACATGAGTTGTCGACCCACTGTCTTTAGGATCAAAGATCAATGCTCTACCAACTGAGCCACATTCACCACGATCGTCCAACACATGATTATGTCCTAATTATAATCTATGGAACACGCTCGGAACAACTCAGGAGCCATTCTTGAGCCACCTCAACTGGCTCTTCCCCGACATGAAGGAACAGGGGCTCTACCCTGAGCTCCTCCCGTGTGATTGAGGAGGAGCTCAGGGGGTAAATCGTTACCAAAAATCTTATAAGCTGCATGAGCTTGTAAGTGCAAAGTGAGCTGAATTGAACTGGTTGATGCCACTGTGTGTATAGTTTATAGGTCCTGAATCCTGGACGGTCATCAACAGAAATATTGTGTTTGCAGAAATGCCAGGCCAAGTTATTTGCTTCTTTAGTGTGTATTTGAGGCTTAATAGCTTTCATTGTGAGACTTGCATTCCTAGCCCTAATTAGAAAGTGGCAGCAGTCATGATACCAGAGAGCATATACATATCCGCAATAACAATACTTCAGACACCTCAATTATAATGAACCCCCTCAAGTATCTAATTAAATGTTAGGTGATACATTTTGCTTTTTCAATTTGGCCAGCGTGTAGCATTGCATTTGTTCTTAGAGGCACTTCAACATTATTCTTCAGCATTACACAGCACAGTTGAAAGGTTTATTAAAGCAGCTCTGTTCCATTGAAAATGAAAGAGCTGACGCCTGGAGCTGTGATTGCATTGGTGCACTGTGGGTACACCAGGACTCACACCATACAGCCTCGTGGTGGTCCCTCTCCTGCCTGAAGAATGCTCCCCGCCATCTCACACTGTAATGACTTTTGCAGCTCAAGGCAAGAAACAGCGAGGATTTTCAGGCCTGTTGGTATCCTCTCAAGTTTTCTTTCTCTCTTAAAAGCAACAGCCCTTTAAACTTGCGCAACACCTTCACCATTGGGGACTGTGCAGCTTTCATAGAGGGCTATAAACAAGTGTTGCAAGATTGGAGCATGGGTTTGGACAGCCCACAACATTTGTCATTGTTTATTTGTGATTTTTGTGTGCCCTGTAGAGTCTCTCGCGAGCTTCACATGTTTTGACAGGAGGAAGCGTGATAGACACACATTTCTGCTTCATCGCCTGGAGAGGTCTGGGTGAGGGGGACAAATGATCAGTGTTATTATGCTGGTTTTGGAATCTTTAAAACCAAAGTACCTGACTTTGACGAAGACAGAATGTTGTGGTCTGAAATGGTCTCAACATGTTATTTCAACAAGACAAAAATGTATTTATGAAACAAAAAAAGTTAACTTCTCCATCTGCAAGCACACAGCTACAACCGGAAACACACTTTAATTGTTGAAAGAGTGGCAACCCAAATGTATACAAGAGAAATATGATCTGTCACAGAGTTATCTTGTTAAGTCTGCTATAATAAAACCATAACTCTTCAGAACATTTGATTTTTGCCTGTTTGCCACGCTTCAGCAGTGAATCACCCCAGTGACTTCATTCAGAGCCAACGCTGTGATAATAACATAGGCTGAGAGTCTCATTTAAATACCATAAGGTCGTACAGGCCAATGATGTCTGCTGCTGGAGGGACCTGTCTGTCTAAATCCCACTCCAACAACATGCGCTAAAAGGAAAAGTCTGGAAGTCATGAATTTAATGAACTAGTTCTTTTTTGTGTTTCAGAAATAAGCACGTTTAAGGACAATGTCAAAGATGACGCCAAATATATGTTAACATTTGGATCCGCTCCAAAAAACATCTATTAGTTGTATTGATATAATGATTTAGATCACTTAATGATTATTATTACTTCAATTTCATTTTCATGGGAAAAAAATATAATGATCTGAAAAACGATTTTAGATTTCAATATATATTAAAATTCTTAACAAGAACCAAAGAAGAACAAGATCATAAAAAATTGAGGCAAATGCATTTTCATTCATTCATCCGCAGCAGAGACGCCCAGACTCCAGATTCCTGAGGCACCCCCAGGCCAGCTGAGAGACACAGGACCATCTCTAAAGCGGCGTTATATATGTACACCATTCATATTTTGATCAGAATTGATACAGTCAAATATGGACTATAATTAGTGTTAAAAAAGCCTTTTGGACAATGTCTATACCAACTAATACACTTTTACAAGCCAATAACTATCCACTATCATTTAATAGATTTCCAAACATTTATTTTATTTATGGGCCTTGAAATCACTTTCCAAATCCCCGGATTGACCATTGTGGACCATGTAAGTACTCAGGATGCAACTGCTGGTTCTGGCATATTGCGTGATTGCTGTCTCGACGAATTACATCTCATTTGTGTCTCTTTTCTTGTCCCAGTTTCTTTGCTCTGCCTTTTATCTTTACTGAGAGTGAAACACTTTTGGGGCTGGGACTTTCAACAGAGAAATCCTGGACTCACAACAGAAACAGTCCCAGGGGCTTTAATCTCTGCTGTCACTCATCACAAGTTCCACCATAGACACTGAGTGGAAGTCTTTCCACTGTGGGTCCTGCAGAGGCCATGTTGTCTCAGTCTCACACAGGACACAGTCGGGGCTCTCTCCTCGGCCCAGTGCAGCCGCGGGACATGACAAGCATCACACTTTAGATCTCACTGCAGCCTTCTTCATCTTCAAGCACTCAGAATGATTTGTAAATCATATACTGTCATACAAGATACAGAGCTCGTAGATGACACAGAAATCCTTAGAAAACATATTGACAGACTTAAAATACTTCAAACTGTAACATTTGAAATATTTTCAAATGAAAAACATGATGCAGTTTAATGTAATGAATAATACATAACTTTAGAGAGTATTACTTTGATTTTGATGTATGTATATAGTATGTGTACTTGTGTTTATGGATATCGCTCCTCTCTGTTTGTAATGAACAATGGCAATGATTAAATTGCAGTAAAAGTATTCTAGTTTTGTGTAAAGGATGAAATGAGAGTCAATTATATTTTGTCCAATTTCAGAGTAAAGTGTTCAGAGAGGTACATTCTGCAGACAGTAGAGCTGCTGCTGCGTTTGTTTCACTAACAATAGTCTTTGAGAGTCAAAACAAAGCACCTGCATTTGTCGCAGTTGTGATGATGGTATAACATCATCATGGAGTATTTGTGCGTCTGTCGATTTGCTTTCTTCATCAGACAAATAGCTCTTCACCATCACCACATATAAACGGACACAACTGCTGGAGATGTACGAACATATTTCCTCTTTTATTTACATTCCTTTTCAAATGTTAACATTTTCGCTATAACTTTTGATCAGGTTGGCATTTTTTCATTAAAATAAATTGGCACAAGTAAAACATATGTAGACAAAAGTTTATTTACACCATACAACATTTTGTTTTTAAATATTTTATACAGAGCTGCAGATGAGAGAGCTTGCTGGGATCCTTCAAGCAGATTCTGCAGTATTAAACTTGTGAAATATATTATTTATATAAAAGTGAGTATTATCTTTATTGCATTTAAAGCAATGAAGAATGTAGCTTGACAAACATTCATTTTAATATGACAGAAAAATTCTCTTTGCCTTCCATGTTTTATATCATAAAGTAAAAAGTGTAGTAATGGCCAAACTGACTGTTATAAACGTTTTTAAAAACCTGCATAAATATGTACATTGTGCTGCGTGGGTCCAGTTTTTCTCAAATCAAAACTAGGCCCGACGAAGCTGGGACCGCATGGCATGTTGTTTGCTTTGTGAGGTGTGTCGTCTGGAGATTTTCAGCCAATTGCTCCAAGGATCATTTGAAACACAAGATGGTAGATATAGTACACCAGGCTGTCCCACACTAAGTACACTAGTGTGAATACAAAAGTAACATGAATGTTTTTCCCTTTGTCTCTCTCGCTCTCTCGTCAGTCAGTCCGTATATTGGATTGGCACATATTGTCCCTGTCATACGTATAATGTCATACGTTTTGTATGCCAAGGCTGTTTTTAAAAAAGTCTGTTGCTTTTTTCAGTGCAAAATACATCAGTCATCCATCTCTTCCACAATTGCATTTTCTGTAGGCCTCTGTCCTCCTGTCCTCACACCTCAGTCTGGAAGTCACCCTCCTGGACGTCCAAGGGTAAGTTGACACACTTTTCCCACTCGGCGGCTGTCATCTCTAGAGAGTCCTTGGTGTTGGGTTCTAGTACATTCATAGTGGCGTAATTCTGATACTCGCAGGCTGGATTGTAGCTCTCCCATGGATTCTTGTTTGGCATTGCCTTGTCCTGTGAATTTGTCCAACAGGAAATGACATTAGTAACATAACATACTGTAGCCTTTTGCAATAGACATCATTTAAGGCTACAATATGCTAAAGTAATGGATACATGTTGTGAAAAGCAATAAATAACAAAAAATAATGGTTTAAATATGGGCATGCTCATAGAAAGGCCATAATCGGGGAGTTGTTTTGGGCTATTTATCAGGCCGCACCCTGACTGATTATCCCAGAGAAACTGATGCAAATAAGGAAGAATCTGTTTTGTAATGTAGAATGAATACCAACATCTGCAGCCAGCTCTGCAGCAAATTCATTTGAAGGAAATATCTACAGTAGTTGTCATCTTTCTCTACAAAAGCACTTTCCGTGGTAACTAAGCAACTGGCCCGATACTGTGGAGTCGAAGTGATTGAAATGTGAGTATTATATTCAGCCACAGACTCCTGTGGCAGGGACGTCTCTGAGGTTGCTTTTGGCCACCGGAACCATTTCTCTTTTGGATACAGTTTTGGAAATGGTCTCATAACAAAGAGATCATCAGGTGTTTACAGAATGCAGAGCTAGGGATTTGAATGTTGGCACCACACACATAGTGATTATCAATTTCCCTTAAAGCCAAAAAATCCCCCAAAATCTTTATGTTGGATGTTGATAGATTAAATCATTTGCCATGCATTAATGGAAAAAAAACAATGGGGTTGCTAAGTAGATAAATGCATGTAAAGAAAAGTGCATTTATGATCTTGCATTGGAATGACTGCACAGAAGTCGTTCTTTTCTCAGACTGGCCTTGTGCTTTTAAAGGGGTGGACTCCCTGCAGCTGCTACAGGAAGGCATACGAACACGAGCTACGTAACTGCACATTTGCACAATCACACATTATGTGTTCAGAGCAGGTCTAAATAGGGAACGCACTAATTGGCTCACAAACTCCCCCCTGGTTTCCTGTTACTCACCATGCTGCCCATATTTGGTATGTCTCGAAATCGGTCCAGGGTTTGAAATTTCTGATTCAGTTCCTGGAACAGCTCCATGTGTCTTTTCCTGGTGTGCATGACTTTCTGCAATGGCAAGGGGTTTTCTTTGGTATTGACAGCCAATAATGGAAATGCATCTCCCTCTCCACCCTGTCAACTCTGATTAATTATTTACTGTAGTTTACATTTAGGCCAGATTTGAACAAATTGGCATAACTCTGCATATATGTGATTTTAAGCTGCATATATATGATATTTAGCTTTCAGAATAAAGGAATTATAAAATCTATGTAGGTCAAAATTACAGGGCCAAGAAGGCTAATGTATATTCATTTGAAATAAATGGCGTATGTGGAATAAATCACTTACTAGCTTCTTTAGTGCTTTGTTGGCATATGGGAAATCCTTAAAATTAGACCTTGGCAGGATGTTCCCCATTAAAGAGGTGGCTAAACAAAAAGCTCCCAAAGTAGTGCCAAACTATTGAAATGCCAAGCTCATTCCTTTACTTTGAAGGCCTGTACATTATATATGCAGTACATTCTGACATTGAAAAGCAAAATAAACACTGCTACATGTCAATAATAACTGCAGTTGTGACCATGTGATTAAATCAGATGTTGAGATGTGCAATGAATTTAAAAGCATACATTTTGATCATCAGCGTACAGCTAATGGATGTAGGAGATGGAGGAGGATAAAATGTTGATGAGAACTGTTGCCCTGTTTGTCAGTTGACAGCCTTGCTTTTACCTTTACCACACAGCGCGTCAATAAATCTTCAGTCATAGCTGTGTAACTCCAATAAGCTTAAGAGGCAAGTACTAATAAATCAAATGACAAACACAACTACAAAAATGGCTTTTCTGTGCATAACAAAGCTAATGCATGTACTTAGGGGAAACAAGTATAGTACATACCTCAAAGTCTAGATCAGAGTATCTTGATTTTCGTCTCTATGAAAAAGAAAATAATAAAAACATTAGCCAGTCTACTTACATGATGAATATTCATGGTCTGGGTTCCTTAAACTACTGTGTACCTCGAGTGAGCTCATAGATATTGTGGACCCAGTCTCACTGCGCGACAGCCCGGCAGACTCCTCCATCTCAGCGAGGAAGTTCTTGACTGCAGTGCGCGGCTCAAAGGGCATCTGCATCTGCTCTGGAGCCCTGGCATACTGCTGCTCCAGGCTCATAGTCATGTGGTCCATGCCCTGGGGGCTGATGTTGAAGTCTGGGGTCATCTTGTAATGCATCAGCCGCTCATGGGACAGCTTATCCATGGGGATGTTCATCTTGGTGTCGTCTTTGACCAGGGTGGGTACGTTGGAGCCGGGCATGGAGGCGGAGGAACGAGGCATGACGATGTAGTCGGTCTCCATCATCTGTCCCGCAGCGTGAGCCTCCAGCTCATGGGACATGTCCTGCTCACTCTGCCGCAGGGCGTCGTCGGTACACAGGTAAACAGCGCGCCGCATGTCTGTGTTACTGTCTCCCATGCACTGCTCCTTCAGATCTACTCCCATAGGCATGTGCAGCGCAGACGGCTGCTGGATTAACACTTTGGAGATGATGTTGCCAGGCAACGTAGAGTAGTTGAGGCCTTCAGGAGCTTTCTCATCCTCTTCGTCATTCAGGGAGATGCGGGACAGGGTGCCTGTGATGGTGGCGGCGCGACAAGAGCCCATGTCTTTGTGGAGAGCTTTAGGGTAGAGATTTACAAGGATTAGCTTGGAATTTAAGTGACAAAAGTAGTGTCACTTATTATGTCAGATTCCTTTGCATGTGACCAAAAGAGACAGTTAATTCAAACCAATGTAAGACAATTCTCAAAGGGATTCTTACACCAAAGAGAAACCTCAACAGTAAGTGGAAATCTAATGCCTCAGACGCAACAGCCAAATGAAAAAAGACATAAAAGCTGCAACTAAATCTCAAGAGGATGTGGGAGTCTGCTCTCATCTCTCTGCAGAACATTGCATCCTGATCCAAACTTTATGATAGTGAATGACCTTGCAAACCCCCAAAATATCTACCAGGCAGACTGGGGGAACATAGCTATTTGAAAGGCTTCTGAAACATTGTCTGTCCTCCAATCCAAGCTTTCTCCATCTCCTAAATCAGGAGGAATTCCAGTGGCTGATCACAACAACTCTGCAAGTACATTTCAAGCAAGCTCTAAACATATAGTTTGTGTATGTGCTGCACTAAGTTGCATTTTGCTTATGCAAGCCATGATGCAACAGAGGACTCCAACTCTCATGTGGCTTCCTGACTGTGTAAAATAATCTGTAAAGTGCAGTTGTGTGACTGCTCCCCTTCATCTGAGATCATGATTTATGAATGACACCTGTCTGTGTTCTTATCGGGGATGACCACTTTACAAGACGACACAGGCGCTAACATGATCCACAAGAGCAGATGACAGCCCTACAAGCTCTCATCATGGTGACGTGCTCTAGATATAGCCACAGTTGTATAGACGTAGGATATTACCGAGCTACAATTACTTTTCCACGCAATTACCTAAAATGTTTTTCAATCACCTTAGGAAAGCGACATCTGCAAATGTCGCACCCACACAGCAATTCTGATAGCATCAACAAATGAGAGAAATGCTTAGCAGAAATTGCAGGCAGTATTCCACATAATTAAATCCATAACTGTAAATGTCAGGACTGGAATGTTTTGCAGCCTAAATTGTAATTAGTTTTTATATAATTTTGTGTGCATCTGTGAGAAGAAAGATAGTGGCCTCTTACCGGATCTGCAAGCAATGTCCACATCTTTCTCAAAGTCCGTCTGTGGAAGAGAAGGCAAACGCTTGACTTAAAGGTAAAGGTTTTTTATATTGACCATGGTTATACCTCATTTTAAATCTAATAATTTCAGGAAAACACAACACATCCAAACAAACGTATTCTTCTTATTATTATTGAGCTTTATTTCAAACACAACTGGTTCATCGACAGTTCTCAACCTTCTTTTGCTTAGGTCCAGTTCTAAGCATAACTCAAAAAAACGAAAGTCGAACGTCGGGCTCGAACCCACAGCTCTCTGGTTCAAAGGCCAATGCCCTACCAACTGAGCTACTGTCGCCCCCATATAAATATCCTGAATGCTAACTATAACAAAACCATTAACTAGAACCAACATGTTAATGTGCTGAATCCACTTGGTTTGAAAAAGATTAGCCCTGTGTCAGTCCAGTAGTTCAAACATTGACATTAGCATCAGCCACAGAAAAACCATTATGGTCGAACTCAATTTAAAATAGTTTGACATTAAAGTAAAGAGCATCTTTTTTTTTTTTACTTTATAGACCCTAGGAAATAATCTACCATGCTTAATCCTATCAATAAAAATGGAAAAAAATAATCCCTGGCCACCGGTCTGGCTTCCAGACTTGGTGCTAATGATGGTATTGACCTAAGGGACCAAGACAGTGTTCTGCAAAAACATTTTAGTGAGAAGGGTATTAGAATAGTAATAAGAGGTGCCAGTGGCGTTGCACCAGATGAACAGCCTGGTGTCCTATTTGAGAGGTCAGTTGCAGACAATACTCAATTCCCTACGAGAGGAAATGAGATGGATGCACAGCAAACACAGACTGTAAGTTCAATCAAACAGAAATAAAAGGAAGGTGCTGAGGGCGCCAAGAAAGCAAAAGGAGCAAAGCCATTTATCACTGGCCACTTCTGTGAACAAGGTGTAACTGCAGCTTCACTATTCCAACAATGAACCAATTGCAAATAATTCCTTCTACTTCTAAATGGTAGAAGTAAAAGACAAATACCCGTACTGAGAACAGGAGAGGTGTAAATTGCAGAACACTGGTAAAATAATAGACATGGGTGAGGGCGGCTGTTCGTACCATTATCTGAGCGTGGCCATTAGGGAAGGTTCCTGTTGCGTCCCCACTGATTGGATCTTGGCAGTTTCTCAGACGACATCGAAATGCATCTTGGACCTAAGGACATGAACAGGTTTGTCGCAGTAACAGAAAAGGTGAGATGTGGATATAGGTATGGAAGGTAGAATTCCTCATGACTCTTTTTTTTGGGCTTCTCAGACATTTTTTGTGCAAGTTTAAAGCGAGTTATGATGGTCTCTGCTCGACCGCGTGTCATCTCTTTTTAGGCAAGCCAATGTTAATAATTCAATGTTAACGTTGCGTACCTCTCTCCTCAGAACACAGTGCACCATGACAATGACGAAGCCTTGCAGAGAATCAAAGATAGCGAAGAGGATCTGAAAGAGGATGGAGCGCTTGTCCGTCATAGCGAGCACAGCGGACATCCAGGTCAACGCCAGCAGAGGCAGGACCACACAGGAGCTCCACAGTGAAGCCCTATGGGAGATAAAAGGGAAGGTGCTCAGCAAGGGGCGACAGAGATATGATCTCAGTACTCTCTAGAATTCAAACTTTTCACTCATAAAGTCAGAATGACAAATTCATATGCACTTTAGAGTTAGGCATCCCACATTTTTTCAGACAGAAAAGTGAAAAAGAGAGGACCAGCCTCAAACAGCTCAAAGCAGGAGGTTGACAGAGGTTGAAATGTTTTTATTATTATTATGATGAAGAAGGCATGTTGTGGTGTGGTTTGTTCACAACGCTACATTTACAGGACTTTTTTTGAGACAAACAAAATGGATTACATATGAAACTAAAACGTTAGGGACCTCAGCTTTAAACATGTAATAAATGTGATACATTCCTCTTGTTTTTTTGTTTTTATTGCTCATGATCATATATATGGTATGGAGTATAAGCTACAAAACAAAACACAGGAAGGACCTTTTTCAGTTTAGTGTGAAAATCTTTTGCATTGATGGGTATTTAACATACTACAGAGGTATGCAACAACTTTATTATTCAGGCACTCACACAGTAAGTGAAACTCATCAACAACATGATTACCAACGCAAAGGTTACAAAAGCTTACTCTTGTGGCAATTCATTGTATGTAATTTCTGTAAATGTCTCCATTGTGAGATAAATAGAGTTTTATCTTATCTAGAGAATACATCAGGTTTCCTTTCAAGCATTTTTAGTTGTATAATTAGAAATCTTGCTTTCACTACTACACCTATATTGATAATGATTTGAAATGAACACAAGCTGAAACAAGGCCACAATGGGAGGATATGGCTAAATATTCTTGCCCATAATAAAGCTGAAAAGGAATATATAAGGTATTGCTATGCTGCTATGGAATACAGTCAAATATCACAATGAAGTTTGTTGTGCTGAAATAGAAACTTCTGTTAAATTTGGGCTAAATGTTCTGTGAATTTGAGCATGAGCTTCTCGCCGCAGTGGACCGCAGCGTGGGCCAAAGTGCTTGAGTGGACACGTCGTACACACGCAGACACTGCCGGTAGCATGCCTCATATTGATTGCCAGACACAGACATCCACTTACATTGCGTTGCTCGCTGTAGTTGCTGATAAAGCAGTTGTTGATACCACACCACATTTGGCACACTTGAGAGTTAATCCTGTATGCGGCTCACTCATCTGTCTGTGGAACGTCAAAGAGAAAACAGGATGACAATGGCCACTGCCCCGCCACAAGCAATCCCCCAACGCAACTCAACCAAAGTCTACGTGTGGGGGCGATTTCACAATTTTCCTCTTGTTCTGATTCTGCCAAAGAACTATGAAGCAATAAGGCTCCCAGGAGAGTTCTGACCTCTTTATGTTTATACATCTAATTTCAGTTCGAGGGAAAATTAGGTCTAAATCTCCATATGTGAAACACAAATTCAAAAGCACATGCACACGTTTACAGAGACAATAACACACAGACGGAAATGTTGAGAAGAAAAGGAAAAGGGTACTAACAAGGACGTGCTGTCATACCCTGCTCGATGCTTCAGCTTTTTGTCCAGGATGCCATCCCTGGACACAAGCTTATTAAAAACTAGTATACCAATCACCATGTTGACCTGCGGACAGACAGAGAGCACAAAAGGAGATTCTCATTTGTCTCTTCCACACAACAGCAGCTGACTGATCTTTTGGCTCGCTGAACATTATTTTTTTCGTATGTCTTGTGCTTTGACCTCAAGCCTCTGTGTCACATGAGCCAATAGATGAGGCCAGCCCTGCACACTCAACACAGCCTGAAGGAAAGATCGGGATGACAAGGAACGCTGGGCGGCTCAAAGGCACTTTCTGCTATTAATAACACAGGAGATACCATGGTGTTCTGTACAAATATACACTTGCTTTCATGAAATATTTATGGTACAGCTGGTAAATTTGATGGGTTCTGCTGGAAGAAAGATGAAGTCTGCATGTGTTTACTGGTGGAGGGTATGCTTTGTTTCTGCGGTTTATCTGAATGATTTTGTTTGGGATGTTCCACATTCAGTCAAATGTCATCGCTGAAGCCAAGTGACTTCACTCTGGGTTGTATTTTTTTTTTTTTACTCTTTAAATGCATGTTGAGTTTATGTTGTAGGGAGTAGTATGATTCATAGCTGAGGATTGTTTTCATGAAATAACTAGGGCCGGGACTTTAATGGCGTTAAATAAAATAAAGAAAACATCGGAAGCTAAACAACTGCAGACCTTTTCTCCTTTAACAATACGTGCTAATCAGACTTTTGGGTATACGTGACTTTTTGCCTTCATCTTGCCTGCAATCTAAGCAAAGTAATAGCGTCTCTATGGCAACAAGCAGGCAGCAGTACAGAAACTCAATAGAGAAGTTGCACGATGCACTTTTAAAGTCACAGCTATGAGACAGAAGCTATCAAACCGCTTTGTAAAAGTGACAATAAAACCAATAAATAATATTTCTCTCTCGTCCGACAAATCCTTAGAACTGAAGCTCATTACAAAACAATCTGCAATCAAATGACTGACAAATCTGAACCACAGATAGTACTAGACCAAACAAAGCCCATAGCTGTCTGTGTGTATGTTGTCTTTGCATACCTGTACTCACTACCCCATAGTTTGTGAATTTCCTCACATTATTAAATTGAAGATGATTAACCAGCCCAGTTATTAGATTGTGAGCAAATCTAATGCATAAATACTTAATAAGGTGCAAACCACATGGTGCCTCCCATTACCGTAAATGAAAAGGAATTACTCCAGCAGCTGCAGCCGCCCGATGGGACCATTTGAAATTGTGATTTTTCAAGAAGAAGAAGGTACTGTAGAAATATATTGGTCTAAATTGATGGACACTGCTTATATTCTCCCACACCTAATTAAAAATAATCTTGTGATGGATCCAACTGGACCACCCGAGGTAGAAGTTTTGGGATTTTTCAGTCAGATATTGACCCAATGATGCTTCCCTCTCATTATTCATGTCAACGGGAGAATGTTGTTTTTGCTCAAATATATTTTTCCCCAGTCTTTCACAAACATTCATAACTTTCTTAAACTTTAACCAATGAATGCAAATGAAGCAAAATCCAAGGCGCATCATGTATATACTGATGTGCCTTGGTATCAGTTACCAACATTATATCCCTACTGCTGAACGATGTGCAGCAGTAGGGATATAATGTAGTTACATAAGTGAATATTCAAAGTTTTAACTGAAAATATAAAATTGATACGCACCAAAACAACAGCAGCTGCAGGACCGACAAAGGCATACAAAAGGCCTCCCTCCAAAGACAACCAGCAGCTGTGAGGAGAAAAACACACTTTACTCCTGTGAAGACATTAACAATGCCGTTAACAACACTCCAGCATACAATAGTGCTCTGCTGAACTGTCAGGGAACGTGCCATATGCTCGGAGTCTATTTCGAAAGTTTCATAGGGCAATAAAACGCTAAAGAGATTTTAAGCAGTGTTTATGCATTTGGGATCCTGCAGGGATACAACTCAAGAGAAATTGGCCTCTTGCTGTGCTATTCGGAAATTTGATTGGGTTCACGGGACTGTGTTTATAGCACTGGTTGGATTTAGTAAATAAACCAAATTGAATTACTTATGCACTATTTGTTTGGAGTTAAAATTTATCTGTGTGAAACAGAAACTTACTATAATGGTGTCCCGTAGCCCTTTGTTTTAGTGAACCCCATGGAGACTGCAACCACTAAAGCTGGCAATCCTTCAAAAGAGAAAACAATCGATGGTTAGTGAAGCCGCTCTGGTGCAAGCCATTTCGATACAGTCAGAAAGTCCTCTCCTCTGCCTCCCAGTCATTACACAGAGTGCTACTAGCTGCCCTTTATTAAAAAACTTCAAAGATGCTTCCTACATTAAAGAGAAAAAAAGTATTGATTCAATACATTTGAATGGAGTAAGTAATATATTGGTTAAAAATGTACTGGTCATACTGTATAGTCAACTTTTACCCAAAGGGTTTTTTTTTTCTTCCACATTACTTTGGCTGTGTGCATGCCTTATCATGATGGTACAATGACTAGATTATTGATATTAGAACAAAATATCAATAAATATACCAAGTTTGATATCACAGCAATTATTTAGACAATTTAAGAATACGTTTTACACATTTATCAAATTACAATAAAATTAATTCTATTTGGCATTCATAATACTTGAGTATTAGTATCAATGACTATTCTATTATTGTTACTTAATACAAACCTTATATGAATATGCCCATCTTATGTCTCAACAATGTTTTCTTTTCTATCCATATCTGTTGGTCCCTTGTTTAACTTTTCAATCATTTCATTCATTCATTTATTCGTTCTTATATAACATTACATAAAGAACAGGAGCAGGATGAAGACCAAGTCTCATCTAAACTTAACAGTTGATACATGAAAACATTAGTATCATCAGATCAAATGGATGTAGATTTCTTTGTGTTTTCTGAGCAGATATCTCAAACATCTGCACTTACTACCTTGTAACCTGGGTCACTTTATTAAAATTATATATAATATAATAATTCTATAGCATTCTGGACGCTTTCTTAATTTAATTTGATCTGCCTTGTTTTATGTCTGCTGTGTGTGATATTAGATTTGTAATATTTTGCCTGCACACCTTTATTTCTATTTTGACTATAATAATAGGCTTTAATACACCATACACATCCCTAGTTAAAAACTGTCTGTTCAGTGACATTGAAAAGTTCTTTAGGTTAGGTTATAAAATGCTGGATGGGTGTACATCATTGTTTACTCTTGTGTATTGGAATAATTCACTCATCATCATTTAAAGTTTGTATTTACAACATGAATCTTTCTCTCTCCTTGAAGGCAGCTGCTGTTCATATTATCACTTTCTCCTGTTGTCATGCTGTAGAGGTGAGTGTACACACACAAACACGCAATAAATCATATTGCAACCAACACTGGGCCCAATATGTGGTTCTAAGAAGTAAGAGACAATCCAAGAAAACCTATAACAGATCATCCAAAATCACCCTTTGATGGAATATTGCGGGCTTCGATCCAGGACACGACCGGCTGTAGCATCTCTCTACATGTATATGAGTGCAGCACTGGCTTTGTCCATTTCTTTTGCTGCCTGCAGTGCACTGCAATGACTAAGAGAGCCTTGTTTGTTGCTAGGTAACAGGAAAAATGAGTGTGTGCTCTTTCATAATCAAATTGATTTTAAAAGATAGATTTCAGGCCATCCGGGAGATAAAAAAGAAGGAATGATAGAGGTTTAGTCCATAATTTATCAAACAAAATCCACAAAGAAACATTTTGATAAAGAATTGTTTGTTCTCATATTTGAAGATTTCTGTCTTTGTGTTTCCAAGGTTTGAGCAAACGAATGAAAGACCCATTAAAAAGAGTAGAAAATGTGAAGGCTTGTTTTGTATTTTCAAAATGTCTTTTTAAGCTACTGAGGTAAACAGAGAAAGAAATGAAGGAACAGATCTTGGGAACAACATATCACATCGCAAGGCCGTTTGGAATGTACAAATATGATTTTAAAATGCCAAACATTCTAGTTAGAGCCATTTAAAGTTATTCTGAGACTGTGAAGAGATATTATATACTGCCTTATTATTACCATGGTTTTTGCTTTAGTTTGAAGATAGATGAGCGTCACGACTTTCCATAAACATAGATGTTTTAAATGAATGTTTAAAGATATTTAAAATGATTCATGATACCACGTACAGTGTGTCTGGGAAATACTGTGGAAGTTGTTTTTGACTTGAAATTCACACATACTCCATGACAAATTAGTGGGAGGGAAAAGTACATAAATAGAGACACAGGCCTTTAAAAAATGTGTCACACAACAGCAGGTGAGAAAAGACGCTTGTTTTGCCCCTTTCTTGAATAAACAAACACACACATTATTTTAATTTTATGTTTGTATGTGCTTCTCAAATGGATTGCTCCTGGTAGGATAAATAAAGTAGTCTGAATCTGAAACTGAGCACACACACACACATACTCTATTGTCTGAGATAATGGTCTCAATGACATGGCCCAGTAGATGCAACTTTCAAAGCCTGATGTACTCCACACAAAACACAGGGTCAATGCAACTTTCTAAAAAAGAATCTGTATCTACCCTGTTTTCACTCTGTCTGACCATTTAAAAGGCTGCAGAGAGACCCAGACAGGAGCACAAAAGTGTTGTGAGTGAAAAGGGGAGAAAGGATGAAGATCTTACAGCCCCATGAAGCGAATGAGAAGAACAGACTGAATAGACTCCTTGGAAAGATACCTTTGGCTTGAAATACCCTGAGCTAGGGAGAGAATGGCAGCGTGTAGGGCACAGTGCAGTTAATGGAGAGCTCTTTGGGTGAAAGAAGCACTTACCCCAGCCCAGACACAGAAAGCGTTTGCGGATCAAGCGAGTTCGAACTTTCCCTGTCACGGCCATGTACGACTGCCAGGCCTCCGTGAGCACCCAGCAGAAAGATGCCAGGAAGAAGAAGTGCAGGAAAGCTGTCGTCATGACACAAACCCCCTGTGAAAGACAAAATACTATGTCACAACTTTTAACATGAACCGGTGTTAACTCGGACAAAGCATTTTCATTTAGTTTCAGTCAAACAGGAAGTACATGTGTGTATTAAATTCTACATCTAGTACATACGCTTGGAAGTGAAGTTAATTTTTTTGCATTTCTTGAGCATGTCTCCACTTGCGCCTGTCCATCCATCCATTTTCTTCCCCTTAATCCATTTCTGGGTCGGGGGGGGGTGGCAGTCAGAGCTGCACCCAGTACACATAGCACCAGCCCCTCACTGATCCTCCTGCAGGTGGTGAGTCCACAGGAGCTGAGATCTTTCAGTGGGAGCTTCAGGCAAAGTGGGGTTAAGTGTCTTGCCCAAGGACACAACGACAGCAGTCGTCAGTGGGAGTCGTGAAGTAGGTCTTATGGTGGGCTTGAACCCACGACCTTCAGGCTCAAAGGCCAATGCTCTACCAACTGAGCTACTGTCGCCCCACTTGCGCCTGTCATTCATTTATATTTAGTTATACATTTTTAACAAACCTCGAAAATGGATGGAAATGGGTGCATGGAATTAAATACTTTTACTTCATAAATACCAAAACACAATGTTTTTTGTATGATCACTTTATATAACTGGATGTTGTATCTACTTGTATTCAGTAATAATATGACTTGGGGTCAACTGCTCATTGGCCGCCGGGGGAAAAAGCAGATTTCAATTTTTTTTTTTTAGTAATCATAGTCCAGCCTGCACCACAACTATTGTAATACAGTCCTACTTACTGTATATGTGCCTAAACAAATAACTTTTTTGTTTGTCAGATAAAGACAGATTCAGATTCAGTTCGTTATCATTTGCAGTTTAACCAAATGCTTTATTTCAAATTCGTTAGGTGGAGTTTGTGTTATTCATGAAGTTGACTAAATATCCGCTCTTTACGTTGGTTAATCCTTGATCAGTGTCAGTATCTTCCCCCTCGCTAATACTTAATCCATGGAAAATCTTTCAGTCAAGACAATTATGTACGGGCAGTAAAGTAATTCTATAGCTAGATGATAATAGATTGCAATAAAAATACAAGACATTAGGTAGGATCACAAAGCCAAATCAGATTGTGCAAGCAGTGATTTCTGCACAGACAGACATCTCCTACAGATACGCATCAATTTGATCGACTTTATATTTTATTTTCCAGAACTCGTCTTGCGGCACCAATCGCATTCCCCGTCGAGCCCGCGCACCGAAGCAGCCACTGAAACCGTGCACTGGAGTTTGAAGTGCAGCTAAGGCAGTGGCATTAGCTGCTCACATCAGACGAGCGCTGGATGGCACACAAATCCATGGCCAAGCATTCCTCTGCACTACAACTGATTAGTATGCCGCAGATCCCACCTCAAGACAGATAACCAAGGTCAATGGTTTTACACAGACAGGAAGAAGACACTAAGCAGCATCAATAAAACAAACTTTGCTTTGTTATCCAGTCCATACTCATTACATATTAATGATTCAATTCAAAAGATTAAACATATTATCCCAAGCACGTTGCAACCATAATAAGCGGTGCTGGCTCTGTCGGGACTGACTGGCTCTAAACAAATATTGTGGTTGAGCTACCCGCGCCCAAATGATACGCAAATATAACAAAGATATCTGGAATCTCAAGAGGAGCTGAACTTTTATCCATCTACATTTTTCAAGTTTGCGTCAGTCAAATGAGAAAACCATATTTTACGCACACTGTTTTAAAAAACAAAAAATCTAATTTAGTGGAATATTCAAAAATGTGTGTGCAACAGTGATTAGCTTCCCTTAGCATTGGAAATTTGGATTGGATTTGGATTTGGAGCTAAACTAGAGAATTACACCAGCTACTTCACTTTGCACCCTCAGTTAAGCACTTGGATTGATACATTTTTAGGTAACACGTTTTTTAGGTTGATACACGTTTTAGGATGAGACCCCCGAAAAAAGACCGTAACCGTAACGACAGCCACTAATGTACATCATTTAACAAAGCCATAATAAAGCAGTGTCAAAACAAGCTTAACGCATTTGAATTATGCTTATTTTGAGTCCTTTTGAGCTTTTTCATTTCAAATCACTTAAAAATAACATTTGTGTCAAAAACTATATACAAGGTAAATTCTAAATATCATTTTGGAAATCATCTTGCGACCACTTCCAGCTAATGTCATAACCTAACCCACTTTTGTATAAGAGAGTAGAGAGTATTCCATCACCTCCTGGTCACTTACTGCAGGCTCAACAATTAGGACATTACATAAATAAAAATCTCTGACGAATGAAGGAAATTGATTAAAACGTGTTGAGAGGAATGGGCTACGGCTCACGGGGGGCTGTGAGGAGACACATTTGGATAAGTAGTGCTGTCTGTCACACACCAGCTTATGTGGATGAAGGAAACAGTTATTACCATGTGTTATTGTTTAATAATGTGTGTAATTGTTTTTTATGTAAAACCTGCCAGGGAACAACAGAAGGAAACATTTGAGCAGAAATATGGAGTCTCAGTTCCCACTTTAATTACAATAGTGGTTCTCAAACAAAATACAGTATGTACGTCTCAACCAGGTCTACATCAGGACTTGGAACTGTCTGAAATAGAAATACACTAGGTCTATCTACAATACAGCAGAGGTGCCAAACTCATTATGGTTCAGGGGCCAAATTTAAGAAATGAAAGCTGGTCGGGGGCAAAAACTGTTTTAAGACTATACCATGATATCAACCGCTTTCTTATTGGGAAGTTTGTTTAAAGCTCTTTCTGAAAATATTGACAAACAGGGAAAGGTGAAGAATGATTTATATTGATGTTGAGAAATTGACAATTATTACATTTTAAAAAAATTAAAAAATAACTTTTCCAAATAAAATGTTTTTAGTACAACCTCTCATCATAAACACTTGGTCGGAGCTCATTCTTTTAAATAGTTCTTACTGCAAAATGGTTGCACCTCAATAGTTCATCAAATTAAGTTTACTAGTTTCACTTTTTGCGTTCATGAATTATTGTTTCTAGATCCAAAATTACATATGTGTGAGAGGATTCCATGCATAGAAGGAATATGTCATTTTAGCAGATTTGCGTTGTCATTTGGCAAAAAGACAAGTGCACACACTGGAGTGCATCAACTTGTCCCAGGGCGTCTGCGGCACAGTGTGAAATATATAGTATATCCCATATACTTGAACCTCCCCACAGAGTATGACAGAAAACCATCCATCTCCCGGAGCGCCACTGGGGTTCACAGTAATCCTGCAGCACCTCACCACTGACACGCAGAATATTTTCAAAGAATGGAGAATAATGTGGAGGATTGAAGCCATTTATACTCAAAAGGGAGCTTTGTGTTGCTCAAACTAAGCTATTTCTGATGCAAATATATTCACATAGGGAAATTGAACAATTCCAAAAGATTGCTTTAAAAGACATTGGAGAAAAACCCACTGTGCTAGTTACATTTGTGAGTGTTTTTTATAAATGCAATGTGGCGGCTGTTGTACTAAATGAACAGTTGCTGTCCATTGTGCTGAAAATAGCCACCAGAGTTTTCTTTTAACAGGTTCATTTCAACCATTATTTTCCCCTGTTTCCGAGCCTCATTACTATAATAGTGTGCATTGCACAGCAGGACAAGTGTACAGCACTAATCAGACTCAATCCTCTCAAAATCAAAGGTGTAACCTGGAGTTTATTCTGCCCTTTAAAAAGGCAAATGCCGGTGATGTCGTGCGTTCAATGTCCGTATCCATGGAAACAGGAGCAAAGACAAGGACCACATTAAAAAAGAGTCAGGCTAATACACATGGAAGTACACTATGTTGATACTTGAAGCCAGTTCATAATGGCAGTTTAAGGTCAGCACATCAAAATTTAAGATTTTTCTGTCATGGGCTGACTAAGCTTTGACTAAAATGTCTGGAGCAGCCCCAGAGCTTTCTCAAAGCTTAAAGGCTAAAGGCAGGAATATGTAACGCACATGTGTTCGTTGTTGCGGTGACGGACAGACAAGTCGAGTGGAAGAATAAGCAGTGACACTGACATTAAATACAACCCTAAAACCCAGCTTATTATAACCCTCTTCTTTTTAAGCATTTACAATTGAATTTAAGTTGTGTAACTGTCAATTCTCTTAACAAGGTTAAAGCATATTATGTCCTGCATATCTTAATTTATATAACAAGCCCTTTTATGTGCTCTTCAATAGCAAAGACTTTCTAAAGGTTGTAGTTTGTATCTAGTTTCTATGGAAACGTTTTACAATAGTATATAGAGACATGCACAGTAGATGTGAATCATAACTTTTATTTGACATCAGAGTGTTGGGTCTGTGAGTAGGAGGCTGATTGAAGTACACATATTGTTTTTACCTCACAAGTACCACATAGTTCATAATTAACTTTGAGCCACAAAAAGCAACAATCTGCTGAAGTTGTCCCTCACTGAAAGAGCTTTGCAGGTGCAGATTCTGTTTTCAAAATGATTAAAACTCCTACACACATTGGCAATTAACTACAATATAGTAGAAAATATCATATAATCATCCCATGTACAGAAGATTAGTGTTAAAATATATTATACAGGCTTAGGCTGAATAACTTTACATGTACACTTTGCACATAGGAACATTAGCATTAGTACTTCATTATATGTATAAAACAATCAAATCTTGATCGTTTGACTCAATATAAGTATAATACAAGGAAAATAGGTTTTCAATTCACATAGATAATTATAGAGCCATTGTCATGGTTTAGATTTATTTTGTAGTTTGTTAAATCCCTGTGTCTTCTTTGGTTGTACTTCCTGTTTGATTACCTGCCCTGCCCTGTGTACCACCTGTGTGTCGTTAGTCTTGTATTTAGCCCCCTGTGATCCTTCACTCCCCGTTCCGTCATTGTCATCCCTTGTCTGTTTTAGTTCTGTCCTTGTTCCCTGTGGTTTTTGCTAGTTTTGGATTTGTATTACTTTTATTAAATCCATCATTTTGCAGCTATTGCATTTTGGGTCTCCTTGTTTTTTCACCAACGTGACAGCCATGGCTTCAGGAGAAATAAGTGCAATACATAATACACTAGGGTCAAACAAAAGTATCTGTTTCATTAATAAATGACAAAAGCTTTGTGTGCATAAAATTGAATAAAAGGCTTACACGAACACTGCTGAGTCAAATGAATACCAGGTTTAAAACCAAGTCTCATAACCTTGTGTGGATAATGTGTGGAAAAGACTCAATATTTTTGTCCAATAGTTCTGGCATGCGCCTCCTGTTCGGCGACCCCGCTCCCATCTCTTTGTGGAATGAGAGACAAATGCCCAAAAATAACAATTGTAAACCGCTTTGTGACTCTGGTCTGTGAAAGGCGGTATATAAATAAAGATTACTTACTTCCTAACTTACTTTCAAATAAAGACTGAACTAAACTACACTATGGCACATTTTTCAACACCCCCATTACTACAATTATCTTAATTTTGTTCAGATTAAACATAACAACTAAGAGACTTCATATGTGCTTCATATGTAAGGCAACAACTTGCCTTACATATGAAGCAATTTTTTCATTGTGTGGGATTTTTTTCTAAATTTCTCACACAATGCATTTATTTTTAATAGAGCTCTAATCTAAAGCACAAATATTTTCATTGCAATAATCATCCATGCATTCTTCCACTTCATCCGTTGCTGGGTTGCGGGGGCAGCAATCAAAGCAGAGACGCCGAGACTTCCCTATCCACACACACTTATTGTGTAATATTCACAATCTAAATATATTGAAATCGTGAATTAAGTATTGACTGAATTCATTTATCTTGAATCACCTAATTATCATAGTCAGACCTCAATTGTACAAAATATGTGAGAGCCTCAAGGATGGGTTTGAACACTGGTGTTCAGGGCTCTGGATAGATGCATTTAGTTTTGTAGACCGTTATTTTGGGGGTTAAGTCCATGTATGCATCTGGTCAATAAGTGTGCCTCCTCCCACCAAGCAGCAGGGCCTGGGAGTACCGTGATGAGAGACGTGATGAGGAATTTCTCCATCTGTGTGAGATAATAAAGGATTGATTGATTGATTGATTGATTCATCCGGTGCCAAGACATTTCACCCGCATTGCCTAGAATGTGTCTGGGGTATGGTGACCCTGAATGGTTGGTGGTGGTCGATGGGGCCGATGGCACATACTGGTTGCCTCGCTAATGTCTGTGTGCCCCAGGGCAGATGTGGCTACAGTAGCAGTTTATCATCACCATGTATGGAGTAAATGTATCCATCCATTTTCAAATCCTTGTTATTTGGTTTCGGTACAATTTATTAGAAGTCATCAAAAGCCTATCAATGCCACATCTCCTATAAGTAGTGATTTTGTATTGGTTGTGCTTTGTCGGAAGTGGATCCGAACTCCTGCCTCTCTTATGTAAATCTGTTGAATCTAAAATCACTTGTGCATTTGATTTTCTTTGTTTATCCTCTCTTCTGCACACAGCACCAAACACTGACAACAAGGACAAGGGAAGCATTGCCTACAAAAGGTGAGTCACATGCTGCTCCCTCAGGACCCTCCACTGAAAACTGATTTCAATTACACCATCTACACACAATGCAAATCTACACTCAGAAGTTTTGTATTCCTCCCTTACACAGAGGAAGGAACACTCTTGGTGTTGTCCTGCCACTCAAATCGCTGCCTTTGTGAGTCAGATCACACAGGAGAATATCATTATCACAACAGGGAAGTGATGAAGCGGAGCAAATTGTATTGACCTAGATAGTTTCAAGCTACAATTACAATAAATATATCAATGTATAAATGATGCCATGAAACAAAAGATCGTGTTGCTTAAGGTGCTTTCTCATAGTTTGTGAGTTTTTTTTGGTTTACATTATTTTAGAGTTTTAGCCTTAAAAGTTTGATTGGTAAAAATGTCACTATTCAAAAACATAACAAGAAAACTAGCCGGTTAATGAATAATAAAATAAACAAAAAGCTAATATGATCTTTCCTTCCAGTTAGCTAACATTAAAACCACAATGCTCAAATCCATTTCCTCACTTTAAAAAAATCTGCTTCTATCTCATTTTCACCTGCCAGTTTTCTCATAAGATAAAGACAGCTTGTTGTGTGGTTTCTGATTTGTTAAGAGAATTATGCTTAAACAAGACTATTTCTGTTGGAACGAACAAAATGTATTTATGAAACCAATAAAAAAAATTAGGTACCGGTTTTATTGTGGCAAGGCGAGGCAAGTGTATTTGTATAGCACAGTTCATGTGTGCCGTGCAATCATTATTTTCAGCATGTATCTATTCAGAATCAGGACATATACAAGGAACTCTGCAGTAGCCCTCTATAATAACACGGACACAAGAACTGGTTTTAAGACAAGCTAAAAAATATTGATCGTCCACAAAGCAAAACAGTTTTCTGGCTTAAGCCTTGATCCAATCTGACATTTAATAAAATGTAATATTTTCAAAACGCTCTTTGAGTTGTGTGAATATAGTGCATTCCAAAGGCTACAACTATCCATCACAGAGGCCAAACAATCAACCAATAAGGATTAATGTCTTCAGATATTCAGGAGATTAGTGAAGTACACAGAGTAATCACAATGTTTTCTCTCTTATGATGTGGTGCACTGGATAGCAGACCAGACTCATGCATTCATTATTTATGATCTAATTTTCATTGAACGTGGAAAAATTAAGAGGCAGAAGCAGTTTGATTTATGAACATGGCCCAGTCCAATGTAAGCTCTCTCGCTGCTGCTGGGGCCATCTGCTACTAGAATAAGTCATACCTATAAACACAGAGTAGTAGCCATGCAGCCTCGCATCCGCAAGTGCATTGGGGAACACATGCATAATAACGGTAATATATTGTGGATTTTTGGCTTGGCTTTTTATGCACAGCCATTAAAGTCCAACACACATGTAACATAGCCAAATCTAAAAAAGCCAGGGTAACGAGCCAAACAGCCAGAGAGGAAAGAGGATAGAAAGTTTTCAAGTAATGATATAAACTGTGTATTGCTTGTGAAAGGTAAAGGTATAATGAGAATATCGTTATACAATAGAATGTGTGCGTTTGGAAAATGTGTCATACAGTAGTGCTGCCAAATGACTGAGGGGGCATTTGTGTGGGCAGCCTGTAAATCCTAATTATGGTTTGCCAAACAATCTTTTACATTAGCAGTTTGTTTACTGGACAGCGACAAAAGCCAAGAAAGGGACAGGATGCATTAAAGAGGTGTAATATATGACAATGGTCTATGCCCACAATAAAGCACAGTGCATAGCAGAAAATATCTAACATGATAGATTATACTGAGCACAAGGAACATTAAATACAACAACATTTAAGCAAGCATTACAGCTACAGTATAATCTTACAGAAATAGTATGTTATTCTTGATTTCATTCCGCCCTGATTGACCTGTGCATCCTGTCTCATGCTGTGCATCAAGACTCCTTTTAAACTCCTACTCTTGCATTCATCAAGCCTTCTTAATTGCTAAGCAGTTCTGACAAGTCAACAAGAAAAGCACAGCTTTGAAACTGCTCAAAGTAAGGGCGTTCCTTTCACAGGTCCTTCATGCTGAAGTTATTTTTCAGTAAAATGTAATGGTGAATGTTGAAAAAAATCAAAACAATCTAATAGCTTAAAATGTGTTTGACACTAAATATAATTACTAAATAATATAACGTCTTTATCGTCCCCAATATTTATACTAGTTTGACAGCCTAAACATATCATATTTATGTTTATCAGTGAACACAAAGCATATGTTTTATGTTATGTTAGCCAAAGATTAATTACTTTCTTTCTCGACAATAAAGAAATTCTAAAAGAACAAATATAATTTATTTCTTGGTAAATCCCAAAAGTTGAAAGATCAACATCAGAAATACAGTAGCAAAAATCCAATACTGAGTCAGTGTAATAAACCGTAGGCCAACATCGATCGTATTATTGGTATCTTTTCCAGCACATATTTGATTCCACGCTTCATATGAAATTGAAGTGTTTTCCCAATACATCGATGAACAACACTTACCGCATTGTGTGTCTGTGTTTGTCCGACCAGGATCAATATGTTGGAACAAACTATAGACAGGCAGAAGTTCAACAGGATGATGGATCGCTCTGAACGAATGTATCTGTAAAAACCAAAGAACATCGTAATCGAGACATGATCACTGTAGACAATACTTCCTTCTCTCAGTCACTACTGTATGTTCAAGCTGAAGCTGTATTGTAAATGACAACAACATTGAGGACATAATGAAGTCGTTATTATAGATCAAACACTTAGACTTGTACTGTCCACATTTGCTAATAATACCAATGTTGTGTTTTGGTCTATTACCTCCATAGCACAGCATAGATTACTGCCAAGGTGATCAAGGCGAGACAGGAAATACCGCAGCCAACTATCAATGTCACAGATGGGACCCCTGAGTACTCCATGGTCTGTGAAGGAAGAGCAGAGACAGACCAGTCAGTGGGAGGCTGCTCACTCAGGACAGTAAATCTTTATTGGAGCCCAGAGAGAGGGAGAGGGGGAAAGGAGATAAAGCACCAATAACAACAAGTGCATGCATCTCAATAGCCCACAGTGTCTCCTTTAATGCAGTAAGAGGTTTGCAGAGCGCTGCGTGGGCTGAAGGGTTGTTTTAATTCACGCCTAAACTTTCCATCCATGCTATACAAATGCATTGAGTTCACGGCAAGATTCTTGAATACCAGTCCAGGGATACATTGGCCACATGCAATTAAAAGATACATTATTTCCTAAAGCAATGCAATCTGTTAAGTGTTTTAATCATACAGTTTTATGACTAACATGTTCTGGGGGTATAATTAGAGATTAGAGGAGAAATGATAGAACAGAATAATGAGCCAAAACAAGTGTCTTTATCAATGAAAATCAAGAAGCCTATAACCAAAATAATTGGTTTGGTTGGTAATGAGAACGATTTATATGCTAAAAACTCAGAATGGGCACTGAAGGACCATATTTGGTCTAGTATGTAGGCTATGCTATAAAGTGGTAATATTCTTGAAGTGTGTCAATAGGTGGACTGATTAGGGGAGGGGAATCTACAGAGGCTCATTAGTAAAGTCCATTATAGACATGACACATGCAAGAAGTCTGGATTCAATTAATCAACACATAATAAAATGCGCAGCTGTTCTAATTGCCATTTCCTGAAGAAGTTTTATGCATGCCAATTAAACAAAACATAATAATGTAAAATGACCTACACCATAGAAAAAAACAATAAAGCAGTGAAGGCTGTGAGCTTCAATATTTTTAAAGCAATAATAATAATAGTGGTGATCAAAATGATAATAAGTATTAGCAGCATAATCATAATCATTATACAAATCATACACTGCTATTTTAGTATTTCATTCAATATATTTTTGTCAGGTATGTCCATAAACTATACAGGCCCCACTGTGATGCTAGCATTAACAGCAGTTGCATTGTTCATGGCAAAATCAGGAGAGCTGCAGTTTGGCCTGTATATGCTACAGTCTACTTATCAGTCATTAAAATGCTAAACGCGATGACTATCTGTCTGAGCATTATTTGGCGGACGGCACCACACATAATTCGATTTTAATCTATGAGAAAACTCTGGAAAAATCCCTCAATCTCTCGTTACAGGCGAATTACAATTTAACTGGATTAGCGCAGCAAAGATTCAATTTCCATCCTCACTGTCCTCCACGCACTCTCACACATGCACACACCACACAGCGTTTACATTAGCCAATAAAGCCCACACAGAATAACAAATCAATAGAGAGAGCCTACTTACTATTTCTCTTGGTTGCTGAGCCAAAATGGCGAAGGTAGATACGCGATCACATAAGCATTTTGTATGGGATGCATCTGTGAGCACGGTTTTACATCCTTTGGAGGACCAGGCTCCCCAAGAATCGTTCCTGCAGAAAGGACACACAAGATAAAGATGTGTTTTAATCCCGGCAGCGTTTGAGACACGACTCTTGCAGACTTTCTGACACAGCTTAATTTAATTGAATACATATGCATCCAGAGCTGCTAGAGATCGTTGCGTAAAAAGCAAGGCATAAATGGGAAAGAAGTGACATATCGGAGCGCGTCTAGGTGGTCAAAATCATCGCCTGTAGCGGATAGAGATACGGAGGATGGGAGAGCTGTCCACGTACATTGATTTGCCGTAGCCATATGAATTCCACATATCACAACACCATCGCTCCCACATGATGATTAGTGCGCGTTACCTGTGCGTCTTCCAGCTCCCCCTGCGTCCCCAAAACGGCTGTCTCCGAATCTCCTGCGCGCGTTAAAGCTTACTATCCTTAGTCGCTTGTTTATCCGCTTTAATTAGTCGCTTTAGATCGCTTCCTTAAGGGTATTTCCACCCTGAAAACGGCGGACAGCATCAGATTGATACTGTTCCTTTCTGCTGGCGTGAGAGAGAGGAGGAGGCGCGGGGAAGGGAGGGGTGACTGATACGATGGAGGAATACAACGCAACCCCAGCGCAGGACGTGTTTATCAGCCTCAAACTACAGAGGCGCACGGTGGAACATGTCGGCTGTTTCTTCAAAAGCGTCTTAATATACACGTGGCTGTGTTTCATAAGAAATCAATACAGTTCTGGTAGAGAGAGAAACACCCCCCGAAAGGAGCGTGAATGGTTGAAGCCAGCCCAACATCACTAAAATCAAACAGTCGCTTCTTATTCGGCATTCCCTTCCACGGCCGTCAAAACGAGATGTCCAATTTAACACACTTTAATGGTGCATATTGGGCATGACTCATCTGGTTTACTTTGATGGAAAAGACACTTTAAAATGCATGTTATAATAAATGATTTATCCAAACACCTGTTGTTCAGAAGTGTCCTCCTCTGTATCCTTTTAGATTAGTTAGATTCATACCTGATTATTGGGGATACAGAACGCACTGAAAGTCTGATTTGTGTGCCAAGCTGCCTCTGCTGCTGAGCCAATCCTGCTTTGTCATTTGATCAATATGGCAGCAATATTTATGATTCCTGGAAGGGCTTGTGGAGCGAAGCAAATTCTCCCCTTAAAGCTTACTGTAATGCAACAATATAAGCCTCTGCCTTCAAAGTGAAATCTTAAGATCCTTTCAATTACTTATCTCTACTCCAGTCCCATAATAACACATTTCACAAACAAAGAAAATTGCACTCAGATCTGATTTTTCTGTCAGGGACAAAGATGAGTACAATCAGGGCTCGCATAGTGGCACATGATGCCTAAGGCTTTGCTGTGTGAAAGTATAGGTGGCAACAGTTTCTGAGTCACTGGTATATTAAAGCTGTGGCACCTAATTTTTAACTACAGTATATATGATACTATCCCTTTAACTCTACTCGCTCTCATAATAGTCATATCCGTTTTGGAGTGCCTAGCTTTTAACACACATACTTGGACAATCTTTTCAAACAGAAAGGTGATCAAGAGAGGACCACCCTCACTCAGCCAATCAGCTCTCATCCCAAAGTGTAAAATTGTGACTCAAAGGGCTCTTTAAGATTTATTTTCTTTTTTTTCTAATAAGATGAAGAGAGCTGGTTGTGGTCTAATTTGTTCACGTTTGTTCAGATTCTTTTTGTTGGGACTAAAAACATGTATTATCAAACTAAAAAGTTAGGTACCCCAGCTTTAAGAGAGAGAAGGTAAATCTGCACCCCGCAAATTGTGCGGATAAAGCCATAGTCTCTAGTAAAATCCTGTAACAGAGTCACAGAATTCATCAACATTCCCAAAATAAAGAATACCAATGCACCATATTTAAATTTGGCCCCTGAACGTTTCTCAAGTACTCCAAATAGTTTCCCCACCGGGATGCATCCACGCAGAATAGCCTTTCTTCTCGTAGCCCATTTCTATGTAGTTCTCTGTTCAGGGCTATTCCTCCAGGACAAAGAAACCATCTATGATAAGCAGCAGGCTTCACAATCTCCACACTTGCCACCCGAGATTACCACTCGGGCTGCTCTGCTCCTCCAACATGTCTGACAAGTGTAAATGGAAATGTACACTGTGATATTGAAAGTTTGGTGATGGAGAGATGTGTGGTGTGGGTTTTGAGAATGGACACTTGTAACATGGTGGGCTGTGAATAGCCCTCATCATTGGGAAAAGTTGACAAAGTTGGAGGGAAACGTATTCACTCTGAACATTGAGTGCATGGGATGAAATGCAACCTTTAAGTCCACTGAGGTTATATACAGTACGTTTAAAAATGTATTATATTATTTAGCCTCTGATCGATAGAATTTAAGCTGAATTAGAAATGTGTTTTGGTTTGTTTTATGTCATATGTACACGGCATTTATCTACCTCACTGTGGAGTTATAATACCTAATAACCTTCTATACTTTCGGACACATGTGGAGCTTATTTTCAAAATGTGTGGATTATCACTTTGATAATTATCACAGAGAAACCTATTTTAAAAAATCCCACCTCATTGTAGGGACATTAGTTTATTTTATTTTTTTCATCTTTTCCCCACACGGCAAAGACAGAGAGATAATACATTGAAAATGACAGACCAGTTCAGCTATTTTTGTTGATTGGAGCTGTTTAAATACTTGTCAACAACAATGAAATAGAGATGAAAAGATGTTTACTACAGACATAGGCAGGGCAACTACCAAAAATGAGCCATGTATCCTTTTAGATTTACAGATACCTCATAATTCCTATGTTTCGATGTCTAGTGCAGCTATTACAATGTGACTGATTCACATTGTAAGATACGATTTATTTGGTGGGAATATCTTAATATCTTCATTTGTACAATTAGACCAAGAATAAGTAGCAGCGCTAACAACATTATCAAACTCCATCTGGGAAGACACGTCCTATTCAAACTGAGCTGAGGAAACAACAGAAAGACTTCCCACGAGGCTCTGCTTTTGGAGCCTAAATCTGATCAGTGCCAGTCGACCGAAAGAACCGTAACGGGAAAGTGTTTGACATGTCAGATACTGAAATGTCAAAAGACTTTTGTCAAGAGCAAAAGCACCAGGAAGAACTCAAGTGTCAGGAATAAAGGCAAAAACTAAAACTTCTGCTGAAACATTGAAATGTATTTGCAGTTTATGAACATCCGCCTGCATTGTATCTGGTCTTTGTGACATTATAGTTGGATTGATTGCCTATTTTATTACAGAGAATAAAGAGGACATTCTCTGACTTGCATGCACACTGAGAAATCGTTCAACTTTGCATTTAGTTGCATTAGTTACAGCCCATTTGGCTCAGTGCCTGAATCTCCAGATGTGTGCAAAACCTGGAGTTATGAAAGCTGCTTTGAAAAGCCAATGTGTAAATCATTAATAAGGTGCAACTCTTTTAGGAACTGCACTGTTTTAAACACATTATAATCTAAATAATAGCTATGCACATAATATTCCGGAAACATTGACAAGACTGTTTTATGTAAAATAACTTTACATCTTTTTGGGACCTATTGAGACATTTCACTGAGACATTTCAGATTCACTTCATCAGATTGGCCCTGCAGTAAAAAACCTTTGGCTTGAAGGGAACATATCTATATTTCAGTGCTAACAGATTGAGCCAAATCAATTGAGCTCACCTCGTCTTTTGGGGTATTAAGAGCAGACACATTTGGTCTTAAGATAAAAATGTTGACATTTCAAAAAGCAATCAGTATTTTCTTCAGACCTGTTTACTCCTGGTGCAGTGGAAGCACAGACTTGATGAGTAATTCAAAATATGAAAACACTTACATTTTAAAGATTAGGTTCTGGTAATAAGTATGGAGCGTATTTGGATGTGAGGTGCCTGAGAGCAGGGTTTCAGTCAGGCTGCCTGCTAAAGTCATCATTCCTCTGTTCTGAACATTCTCTGGTCTGCCCCAAACAGCCTGCGATAGTCACAACATTTTCCACATGGGGAAAGTCTGCCAATATTCACGATGACAGACAAAGATTGAGAAGATTCGATATACTTTTAAAATATTTGAAACACATTCCTGGATGCAGTCCAGCTTCACCCAGACTCTACCCCGAGCAGGCTTTTGACTCTAAGGCTGCATGGTGGCTGAGTGGGAAGTCCTCACAACCACAATGTTACGGGTGCAATTCCATGTTGACCCAGGACTTTCTGTGTGGCATTTTCAAGCTTCTCCCTGCATCTGGGTGGGTTCCCTCCGGGCCCTTCAGTTTCCCTCACCACATGCAAAAAATGCACCTTATGTAAAATCTTTTTCAATCTTTTTCTTCTATAAAAATTAAGTGAGTAATTTTTATTTATTTAACACATAGCAGGTTCACACAAAGAGCTCTACAAAGTGCAATTGTATATCTACTCTTCCTTGCCATTCCATTAGGTGAAGTATGTACACAATATTTATCTCATTCATCTAGTTTGGATTCTGTCTGCTCACAGTTGTCCTTTTTCATCTCTAGTTAGAGATGGAGTGGCAATCGTCTGTTTGAGAAAAGCCACCTTTCTTTGATTGTGACTGCGTCCTCCAAACACACTTTATCATGTCATACTGTACGTCAAACCTCTGCAGAAAGACATCTTACATCTGCTGTTTGTCTCCAGTGTCAGTCAGCTGTTCAGCTCCGTGCACTTTCCTTCATAGACTCTAGAACAGGGGTGTCCTCAGTTTATTAAACCAAGCTTTTACAGCAATCAGGCGGTGATCCTGCTCTGCTTTATGTGGGTGCAACCATTCAGAATTTATCATTTGGTTCGATGCATGATGTATGTGATTCATGATCAAGTAATGACCAGGTTTTCTTTATTCAGGTTTTGTTGGCAAGAAATAAATACTTGTTATTAAATATTATTTCAAAAATTTATTTAGAAAAGTACTCATATATCTGCTGCAACATGTGCAGTATGTTGTTGTGTAGTGTTTCTGATTGTTGGAAATATCACTTAATAGTGCTTGTATAATTTTTAAGAAACCATACATGTGCTCGCAGACACAGAGACTGAAACCGGCTCTCGCGCACAGGCTCAATGGAGAAGCACATACATCGATGTTCCTACGTAGCCCTGCTCTAGACTTTTCTTCTCACACAGCACTCTCTGCAAGACTTTATCTTTACATCTGGTCTTCTCTTGCATCTCCTCTGGACAGGACCTTCTCCAGTCTTGCAGATGGAACAAGACATGCATGCACAAGATGCTGATCACTGATCCTCCTGCAGGTGGTGAGTCCACGGGAAGATGGCTTCTCCGTGATTGGAGAAAAGGCCTTGGTCTTTCAGCTTGGGCTTCAGGCAATGTGAGGTTAAGTGTCTTGCCCAGGGACACAACGACAGCAGACATAAGTGGGAGCAGATGACATGAGTCATGGTGGATTCGAACCCACGACCATTAGGTCCAAAGACCAGTGCTCTACCAGCTGAGCTACTGTCGCCCCAAGGTGCATTCATCTTTGAACCTAATCCCCCATAGACCCATGCCATCTGCACCCACTTTTGTTTTGTCCCTGGGCAAGACACTTAACCCCATAAAGCCCCCGCTGAAACACCAAGGCTGTGCCTTGGCTGACGGAGCAGCCATCTTCCCCTGGACCCACCAGCTGCAGGAGGATCAGTGAGGGTTTGGTGCTATGAAAATTGGATGGCAGCTGATTGTTGGGGATCCAATCTCATCTTCCATCAGGTGAAAATTCTGTCTCGTTCCGACCCAAACAAGTAATTCAAGGATACTGTATGTTCTTTATTGCATAAAAACATAATGTTTCATGTTGATTCTATGTATGGGTGATCATTGATTGGGGTGGGACTAAATAATGATCTTATTCTCACCCACTTTCAGGCAGAATTAGGTAGTAATGTTTACATGCAGTATATACTGTACATTCATTTTTTTTTATCCTTTTGCACTCTATGATTTGACAGGATCTGTCAAACTTTTACTTATCTGTGCCATTCCCTGATATAAATTAATATGTAAAAAAATATGATGACAATTTGTAAGTGTCTGGCAGACTGTGACAGGCTATAACAGACTCATCTGTCCATTTGGTTCTATTGCTCTAAGTACATGTTGTATTGCTCAAGCTGATTCATCACATTAAATGCTGGCATAAAAGATATTGCCACAATATTTATCCTTGTTTTAATCCTTTCATTCAGCTCTTATCTCCCTGCACCATGTATAGCATGCAAATATTTAAGGGGTATTTTTGTACAGCTGAACAAACACACACATAGCTTTTAGAATATGATTCTATGTGGTTATGCATGTTCTTATTTTAGCACGAGTTGCTTGCACAGTGAAAGTCTTCCTTTGGCACCTTCTGTTTTCACGCAGGGATGTTTGTGCCTCAGGTTCCTGGTCTCATTGTGGGAGCTGCACAGCCCTTGCTCAGGTGTGGCATCTGTCTCTGCCTCCCAGACTATTGTATACACACGCATTTCAAAAAGCGTTGAGATGTGCATGAATATCTAAATTAAACAGATAGCAATGACCTGAACTTAATATGGGGTTGTGTTGTTGAATTATTGTGAGTGGACAACATCTCATTAAATAATCTCAGTTTATTTCTATGTACTACTTCAAATAGATACATTGCAAATTAGAACACATCTGGGGAGACAAACAGACTAGCAGCAAAGAATCTCTGCAGTGATGGACGGATGGAGCCTGAGATTGACTGAGGAATCGTGCAGCTAATGCAGCGTGATAGTGTTGCTGTTTCCTACTGCTGCGGTGAAGAAGGAACTGCGCAAAAAGGCAAAGGTCGATTTACAAGTCAGTTTATGTGCTTTGAGAAATAACAGAGTGGTCAAAATCAGTTTCTTCCACAGAGTGGCTCACATTACGATAGAGGAGCTCAGGCATATGACTACATTATTAAATAAGCTCAGAGTAGAGCCATTGCTCCTTCAAGTCAAAGAGGCCAGTTTTGAGTGTTTGTTTAGAAATATTTCAGAATTCCCCCAGATGGGCTGGACGTTTGTTAATAGGGAATTCTCAAATCTGCCACCGTCAAGACCCGCCCCGGATACATTAGTCTTAGAGTATAATATCTTTAAGTGGAAAAATGTAATTTTACCTGAATGAAGATAATGGACATTAAAATCATACACTAGAGTAGAGTATTACAATTTAGATTTTTTATCAACATAGTCCTACACACTTTTTACTCAAAGACACTTACACTTATGTAAAAGTGACAATTATTAAGAGACAATTAAACAGATATCATCATATAAATAAATCCTCTGCATGGATCAGAAATTATCTCAGATGTCATTGTCTTGCATTACAAATTACTTTTAAGAAGCAATGATACTTTCACATTCTGTTTCAACGCACTAAACGTTCAAGACAGAAGCTACGGAACACTGTGTCCCAACGTTGATTGAATCGATGTTGTAAGAGTCCATCTATTTTCTATTATTACGCTAAGATTCCAGCCAGAACTTTCTTTTTCTGTCTAACATGGTTTTAAAATCATCCTTTTGTATGAGTGTGGTTTTATGGTATCTTATGCTATATACAATAGTCAAACATTTAAAAATCATTGGTAATCAACATAATCTAATACTCAGGAGATTGTATATTTCATTATTAATTGAGAATTTATATTTAAATGTTTTGTGGGTGAAAGTCAGGGAAGGAGAAGGGAGCATACGTGTCCCAGTTGGATCTTCAAAAATAGTTGCCCTCAAATACCATGATAGAGGACATGCACAATTCAAGTAAAAATAACAAACATGCTGTAATGATTTGCACACAGCTGCAGAAGAACCAACATTGCAAAGGGACTATTTCCAAAGGCCACAGCTATATATGGTAAACTATAAAACATTGCATCTCAATTCAATTATCTCAATCATACAGAATGGCCATCAGCCCCATAGAGCAGACAGCTACACTCATCACATCAGCACTTGTTTATTTATACAAAATGAATCATGCTCTACGTCCTTTACTTTCAAAGGAAGCATTGCACTGACTATCTACAAGCAGGATTCTCAAACATGCCCAATTTTATGAACTTGCAAGCATAGATAATGAGGGGCTACCATGGCATATTATACAATATTTTAAAGCTGTATTCTCAATAAAACAACTATATCATTTGATCCATTATAAACATTACACCAAATTGCAATCAGTAATAGTTACTTACAATCATAAAAAAATAGGCCTATCAATCTACTTAATAACAATATTTCGTTACCAGTTTTTGTTCAATCCAAGAATCATTGATGTAATTTCATCCAGAACTATCAACCAACAAATTATATCCATACTGCTTGACCTTAAATTTCAAAAGTAAATGAAAAAATGCCCACTGTTGCAAAAGATTTTACTGAGAAAGCAATAGATATCTTCAATAATCTTTGTCAGTATAGTCTACAAAAAGGACCACTCATGATTCAAAGAAACAATTGTTGGTAAAAATAAACATTGGAACATAAACATCGTAAAATCAGCAACAAGATGAATCTTATTTCACATCAGGACAACACAAAAGGCAAAGTAGAAAAATGCATCCCTCCAGAAAGACATAATACCGTATAGAGATGCGGCAGAATATAGCAAAAATATTAATCTTTATGCAAGGTCAAAAATGTACTGGCAATTATAGCATAGAGGAATTAAAATTCTGAATATGCACAGAGAACAAAAGGGATAAACTCTCAATACTTTTAACCTCATTGTAAGTTCTGTGTCAATCATCGTATTACATGCTCCAGCTCACACACTCTATAGTTATTCACTCAGCAGGGATCTCTGAAGTACGCTTAACATGCAAGGCACACACAAATTATGAGTACTTCTAATACCAGCTAATTGTTAACAAGATACATTTTCTCCAGAGTACCTTATATCCCTGAAAGGCTGAGGTAAACTTCATTTTGTAAAGGTAGAAATAACCCTGAGATGAATGTCAGTTACTTCTGAAATTGTGAACCTTTGCAGCTCCCCGATTGGTCGAAATGAATTAAAATTGTCGAGGCTCCTGGTCACTTTTCTCCTCCGGTAAATCTTACTGGTCATAGTTATGCCGAGGGGAGGGATGATTTAGAATATATCATGGTCTATGTATGTAGTGTTCAATAAAAATATATTTTTTTAAAAGAATATATAATAGTGGAAAAATACTATATATAATAGTACAGTGTCCCATAGAAAGAAATATCTATTAAAAACATAAATTTAATTATGACCTTAAATGAGCACATTATGTATGACCTATTAATTCTATTACCTGCTTTCTATCCAACAAATCTCTTTTGTCATGTTTGTCATCAAATATACTGTATGTCCAAAACACAACATCTCCCTGTTTTTCAACTTCACTACTCTAATTCATGAAGGCAACAGTACAAACGGTTTACTTTTATTTGCAATAAAATGAGCCAAAAAACAGCTGCTTACATGATGTTGCCGTCCCACAGAGCACAGTATGGGTTCATTGTTCCCTGCCAAGCAAAAGGACAGAACTATTAGCAGGTACATTTTGACAACAACATCATCATCATCATCATCAGTGAGATCATCATTATAAATCAATGACATATTTGTCCTTGGGTTCAATATAAATGCTAGCACAGGTCACAAGAACATGCTGCCCATGGAGCCAATAGACACACTTTGTCTGTGAGCAAAATGAAAAGGCCTGGATCATGAAAAGGGCTGTAATTATCAGACTGCAGTGTGCTCTCCTGACACTGAGTGCTTACAAATTCATTATCCAGCCAATTAAGCGCCTTTGTGAGGCCATTCTGAGAGGCAATCTGGGCTGTTGGTCATCATGCAAAATGAAATACTTTCTAATCAGAAGTTGAACTTTTTTGTTTAAAACAAAAACTAGAACAATGGTCACGTCAGTCAGATACTTACATTTGCCAAGTGCGCCAGTTCAATCTCCATGTGGGTCTCCGTAGCTTTGGGCTCTGGGCGAACAGTCACAGCGATGACTTTAGAGTTCACAACAGTGTAGTTTCTGTGGAAAAGAGAGTACGTTTGAATGAAGGAGGTAATCTAAGTCTAACACTAGCAATATGTACCATTTGTAACACACCTGTGCTCATGCACTGATTAAGCTTGTTCATATTTCCTTAAAATTGTTTAAATGAGTTGACATTACATTCAAGGCTGTTCCTAAAATATCCATTAACGATGTACAGAAAATCCCAACTACAAACTATGATAAAGACATGTGTTGATGCTGCTCAATCATACTGTACGTATAGTGTATTTAGTTTATTGGCGGGAAGGTGACTCAGTGGTTAGCATTTGTGCTTCAGAGAAGAAGCATGTTCTCCCTGTGTCTGAGTAGGTTTTCCTCCAGGTGGTCAGGTTTCCTATCACTAAAACATATAGAATGGTCCTCCGTAATGCTCTACTCAACCTCACTCCACCCCCCCTCTCTCTGGAGCCAGGACTCCCCTGAAAAAATATACTCCTGATTAAATTAAGGTATTTAAAAATAGGGTTAAAATAATATGTTTTTGATGTTGACATGTTGACCTTGTATTTAGGGATGCACATAAAACAATTGAGCATGCAATCTCTATATGATATTCTGGTGAAAGCGGACAATGTATAATGCTCCTGAGCTGCTAAACAGTAATTTTCCAAATCACAGAAAAAACTAAATCACTTGAAAATGTCATGCTGAACGTGTTACAAAGCATCAACACTGCAGTCCTTTCACCAGGCAGTTCTCAAAGCTCATTAAAGCATAAACATACGGATTAGAATCAGTGGGAGTTTGGCTGGATCTTTATGGAAAGCTGGTATTAAAACTTCATTTGGCCCCAGACTGACATTTCTGAGCCTATATTTTGAGGATTTGGAGTGTGCCGCTGTCTCTTGCGGCCTTATCTGAAATATGAGGTGCAAGTTAATTGAATATTTTAAACCTTTCAGTCTGAGGTTATCTTTTTTTTGCTGCGGCTTCATTTGAGTTCTAACCTCAGGCAATCTCGAACATAAAGAAGAAGAGAGGTGAGAGCACATTAGCGGTAGAGAGAATCATACGTGTTTTCTTTCAAAACACACAAACATCAACATGACATCTTGTTGATGGAAGTGAAGCTTCTTTCATAACACTCATAATAAAGCCATGTTTTAAAAGCATCCTCTGCTTTTGTACGGCTCCTTATAATGACAAGCTGAAACACTTCCCATTTGGAGGAAAGCTGTCATGTTCACAAAGAAGTGAGGCTGCACTATCTCCTGGCCCAGCGCTTCACTCAGACACCTCATGTATTTTCAGCTCCTTGTACTTGTGGAAATTTTGAAATAATATACAGTATTTGAGTTCTGTACAAAAGTATTTAAAGAGTATTTTAAAAGCTCTTCTTCCATAATCTTATTTTAGTAAGACATTTGACAACATTTTGGTGCTAAGTGTCCCTGTTTATTGCTTTTCCTTATATCGCAGTAAATACAGGAAAGGAATTGGTCAAATAAAACTTAAATGGTCAAAGTATTCCCCATTTCCAACACTCTACATTGGCCTATCTATGTCAGGATCAGTAATTGAACTGACAAGTGAGCAACTTCTGCTCATGGGTTTGGAAAAGGATATTTGAAATGGCAACTCTACTTTCTATAGTCTAAGGAGTGCCGCAGGGGTCGACCTGTTGACCTCTTCTGTTCAATCTCTACATGCTGCCTCTATGTCAGTTAATACGCAGTAACAACGTGTCCTATCACAACACCCAGGCAACACCCAGGCAACACCCAGATCTATGTCTCACTAACTGAAGGAGAACATGGACCAGTGGACTCACTCTTCCACTGCACTCGGCAGATAAGAGAGAGGATGCAAAACAAATTTCTTCAATTAAACTCAGAAAAAACTGAAATGATTGTGTTTGGTCCCCAGAAACCAAGAGAGAGTGTTTTCTGTCACCTTCAGTCAAGACTTAAATCTTAATTAGCCACATCCAGTTCTCAGGTACCAATGTACATGCGTGAAATTTTGATTGTCATACGACACACTCGGACTCTAAGGAGCACAGGGACTTGCCTCCTACTGGTGCCCTGAGTTGAAACTATACATGGAGAGGCAGCGTTTCAGACGTATGCAGCTAAAATCTGAAACATTGAAAATTTGAGACAGGCTTCTTCTCCGACACTGGTCAAATCCAAGGCAAGGCAAGTTTATTTGTATAGAAAAATTAATATACAAAGCAACTCAAAGTGCTGAACAAAATAGGATAGCATTACAATCATAAATGATTTATTGTCTGAATTAATTAATCATACTCTACTTTAAAGCAATCCATCGACCTAATTATACCCAGGCTCATACACTGATCTGAAAGAGACTTTGGAGATGTTCCATTGCAGTGTCCATCCTGCCCCCACATGTGCAGAGACAGGACAGCTGTTTGGGCCGGTCCTGGGCTGACCGCTGTGTCCTTGGGGTGGAGGGTTCCAGAGACATGTGTGACACCAGGTGTTTGTGTGACTTCACCCTCGCAATCATGTCAGCTTTAATTAGGACTTTTCTTCATGCTGCAAGAAGTACATCCACTGCCCAGACAAGTGTGTTCCGACCAACTCACTGCTCAAGTTTGTCTCTATTTTCCATTTTATATCAAGAATTATCCTGAGATTTTGGATCTCCAATGTCACTCACAGACTGTTTTGGAGACAGCAGTGAATAATGTGCAAACATCTGAGTCTCCAAAGGACCAAATCTGTCTCGGTTTTCCCTTTGCCAGCAGACAGATAAGAAATGTGCTGCACTTACTGTGGTGACGGTAACATTAGTCCCAGCGTCTTGTAGAGGACTGTTCCCAGAATGAAGACAGGAGATCCGTCCATATCTGCCAAGACAAGCACATGGAAGAAGTAGGTACAAAAAGTGCTCAAGTGAAACTCAAAATCTGGCGTGTAAATATACCTATAAACCATGACAATATTGTAGAATACTTTGTTCTTCTATGTGACTGTAGAGTAAAAAGCAATTAGCAACTAATTGTCTTCATGAAGAAATAATTCACACGATGTCACCCTGTCACGCGATTAAGACATACGGTAGATCAATCAATCAATCAATCAACGTTTATTTGTAGAGCGCCTTTCCTACACAAGGCAACGCAAAGCGCCTCACAACCCATGTCAAATCATGCATAAATCAAACATTAGAATCTACAAAAGTATTTTTTTTTTAAACTAGGGCTGTCAAACAATTAAATTTTTTTAGTTGATTAATAGTATTGGTGAGTTAACTCACGATTAATCGCATGTTTAACATTCTATTTCAAATCCACTCCAATTGAAGTGAAATGAGATTATCAAACGTAATGACACATGTCATTCATACCAAATGTACTTCAATATGTTCGATTTGCTCACAACCTTTTACTTTTGGCACAACCAACATGAACGGGAAAATGTGCGCACCCCAGCTTTAATTTAGCAAGTTTAGTGGCGTTTCAGGGGAGACACGGAGGAGACACGGACACTCCCTGAAGCTCCATAGTTCAGCTTCAGCGGTGTATTTCCGTGCACAGGTTACGCACAGGTTCTGTGTGTGTGTATGATCTTATTTGAGCACCGCGGCGCCATTCACCGTGTTGTTGTTAGTGGCTCACAGCCGCAACCAGAGCGGAGGAGGTGGACTTCAGTTCAGAGCAAACAACAGCCAGTCACGCGCGTATTCTTTTAAAACTTGAATTCCCAGAGACCTGCTCTGTCATCATCACAAAGGCAAGTGTCCGCGGCATTCTGAGTGATATTATTATACATGAGGGCGTTAATTTTTTTTTTGCCGTTAATTAAAAATGTTATTAACGTGAGTTAACGCAATAATGTGTTTTTTTAGGGCTGTCAAAATTAAGAGCACAAGATATATTAAAAACATGAAAAATAAAATCACACATGGGATTAAAATCATAAATAGCCATAGTGCGTTAAAAAGATTAAAGATAAAAAAAAAGATAAAATCCTTCAGTTGTATGCACAGCTAAACAGATCTGTTTTCAGCCTAGATTTCAAAACTGCCAGAGTAGACACCTGTCTCACATTCTCAGGAAGACGGTTCCAGACTCTAGCTGCACGAACGCAGCCTCCCCATGTCTAGTTCCGACTCTTGGTACCAGCAAAAGTCCAGTCCCTGTGCTCCTCAGAGCCCGAGTTGGTTCATATGGCACCAACATGTCGCGGATGTACCCCGGTGCGAGGCCATGGAGAGACTTGTACACAAGCAGAGCTGTTTTAAAGTCTATTCTCTGAGCCACAGGAAGCCAGTGCAGAGACCTGAGGACTGGACTAATGTGGTCGTACTTCCTGGTTCTAGTCAGGACTCGAGCTGCTGCATTTTGAATGTACTGCAGCTGTTTTACAGCCTGTTTGGACAGACCTGTGAGCAGGCCATTGCAGTAGTCTAACCTACTGGAGACAAAAGCATGGATAAGAATCTCCAAGTCTGCTTTAGACACTATGTTTTTAATTTTAGCAATGTCTTTTAGGTGGTAATAAGCTGCTGATGTTACAGATTTTATGTGGCTATTGAAATTTAAGTCTGAGTCCAGTATTACCCCTTGATTTCTGACCTGATTTTAGGGTTTTAGGGAGAGAGACTGGAGGTGGCAGATGACGCTCTCTCTTTGTTTCTGGGGACCAAAAACAATCATTTCAGTTTTTTCTGTGTTTAGTTAGAGAATGTTATTTTGCATCCAATCACCGATTTTTTGGATACAGTGAAGGAGTGAGTCCACTGGTCCATGTTCTCCTGCAGTCAGTGAGACATAGACCTGAGTATTGTCAGCGTAATTGTGATAAGAGACGTTATTATTGTGTATTAACTTACCTAAATGCAGCATGTAAATATTAAACAGATGAGTCCCCAGGATTGACCCCTGTGGCACTCTGCAGGTCAGGGCTAAGTGGTCTGAGATACAGTTTCCGATCGCCACAAAATACTTTCTGTCTTGTATTTTGTCTTGTAGATATTGTCTATAGTATTATATAAACTGCATGATGCTAATATAGTGAGAATTTTTTTCAAGTAGCTGTCCTCTTAATGGGGCTCTGCTCGTCTCTATAAGAAAATGTTGCCTCCTCAGTAGTGTCAATCATTTTCATTCATAATTTTTGTTTTCTTCTTGATCCCGAATGGTTTTAAATATATATTTTAAAAAGTTCACTTACCTATAGTACAACAGTTTTATCTGCAATATGTCACTGTCCTTTCAATTATTGATAATATCTTTGTTCAATGGCAAGTGTTTTTTATTCCCTATAAAACATGTATTCACACACGCTCTCTACAGATTTGAGCTGTAATGTGTAACTTTCCATGGAGTTATTGGCACATAAAATAATCAAATAATAATCAATAATCAATAATAATCAAACAAAATACACAACGTAGAAAAAAAAGAACTGTAGAGGTGTCCTCTAAAGTAACAGTGCTTGTGGTTCACAGAGGGGATAATTGAGCGCAGTGTGCTATGTAAAACACCAGCGTGCATCCCCCATACAGACTTCACTCCTCATTAGAGTCAGGTCTTTGGTGTCTCTGTTCAGACGCGTGCCGCAGATTTATAATCAATCCAGTGTTTTGTTTTCTGAGGTATATCCCACAAAAGACTGATTACACCAATTAGGCAGATTGTGAGGCTGTGTGGTCGCAGGCACACAGAAGGCCTGCTGAAGTAGCTGAGTCAGCTGAACCTGGAGAAGCACAGACGCTGGTGCAGCCGCTCAAAGACTTGTGTGTTCATTTATTTTCAACATGCCACATGTAGAAGAGGATATCAAAACTGCCTTTTACAAAAGCTGTTTGGTCAATTTTTATCATACAAAGTATTTGGTTGTTATAAACACAGCAGTAGCTTTGTTTCTTTTGAAAAAATAAAAAATAATTAGCAAACAAATTTGCACAAACTTGCAAAATCCAATCCATCTTTGCAAATAAGAATGCTCACGCCTGCCCCTTGAGGTTGAATAAATACAACTACTAAAATGTATTGACTTTTCAGCAATTGATTTGCATGCATCAATGCATGTATAGGACTAAATTTATATGGTAGATTAGCAAAGGTACTGTATATAAAGCATATGCTATACGTCATATAGTGATTTGTTTTGAGAGTAGGAGAAAGATGTGTTTCTCCCAGTGTTATGCAGCATGGTGAGCTATGTGCACTGACAAACCTGCTGACTGCGAAACAAAGAGGCCCTTGGGGATGACCACTTTATCTTCGGAGTTCCTGGCCCAGTCGACCATGCCTTTACGACCCTTCATGGGGAAGTTGATGTCAGTCATCACCGATACGGCCGGCAGTCTCTGGATGCTGGCCACTGCGGGATAGGAACAAACGGAGCCGTGAAGAAATACTGATGATCAATAGACTTCAGACTTTTAGAGCTGGAGGTTGGCCGATTCAGAGAGAGGGGAATTATGGGTAAGCGATTTGCGTGAGAAGACCAATAAAATATGATCAATTATGCAGATAGTCGGTTTGGGATGAGGGGAGAGGAGTGCATGGTGCAGAATACTAATACTAAAGATCATAGGTATAGTAATGTTACATTCAAAATGATGTAGCAAAACATTATACCAAAAGCTCAAAGAAAGCATCACTTTCTCAAATTACAGAAGTAAATGATTTAATTTAGACCACCATGCCTTTATTATATATTTAATTCGTATAGAATGTAATATTCCAGACAGAGCATTCTTAATAGTGTGTGGGGAATATCCAGGGGATCGCATTGTTAAAATATGCACACAATACATTGTATTGTGCTGCGCTGTTCTGCAATCTGTGTTTTTCCAACTCTCTCTAAGTTATTTTGAAAACTGTGTACATTGTGATCAAATATTTATTTTCCCACAGAGGCATTTCCCGTTATTTCTCACTCATTGTTTCTGACTTAGTACCTGCTGCTCTGACAGGATGCCACTCAGCAGCGTTTGGACATATGAGTAGAGTATAGTCTGGGTTACAAAATGTCAGCAAAAACCTTCCAGGAGCATTACGCAGAGCCATAAAAAGAAAATCACTGCTACAACTGGCATCTGCCAAGGAGTGGACAGGTAATCTCCTTAATCACTGCTCTTGCTCCTGCTTCCCTTTGGAGCGGCATGAAAGTCCAGAAAGTCTGAGAGGCACTGACAGGAACTGGAAAAGACCAGGGAATGACTAGGAACAGAGCGGATATACTCTCCAACTGGCCATCAGAGTGAGATCATACTTAGACGCTACTCAAAGATATTGACTTCAATATGCGGATCATGTACATTTTAGAGCAAAACTTGAAAAGAACAGAAGGGTATTCTAGCGGTTCATTATAAAAAGAATTGCAATTATAATGAGCATTGTAAATGAATAAAAACAAAAACAAATGAAGGAATAGATTATTTATTTACTTTAAACATGTACGATGTGGAGTAAATGTTAACAATTAACACTGTAGCACGTTGGCTGAACAGCACTCAGCGCTTCTCAACAAGAAGGCCCTGGGTTCAAATCCCAGTCGGAACAGGGCCTTTCTCAGTGGACTTTATATGTTCTTCTTGTCTATAGCAGTGGGGGCGGGTCCCGGCTCACAAGTTGCCAAAATGACGTGCACTGACATGCTTGCAATGACACCCCGTTCCGATGAGGGTGGACCCGGAATAAGAATTAGCCAATGCTAACATATAGCATCTTCTTACCTCTCGAAAACACCTTTACAGGATGGTCCAAAAGTTGGCTCTTGGCCCAAAGCTCCGTTCCACATGTGTGTCAATGCTGAGGGGAGTAAATTTTTTTGGACCCGTCTAGTTTACTCGTAGTGAATTTTTGAAGTCACTCATTTAATTGAATGGAGCTGGTGCGTTTTTTCACATTTTCCAGTCCCCGCGGCCATTTTGAAGCACTCCATGAGAGCCCAATTTTTGGCCCATTTGTTAGAACGAAGATAGGCGTGACTACGTCCGTTAATATATACAGTCTATGGTCTATAGGTTTCCTCCGGGTGCTCTAAAAACATGTACAATAGATCTGGCAAGCGCCTCCTGTATTGCAACCCCTCCTGTGTGCAGTGAGCGAAAAATGCCCACGATTGTAAGGCGCTTTGTGACTCTGGTCTATAGAAATAAAGACTACATACTTACTATTGCTACTAAGAATAATATATGGATTTTTTTTATTTTTATGAAAAAAACAAAACAAACTCAAACAAACCAAAGAATCCAATGAAAGCCGCAGGGGTGCATAGGATCCGATCTGATTATCTTAAGGCTCTAGATATATATGGTCTCTCTTTGAAACATCACATGATGGGCAGTATAGTGGCACACTGGGGGTTGTGGTCCTACTGCGTAAGGGGACTGGAGGGTGTGTTCCAATTACATTTCTTAGCTCTATACAAGTGTCCGCTATACATGCCTCCCTGGAGAGAACTCTGGTTATGTTGCATTGAGTGGAAGACTAAGGACACAAGTCTTCCACTACGTGCCTGTGTTGACTATGGAAAATTTACAATTCACAGAAAAATCCTTATAATTATTGTCTATGGATAGCTTCCTTTCCCTAAATAATGAAAATATATGAATACGACTAAGCAAAGTATCTCATCTCAAATTTAAAGAGCCAGCACCCATCCCAGTTTAACAATCCCTGTCCTTTTACACACAGTCCCAGGCAGGCTATGGATTGTTTTCTCACAATTGGAATCTCTGGTTAATCCCAGCAATGATGCCAAAGCCCTATTGTTCCCCTGTTCTTTTGGAGAATAATACTATTTGGATGAGGGTCAAAAGATGGAGTGAAATGCACCACATAGAGTTTGTGTTGGGAATGAACTCATGCTGCTGCAAAGTTCCTGGTATTTGTGAAGGAAGAAAGAGAGGCAATTTCCCGAGGAGTAGTTGTTCAGAGCTGTACAGGTATAAATATATTGTGTTTGTGGGTTTTAGTCAAAGGGCGAACTCAGAAACACAACACAACACACAGGGTGCTCGAGAAACTGTTGAGAAACTGTCACTCACAGTTGTGGGTAATTTTCTGAGCAAATGGGGCTTAAACAACAACGTCTTAATTTAGCCGTGAATTGTGTTTAAGTGAACTCTGTATGGCTGGTAAATAACAGCATTACTCATAGCGGCTCAAAGAAGTATCAACATAAAGAAAACAGGGCTAACAATACAGGAATACGCAAGTGAATTAATGAGTAATTAGAGCGGTCGTATTGGTGTAACTCTATTTTGTTGCAATCATTGAGGCATCATCTTGACCATACATTAAAGAGAGCCAGGGAAAACATGCCAAAATGTGCATAATGTATTAACTGAGCAGAGAGGATTGATGATTTTATGAGACAGTTTATCTTGGGATGGATGTTTGCATTCTGTGTTGGCATTTTTGTTCCTTTATTCAAAGAAACGATGTGCCAAAAACAATCTCGAGATGCTGGTATTTAGTCAATCACTTGTCACTTCCCGAGTTACCTACCCAGACGTGCTTCCAACATGCATTTCAATGGGAGATCACAATGTGGGCTACAATTTAGGGATCTGCAACCACTGTCTGAAGCGAAAAATATTAGCAACTCTTAACAGTTAACCGAGAAGTAGCGGAGGGGGTACCAAGAGAACCATACGTGTCAACTTCAGAGTTTTTTCTTATCAGATACTTAGAGAAAGAGTGTTTGAATAGAAGAAAACCCTCAATTTATTCACAAAGAAGATGTAAATTGTAAAAAACAACTGTAGATATCCAGGAGAGAGCTTTCATCCATCACAAGTGAATAGAAGTGTTAGCTCTTCTTTCACAGCAACAAAAGAAAGAGTGAAGTGACTCATAGAATCATTTCACACGAGAAAAGTTGAGCGGACTTTTGGTTTCGCTTTGTTTACATTTCGATTGCATCCTTGTTAAGTGCTCCGGTCTAGTGCACTTTTGTTGTTTGACTGAATGCATGATTTCAACTGTAGATTGTGCTTTTGAGGAGAGGTTTTCCGGGAAACTTCCACTAGGAGGAGACCTTGGGAAAGACCCAGGACTCACTGCAGGGTCTATGTCGCACAGTTGGCTAAATGCCTCTGGATTCCGTCTGATGGGCTCTAGTGTATGTGGAGCAGGAGTTGGGCCATCTCAGCTCAGACTGCTGCCTCTGCAACTCGGGAACGGATACAGCAGAAGATAATGGATGGATTGTAAAAAGTGACATTGTGCATTAAAGAGTATGGGTTTTTACAAATATGCAATTGATTTTATTTAAATGAAGATGGGGTGTCTGACTTTTATAATGCACTTTCTATAAGCTAAATCTAATTAACTAAATTGAATTGAAAGATTGAATCCCAAATGCATGTTAACATTTGGGATTCAATTCATTTGGGATTCTTTCATTATAATTTAGTGAGTTAGGTTTACCCTACAGAAAGACTGAAATACATGAGTGTCTATTACTGTTTCCATCCAGTCACATAGAAACTAAATGAAGATAAAATAAGATAGACTGATTTTATCTTCATGTATCGATCTCACAATGGAGAAATGTACAAGTATCATGATGGAATTCCAGAGAAGCAAACATAATGTGCAGGTTCCATACTGTCCATACTCTGCAGCATTTCAAACAGACCAGTGAACATTAGGGGATGCAGATTTGCTGATTTGCTGATTTTCTGGATAAGGCACTGGGTGAGAGTGTTTGCTTCTTGCATTATGTCGTGCCTCTGTCCTCCAAGTGTCTGCGTGTGAGGAGGCACAACACGCCCAAAGCATTTCGCAATCAAGGTTATTTGACTAAAAGTGGTAGGACACAGGGCGATGCAGTGATGACAGCCAATATTTATCTAGGTGTCAGGAGGCTGCCATAAATTAGTGATGAAATGATGCTGCAATATCTTACTCAGCCAGATGCTCTGCACTTGGCCACTACCTTTGTCTCCCACAAAACTTTCCATTCGTTTAATCAAAATGGCCACTGGGCAATGAGTGCTGAAAGCTGCGGGATGATGCCAGGATCATGTAAAAAGACAATGAATATCCAATAAGATTTTATGCTACTGAGCACTTCCACAATTACATGCGATTAAACTAAGTCTGCTTTTATATTACTCAACTGCTATTTAACACAGCTCTTAAATTGACATAAAATCACATTGTTCTAACACTTTATTTTACCATTTTGACTCCACAAACACATCTGCCGGTTGCGAACACATAGATAGCCAACAGTTCCTTTCTCGTTTTTCGTAAATCAGACTTCTCAGACCAAAGTTACTGTATAATGGATAAAATAAATGCTAATTATAATATATACATGTATTAGGGATGCATGGTCTTGGCAACATATCAAATTGCGATTGACAATATTTAACTAAAAGTACTAAATTGTTTAGAATGTGTCAACTTCAAAAGAGTCCAAATTGAAAAAGAGATTTAACTAATAGACTTTTCAATATGTGAAATACTCAAATTCCAAATCAAATATGAAAAACTGACTTAGTGACATTTTGAACTAAAATGAGAAAAACACAATCGACTGTGTCTAAACCTGATTTCCGATTTACCGACCGTCATCATGAAGCCCACACAAGCTCAAGTACTCCTAAGGTTGAAAGCACTACAAAAGTAAAAGCAGCACGCCTGGCTTATTCTGCGCAAAAAGGATTTGCTGTCAATTTGAAGCCAAAATGGTTTTCCTATTGTGTGTAAAGCGCGAGTCAAGTGCTAATGCTTTCAGGAGAATAAAGACGAGAAGGCGGTGGCAATAAGATTGGATGACTTCCATTACGCCAAATTGGAATCAGTATGGTTTCAAATGGGAGAGCGTTATAGAAAATACTCTCACATCAATGAAAGAAGTCATTAATGCTCCACTCATTAGACGCATTCAAACCTTATTTCCAACATCCGTTACTTAATTACAACTCGCACACTGTTCTATAATGGCAATCAGATATCCATTGTGTTAGGAGTGTGTATAATGCTCAGCGCTGTGGACCCGTTCCAAATGGGTCAAATGTTATGGCATTTGCAGAGAATGCTAGAAAAGAGTTTTACTTCTCACACACACACATTCGGAATCGCACGCATGAATGAATCAATGGCACACTTGTATTATTCCTTCCCTGTAAGATAGCATTTATGGCTGAGCAGGAAATGCAATCCCGCAGAGACCAGCCTGGAGGCAGCTCGTGTGTGCGACAGGAGCTAACGGGAGCATTGAGAACTATCCCCTCCACCCTGAGACTCCTTTTAAGCAACTAAAGCCAAATTGAGAGTCCGTAATCACTGGTGCATAACAACAAAATTGTTCCCAAACTCATTACGGGTTTAAAAGAGCCGGCGATACAGTTCAGAAATGCTGAATAAGATTTAACTAAGGATAATTGCAAAAGAGGGTATAACTTGAGTATACCATCTCAAGCAAAATAAAAAGTCACTTGTGCATGTGTTGGATTAAAGCTGGGGTACCTATCTGTAAAACCATCAATAAATAGAAAGAGAAAGATGAAAAAGAAAGACCACACTTGCCTAGCTCTCAGCCCAAAGTGTCAAATAATGAATAACCGGGCTTTTTCTTTCAATGCAAAATGTTTACTCTAGATGAAGACAGCATGTGGTGGTCTGATTTGTTCACGATAAGATACTTTTACAAGACTCTTTGTTGGTACAAAACTGTATTATCTAAATGGAAAAAAGGTACAACACCAGCTTTTAAGATAAAGTTCAGCCTCCAAAGAAATTCATACATACTATTACGTAAGTTAATAAACAATTATTTCTTTAAATTAGAACATTCTAGTACCAGTCCTATGTATTTCTCAGACTTAATTCAATTTCTTAAAAGACTTCAATAAGGTTTCAGAATTCAAGCCTTATCAATGAGCCTTATACTATTTTGAGAGCACGGACAGATTACCCCGTGATTCCCAATGCACCCTGTTTATCTGTAAGTAATCACAGAAAGCAAATGCCCATAGAGAGCGTATGAGAAGTAATATATGGTGAATTTATTTTTTAATATTATGAAGTTGATGGCTGCAAGTGGGCTTCTTACCCAAGTTGCCAGTCATCAGATAAGCGTTGTGAAAATCCTTCATCCCCAGTCCAACGATGTGGATGAATTCTTCTATGACCTGCATGAGCTCCACGGCGCCCGGGTAGATCTGCGGGGCACAAGAGATAAAGATGACACGTTCAATTTTGTACTCTGCAGCAAAGATAGGAGCTGGGTGACAGGATAATACCAAAAAATTAATAAAAAAGTCAGGTACAATGCCTCAGAAACACAAAAGTTGTATAATTGTTGTTGTTTAGTTAATGAGCTAGTATCGAAAGACATTATGTGTATCTTTTCTTTTATATTTGCATAAGAGAGATTTAGCAAATATTTCTCTACAAAGAATCTGGAAAAACAGCATTTAGGGTCAAAGTATTACTAATATTACAAACTCAATACTGACACTAAGAACAAGACCTAAGACCAACTTTTATTATAACAACAAACAATATTATACTACTTTAAATGTACCATGCAGTTTCAAACTATTTCTAATACAGATTAAAATCATTCCAAAACTGCTTAGGGAATCTCACACGCTGTTGGCTTTATAATTCTTCATTACATTTTTAAAATTAGTATCTAGTTTTGATAATAGTTTTAGTGTCAATTAATATCTGATTATTGATTGCTCAATGAAAACTAGAATTTCAATACAAACATATGTTGTCAATGTCAGGTTTATATACAACAACACCAGCTGCCCAATGTGCTTCACAGGCACAAAAGAAAAAGAGAATAAAACCAGCATCAAATACACACAAATACGTGTAAAATGTAAAAATGTTTAGGATTGCATTGCAATTTATGTCTCAAAAGATACAAAATACGTAACACAGGAAGATTCTTCTGCGGTCATTATAGCCAATAGAGTCAGCATGATAGGATTTCAGCACCATGGACAGTGCAGCCGGCAAAACAATAGCACCACAGGTCAGGTCAGCGCGCCTCTGCGTCTACAAATCGATAAATCAAAGACGCCTCATCCAATAAGTGACCCGGCACAAATTGCAGCTTTATCCTTGATGCTCATTTGAACGTGATGGGTCAGATCTAAGAGGTTTTGATTCCCTGGACCTTTGACTTCAATAATCCTGATTGTTTTACTGTGTGCAGTGTGCAGTGTTTAAAAATAAAACATAGGATGTGCAACACAATAGAATATGCTGTTATATCATACATGACATTAGAGAACCATGGGACCTGACCTGTATGACAACAGGCGTATAAATAGCTCATAGATAGTCTCTTAAACAAATGAAGACTGATGGAACACTGCTGACCAGACCTCAAATGTCAAGCATCTCTGCAATTATGTGCAATTATGTGCAATTATGTGCGGTTTTAGAATATACTATGCCACTGTCACTTCAATTAAGCCCAGGGCCTCATGCTGCTAACATGTGCATTAGTATCAACCTCATGCTGCTAAAATCTGGCGGGCGGCACGGTGGCTGAGTGGATAGCACTCTCGCCTCTCAACAAGAAGGTCCTGGGTTCGAATCCCGGTTGGACCAGGGCCTTTCTGAGTGGAGTTTGCATGTTCTCCCCGTGTCTGCGTAGGTTTCCTCCGGGTGCTCCGGTTTCCCCTACCACTAAAAATATGTACAATAGGTCTGGCATGTGCCTCCTGTACTGGCACCCCCACTCCCAAAAATAACAATTGTAAACCGCTTTGAGACTCCGATGTGCAGTGAAAAGGCGGTATATATAAATAAAGATTACAATAAAGATTACAATAAATCTACAGTAGAATCAACCTCATTCTGCTAACATGTACAGTAGTATCATATGCTGCTAACATGTACAGTAGTACATCATGCTGCTAACACGTACAATTGTATCATATGCTGCTAACATGTACAGTAGTATCTCATGCTGTTTTCATGTACAGTAGTATCTTTGCTGCTCACATTTCTATATAAATATACAGTTGTGCTTTTTTGATTTATCTTATTACTGACAACTCACTGAAATATATGAAGGCTGTTATCATATTAAGAGCAGGTAAAATTGATTGTGTGTTTCAATGTTGCATTGTTGAGTTAAGTGTTGTCAAGTGTTGAGTTAAGAACAAATTGAACACATGTAAATGGGAACATGTTCTTTCCCTCAAACCAAATTCCCTTCACAATTGTTTAGGAATACTGGAGCATGCGATTGCACAGCCGTGGAGTCAGACAATAAATGGCTTTGAATGACATTTAGCAATTAGCACCTCCCGACTGCTGTGCCTCTACACCCCCGCAGCCAGGTGTTCCCCCCGGTGGCGAGGCGTTGATTGCCACATTCCTTTGACATGTGCCGGGACTAAACCTAGCGAGCCATAACTGATGCTGGAGTCGAGAGCCCGTGACACAACATCACTTCTCCCCTTCCGGCATGTCTGACGCACAGTGTGGTCACGCTCGTTTTGCTCAAGCCCCGTCTCCATGGTAACGGCGGGATGTGAAAATGGCTGCGGTGTATTCGGCATGGTGCAGACAGAGCTTCTTCCTCTCCTCGCCATGGTAACAGTGACAGGAGGTGAATATATAGTGATCCGCGCGCGCAGAGTAAAGAGCTCATAGTGAGGCGTTTCATGTGAGCGTTTTCAATGTTCACACAGCCTTCACAGTGTGTGGGCCGCCACGGAGGCTCGGCTCAGGACACTCATTAATTCAAGAAGCTGCTGAGAGAATTGTATTAGTCCAAAGTCCTGGCATCATCTGTCCAAACCGCACGACAGTCCTGAGCCTGTGTCCACATGCAGGAGTAGAGAAAATTAAAAATGGCAGAAATAATTAACCCTGTCAGAGAGCTCTTCAGGGTGCTCAGTCATACAGGTTTTTTTTTCCCGGTTCTTGTGTGATGTGTCTGCTCCGCGTGCTCTGATGCTTTTGTGAAGACAAAAGTGCTTACTGGAGGGGTCTGCTGAGCGACACCCTCCGTTTGGACCTGCCAAACTGAGGCTGCAGTGAGTAAACACCTAATTACTGCCCAAAGAGACAGCCAGGACTGGCACTGTCGGGACACTTTGAACTGCTCTACATCCCACCAGCTTCAACCATGAAATGCAGGGACAAAATGTGTGCAATATGGCAGATTTAAGGACATCCCCTCAGTCCTGTGTCAAAACAGGTGAAGCCTAATTTAAGTCAATTTAGCTGCGAAGGTGACAAGCGCGCAGCTGCCCTCTGCCGACTCCATCATCAAAAGTTGCTCTCCCTGTCAGAGGTGTGTGTGATTCAGGGTGTAGGGAGTGCAGACACCGGTGGCAGTTTGGAAAACAAGAGTTGCCACCTCTCGAGCTGAGAGATGTGTCCAACAGAGGACGTAGCCGGGAGCCAATTTCCATGGATAAACAGGTTGTCAGAAATCTATTACTCTGTACCATACTGCAGAGCTGCCACAACATTTATCCTGCAATATTGTGAGGGGTTATAAAAGCATGGAACATTTGAAATCAGGATGTTTACTTGTATTTAACACATAATAATTCGAATTGATGTTACCATTATTGATTTATATTGTGAAGTTAAAGCTTTGCTTGTACCCAAGGAATAGATCGTGCAGTGTTAATAGCTGTTTGTGACAGTGCTGCTGCCCCCAAGTGGCGGTCTGGAGTATTGAAAGTCTAAATGAGGCCAGATGTCGCACCTGCATAATGACCACTACCAACAGTTCAGGGGAGTGTGACACACATCTCATCACCTCATTACACACTATTTACCCCAGTCGCTGCCACAATGGACCTGCTATAAGCCATGACATAATCACACTATGTATGCACATTAAATTATTTACAAAGCTTACAAGAGCATGCTTACCTTTTGTGCATCCTCCCATTTGTCCTTATTTTCCTCCTCTAAAAGGTTGCTGATAATTTGAAAGAAGTTCTGTGGGGATAAGAAACAGCAAATCTTTATCCTTTATCGCTCCCTCCCACACACAAGGATTACAGCCATTGCAGCAAGACCTGTTTGAATTATGACACGTAAACACTATGTAGTTAAGGGCTGTTATAGATAATGCTCTGACTGCAGGGAAGAGAATTTTCTGTCAGGGAATAATAAAGATCCCTGCAGTGCTTCACAGTATCAGGAAATTTGCCACAGAAACCATAATGACGCTGATCAGGAAAGAAGATGAGAGTTGAGGATGATGTGGCCCAGAAAAACACACCTTACACCCCCCGCTGTGGGAAGCCAACACACTAGATATATGACAAACACTCCAACTGCAATCAGGGACCAGGAGATTGGGGAGAGTGTTTGAGGAGACATGTGGATCGTCTTTGGCGGAGACTCGGGGTGTATGCCTCCAGTGGTAATAGGACCCCTGTCTGATCTTTAGCCTTGTTATTTTGTCTGGTCTACAGTGTGCCTAAGGGAGTGGCTCTCTCTCTTGACACAGGCTATCTTGTTTTCTACTTGAATGCTTATGCTCCCTCTGGTGGTAATGTGCCCACTTTAACACTGCATTAGCGCAGAGACACACTGAGGGGGTGGGCTGGCTCAGTGCTCTCCTGTCGGCCCACACACACCATATCGAGCTCATAATAATCCCAGACAGGATGCTGCCATGCTCATATCTCTGATTTCCTTTAGCAACAAAATGGCTGAACGACTCCATGATATTTTATTCTATACTCCTCAAAATACATAGAGGTTCAAATCCTACAGGGATACATGAATGTGAGTACTGCCAGCTATTACACAAACTAAACTCAACAGTTTGCGGTCCCAATACCACTGCACAATGACAGCCCATAATTAAGTGAGGTGAATGTTGTGGCTCTTTAATTATGTACATCTTAAGCCGAAGAGAAAGCTGCCTGCCAATTTATTTCTCATATATATACAACAACCCATAGACAGCAAAGTGCTCATCGACCCGATAAGTGGAGGGGAGCGAGTGCATGAGACTTGCTTAATATAGGGGAGAAATACCAGCAACAGTGGTCTCCTGATAAGTGTTGTTGTCATGTTGTATCTTTATCTTTTAGGCAGTTATTGTATTTTAAATCAGCATATATTGTGTGAGAAAGTGCAGCAGTTACTCTTGTCATAATGTGTGCTGGTGGCTATCTGAAAGCCAATGACCCAGATGGCAGTCTTGCTTCAATCCTACCTAGGGCAGCTGTGGCTATTGCTATCTTATCGTAATGGAAAGTAATGAAAGAACAGCATATGCAATGTTGATGTGCAATGTAAGTGTATTGAAATAATAATAAAATAAATATAAAAACATTTTTGTAGTATAATCTATTGACCTGTAATGATTGATCCAATTATTGTTGTGAACATATCCAGAACTTTTTAACACTTATTGTGAAACTACTATTCTTTTATTAGATCATATCATGAAGCTAGCACACTCTGCCATGTCTCTTTTACTACTCAAGCTGTTTGGCTATGTAGAAACTGGCTGATTGTCTAGTCTCATATTGTTCTAATTTTATAGCTCTGTCATAAAGCCTAATTTCCGTTTATTTCACTCTAAAAACAGCATGTACCAAACACATGCCCAGACTAACTCCCTCAGAGTGCACCATAATGACAGAATGGCAACACACAGAATCAAAGACTCTAAAGGGATATTTGGAATGACCAGAAATTATCATATTGGAGACAAGAGGTGGGATTTCGTAATCTCTATTATTCTATTGACACAAAGGGGATCAAGAACTGGAAACGGCCTTGCTGTAAAATGACTTAGCCTCAGACAGGGAAGCTATAGGCAAACGAGTTTAGCTTCTGTATCAAAATTATATGATTAAGAGTTGTCTAATGCTGTCTGGGGTCCTGCTAAAATGGCAGCTGAAATGTGTTACGAATCAATTTCCCAGACCAACACATTTCTGTCTGCAAAGGTGTACACTTGCCTCAAAGTCGCTTTTATTACCTGGCATTACGGGAGATTCTGTGCAATGTATTCTTTATCATAGAAACCTTGATTATTGCAAGATCATCTTTGAGGTCAACAATGATAATGGTTCTTACATTGGTGAACAACTCCAATGGTATCATTTAAATGTGTCCTTCTGCAACTATTATCCAATGTATACAAGTCATTTATAACATTTTTCATATCAAGTTGACAATAAACACTTTAGAAACCACTTAACGTCAACTGTACTGTCCATTATTCTTTCAACAATGTTCACAAGAGACAACTTGAACCGTTTAGGAATTCACCTGCACATCATCCGATGAAGGCTCATAGCTGGCTCTCTTGAACGTCTCTGTCACATTGCGTAGAATTTCCACAGACGATAGCAGATCTCCAGCGTAAAAGTTTCTCCTTTGGGTAAGGTCAAGCAGATTTTTGGTCACCTGGGACATTCCATCTCCCGCCAGCATCCGTTGTCCCTTCGCAAGATGACCCTGAACCTCCAAAAACAGGATAAAGGAAGACAACTTGGGGCATCGGTTTCCTCAAACCATTTAGTTATAGACACAAAACACACAGCTCTGGAACACACAATGGAACCAATGGAGGGAGAAAATGAGGAAGAAAGCGTCTAGTCTCCATGGCCATTTATGTGACACTTATGTCTAAGCCAGGCCAGGCTGCATTGTGCCTTGCGGATGTTTTTGAAATGAGCCAATATGAATAAAAGAGGTAACTGGAGCAGAAGACATGCATTTAGGCCTAAGTTTCACAGTCAGATGACGTTTTATATCACTGCGCAGTGATGTGTCCATAAATACGTGTTCACAGGTGCAGGACTGGGTGTGCTATTTTAGCTCTTAGAAATAATTTTGCTAATAATAACAAAAAGAAAGCATCTCAAATGTAAAACGTCTTCACCAGCAGTCTGAAACTGAGGCTGAAATTAGAGCAAAACTGTACAGATGTTTGATGAATTGCAAATTTGGTAACGTGTATATTTTTTACCAATGACTGTGTCCAAAAAGCCTTCTATGGACACAAGATGATTAGCATGGTCTTGCTATAACACTGAAGGTTTGCTCTGCTCTGTCCATATCAAATTAATAAATCAGTTCTATTGGGACTTTTATGGACAAACTCATACTGACTTGTTATGATATGATGATGATATGATGATCAAGAACAAAAGTATTTGTGAATACTCTGTGTAGATTACTTTCCCCCAAATAAGCCAAACCATGGAGGCTATGTTGGATTGGACAAAAATATGAATGTCCCTCCTGGTAGTTAACAAGGCAGGCTAGAAACACCCTTCAAGTGCTGCAGTTTTGGAGACACTCTACTCCAACCATCAGCTCATAAAATGTGGACATTTTCAATGCATTAACGGTGCAGCAGAAAGATAATCTGTGCTAACCACTGGCCACAATATAAAACCATTGGTAAATGACCTGAACTCCTATGAAGTCAGTCTATCACTGTCCACAACACAAACAAAGCTGCAAGAAGCCTAAATAAATTACTTGAAGAACACTGAATTGAGCATGCCTTGCCACTTGCAAAAATGGTGAAATTAGTGTTTTAATTTTCTCGCCTATTGAAAGCGGTTAATCTTTGGCTACAGTGCGATGATAATGGGAGGAATGGAGAAACACACCAGGGAGGTAATTTATGATGCATTGGAAACAGAGGCGGTGGAAGGGAGCTGACTTTGCACCTACTGATTGCTGCAAGTATCTGAATTCATTTGTTATGCATCGAGCATAGCTGGGCTGCTCCCAGAAGGCCATACCGCGGTGATCCAAAGTGCAGCGGCGACTAGTGGTGCCTGCAGGGGGGACATTGAGAGGAGAGAGAACAGAAAAAAGAGGGAAAAGGAAAAGGTTCAGACCAAAGTATTAGAAAAAGCAAAGAACGTGTGGTTGGGGTTTTCGGAGTTAAACACTGGCAAAGCAAGAAATATGGCAAAAGCTTATAAAATATGCCTGTGGATTGTAAAACTGCACTTGTTTCAATGGGTACTACTTCATAAAAAAATCATTTTCTTTTCATAAAAAAATGAGGTACGTTGGAGCATGTGTAGGTATTCTCCAAGAAATCAGTAAGACTCAGAAAAAAAAGAAAAAAGGCATGTTCAGTGCTATACTGAAGATAGAAAATTACATGAATCAATCAATTATTATTATCTATTTTTTATAGTCCACAATCACAACAGCATTCACAGATGGCATTGCAGAATTGATTATCATCCAACAGCAGTGTAGATACATGTAATAATAAAATGCCTAAAAGTCCTTGAGCCATGGGGTAACAGGTCAACCAATATCCATAAATATTCTTATTATTCTGAATCCCCTAAAAAACCTAATGGGAGAGATAGAAATCTCAGCGAAAACCACTCCAAAGCACGAACAGGCTGTGGATCCAGGGCATCAGAAGATCCATCTCCATGGAGATCAGCGTGTGGCACAGCCCATTCAGGAAAAGTTACACACAGTCCCATTAAATATACATGTGAGACTGTACCTCTGTGTTTCTACAGTGAGGTATTCTTGTTTTTTACTCTCCCCCATTATTGATTTTTGACGCTGACATTTTAAAGCACATGTGTTGTTAGATTGACCCGAAAAAATATACAATTACTCCCTGTAAATCAAACATAACAGGCAGTGAGACACAAAGACAAATGCAGAGAGATTTTTTCGCACCACTTTGATTCCTCTGTGTTACTATACAGCGCCCTACATACTGAGCCCTGCACGAGCTGGGGCTGTGATAGCTGTCAGGCATTTAAGCAGTGCTCCAAATATAGTCCAAACCACCCAACCAACAACATCCACCCACAACAGGCACACACACACACACACACACACACACACACACACGTTACATCCACTCTAACGTTGCACCCTGCCAGCTGTCCACCTGCATACAGGACTTCACAATCATAACGAGGGCTTGAGAATCTGAAGAAAAACCGGTTCTATACTGAGCATGTATTTGTTGAATTATATTTAATGGTGGAAAGAATATTTATTGAATGTCACAAGGTTCACAAAAGTGGAAACATTGATAAAAGGCAGATGCTTAACAGCTAAAGTATTGAAGAGCACAAAAATACGTTGCTGGCCTTGCAAAGTGTAGAGTGTAGATGTGAAAAATAATGTGGAAAAGGGCTGCATCACACTACTCTAAATAGCAGTCACATGAAAAGAGAATAGACATAAATGGAAATATCAAGGAAATACAATAAAACATAACTAAATTAAGGCAATGGCACAAACTGTATTCTGTCTCTCAGGTACAGTACATGTCACTGCTCTCTTTACCCACTGCTATCTATCTTATATAGGGACCACGACTTCTGTCTCCAAACCACACCCCTCAACGCCCACTTTCTCGGAACATTTTGACCCATCGAAGCACTAAAATCTCCCCCACCATCACCAAAAAAAGCTGGAGACAGCCCCAGAGGCAGGAGGAGGCCAGGCTTCACACAAGACTGAGCAGCCGTCTGCCTGCAAAGCCGCTCCGCCTGGTCGCTTTTATTTACCTCCATAATCCAACAGCCATATTGCCAGCACTCAAAAGAAGAACTCAAAAGCAGAAAAAGGCTGTGGATATCTTGATATTATGACCATATAGCAATATTCAGCTGTTGTCATTCCTAAAGGTCACACAACTTTGAGAAACTGCACTTGGGGGAAAAACAAGGCAATAAACAATGATTTCATTTGAATTGTAGTCAGGCTTAAAAAATGCGTGATTGTATATTTGATGCAGAGCGACCGAATGCAATTTTTCATATCTTTTCATCTATTTGTAACTTGTTTGTGACCCAGAGAGGCTGATTTTATTTCATTATGGTGTGCATTCAGCAGAACAGTGCAGCACTCGAAGACATACCATGCCCAAGGCCAATTGCACAAAAGCCACATGCTCGAAGTCTTGCACTTTTTATTGTTTAATGAATTCTAAAAGCCTCACTGTAAATGCATTCATATCTACAACACTGCACTTCTCTAGTTTCATGTTTGTTGTGCGAAGGTTGCGGTCAGGAGGGGTCAGAGTTGTCAGAAATCCAACTTCAAATGTGATCCTACACCAATCTGCCAGCTGTCCTTACATCATCAGTCATCAGTGGGAGCTGTAAACTCCAATATGGGTCAGGAACAGTGACAGCGATCATGAACTGAGAGGAACTGACCGCTCGCTGGCCACTTACAGCAGCCTCTGACTTTTCATTCATACTGGACGACACATAAGACATTCATATGCCTAGAAATACATATTTCATAAAGGGGAGTGATATGTGCCTTTGTGACAGACGGACTGAATCAGGATGAATATACCAGAAATGAGACATGGAAAAGATTAGAATCTAAGTTTCAAGGTTTGATTCTGATTCTTGGAGATTGCTATTGGTTGGGCTTTACAAACAAAATTTAAAGCATGTGTTGTGCCAGTAATCAATGTAGGATGAAAAGAAAAAAATGTAACCCTTTAGAATTAAAGTATTTTCAGAACTTTGTTGGATAGACAAAAGGTGGAGCCCTGAAACTTCATAAGATATAGACATCGACTAAAACTCAGGGGCAACAGCACTAACATCACAAAGTACTCATCAAAACAAACAACCAAAACATAAAGATATGAATAAAAGGAATGAAAGAAAGGAATGAATCACATAATTTATTTTCAATGGTTAGTGAAGTACATTTTCTCAAAACTACACATGGCCAGCTTAGAATCGAACCATATTTGAAGGAAAATCATTGTTCAAAGCACTTAGTATACGGGTTTTTCTTTCCTATTCAGGTTGGTCATTTATGTAAAGCGCTCTTCCTGCTCATCCCACACATCTCTGCATTTAACACACACTTCAAAACACATATATTCTCATTCTGAAAACCTAGCTTACACTCAGGACTTTATTTACAGACTGAAATCTCGAGTATAAATCTCTGTTTTTTCTATCCACGCTGACATTATGTTTCCCCCGCTTTGATGTAGGCCCCAGACTCTCCCTTATATTTTCCCCGTGTCTTTTGGAGCTGTCGGTGCCACTCGTCATTTGCGTGACCGTGGCGACATCCTCCGCCTGACGGTGACCTTGATGACGACTGTGACTAAAGCTGAGCAAGCACCCGCCGCCGCCTAACGCGCCCCGACACTTCCCCCGAGCTCCCACGCCATCTTGTCTTTATGCAAAACGAATCAATATTTCATCAGTGCTACTTGTGGTAATGGGGAAATACAGGTGTGACGTATAGTTTGTGACATTATGACTTTCAAAGAGAGTTTTTAGTAAGGAATTGGATTGTTTTGTACTTTTTTGCATTCAATTCTCACTCTCAATATAAAAAGTTCTTGTATTAGTTTTACAAGTGAAACAATAAACAATAGTGAAACAAATCTGTTTTCTTACCTAAATAAACACACACAGACTTATTTTTTTTGCCTCTTTCATATCTTTGCATTTGCTTTTTCGGGTAATCACTCTCTAACCAAAGCATTAAACAGACGAAAGAAAAAAATGTCATGTTTTCTATTAATATAAATACTGATTTATTGATAATACTAAGAAGTACTTTTACATGCTGTTTCCATTGGGACAAACAACATGTGTTATTTATGAAACAAAGTATGTTAGGTACAGTAGCCAATCTTAAGCACCCAGTGTTAAGAAATATAGTTTTAACATTGAACAAAACTCTAAAAGCTTTGTCTCACATTATCTTTTTTTAATAGATATTCAAAACTACAGTAGTTCCGCTTGGGCGCAGATGTGAAACGCTTCTCGCACATGTCATCATTACAAGTCCAAGGTTCAGAGGTCCAAGGTTTCTTTTATCCAGTACAATCCCCACAGAGACTCGATCAGTGATGAATGACTTGACAAATAAACTTGACCTCTCCTGAACTATTGTCCATCACACTCGTACCTGTGGTCATCTGACAGTGGGCGGATGCTCTGTGCTTAAAATAAAACAGGCTTGGTACATTCAGTTTTACTTTGATCGCATAGGTGCACTTATAGATGAACTTTCAACCGTATACTTGGATCTAGAACAACGGATTCTTCACCCAGCTGTGGTTACAATGCCCAATTTAACAATGTTTATAGGCGTTTAATCTACATATGCAGCATTGCTCAGCTAACAGCACTAATAAGGTTAACTCTCTTTGTAAAGTGGCCAAGACTCTGACCTTTCTGTTTGACCTGACCACAGAAATGCGCATTTCACTGTAAATTATGTGCTTAATGAGCAAAGGTGATAAATCCTCCTTGTCTTATAGAACAGGATACAAGAGCCCTAAGAGCTTGGAGGAAACAACTCTATAATGCCAGACCATTATTAGCGATAAAAGCTAATGTCACACAAGTAAATCTGAAATCTGCCTCAGGTGAGCCATCTGTGGATGACAGCCTGTTCCGTCACTTCTAGTTGAACTGTTATTTTACGCTTATAAAAACATTCTGCAAAATATACAGGATTTTCCAACGCAACTTTAATCTGAATCCCCTGAGAGGTTTTTCAAACTCTGTTCATTATGTTACTGTGAATCGCATTATTATGTTGGTGATGTCCACTTTGGTTTTCACAGTCTTTATAGATGGCTCAATAACTCTGATTTATGAGTTCAATGACAAACCACGTAATATGAGTGAGATTTTACTGCACAACAAAATTAGGACTAAAATGCTGTGCAAATTACCCCAAAGCCAGACTGCAATAAATTAGAAAGTTATGGAAAATGGAAATTCAATTATCACTTTCAATATACACTCAGAAAAGAGGACACTGTTTATCTCAATAAAACTGGACTTATTGTTACCGCAGCAATATTCTGATATAGAGCAATTTTGTGAAATAATTAACAAATTGAAGCTTCACGCTAATTTTATGCTAATGGCGGTATATGTGTGAACGGCATATGTTATACTGCCGCACATACGCATGCATGGATAGACTTTGCCCTTGTCTGGTTTGGACTCTCGTGGCCAAAAGCCTCAGATGTCATAGTGACAGGCAGATGAAGTGATGATGTCGCCTGGGCTCTTACCTGTAGCGTTGGGAGGACATCTGTTGAAGGCCAGCTCCCCTGAAGGAGTCCGTCTCCAGACCATGGACACTGCATAGTCCTCGGGGCAGATCTCATACGGAGCTGAAAGTACATCAAATGTCAGAGCAGCTTGGTATTTCTCAGCCTTACTGACATGATGCAAACATTTCTTCATGTTACACACAATATGGGGACATAGGAGATCAAAGCTTTATGTTCAAAACTTCAAAAACTCCTTTTTTGCAACTTCAAAATACACTGTTTTTAGGTAGACAATGGCATGTAGAAAACAGTCCATGTTTACAATGCTTAGTTTTATTTATGCTTATGTTGTGTATGTATGCAATGTTGTTATATGCCCTCTATCCACAGTCACTTGCATTAAGAAAGAAGAAAATATGTGCAAATAAAAAGGTGTTATTGTAATTTTCATGACTGTTTAAAAGGACCAGCTACTTTGCACATGGTGATATGGCATAAAATATGGTAATTCTATTAAGAAAATCTTTGGGAATAGCTACATTTCTGCTTCGAATTGCTCAATAAACATTTAGAATTCAACTTGTTTACCGTCATATTCTCTGCCAGAAAACAAACAAATCTAAAAGGGTATACTTTTTTAAAATGTCTAAAAAATATATATATATATGTTGTTCTTGAATATTCAACAACAAGGCATTTTACAAGTTTACTTAAGAACTTTTGCTTTACCATATTTGATGTTTACCTAAAGGTGCATTCCTCTTTTGTCCTGGTGGCGGCCTGTTGTGCTTTATCTAAACATTTTAGTTTTTCCTGGCTATTTATACACTTTGTCATTAATCTTTAATTGCACAAGTTACAAGTTATATGTGTGGAGAGGCGAGTCTTCTTGCTGTAAATGCACTAAAATCATTCATAATTGAGGAGGGGACCTTTCAAGCAAAGCGATAACATATCTATAGTAATAAGCATCAGTTCACAAAAGTGGGTCACCACTAGGGCAGGTGAGTAATTTTGCCAAATACAATAAATCTGCCAGGGCATACTAATCATTTCACAATATCTGGTCCAGACCTGGGCAGCGCTGGTCACTGCACTTGCGGACTTCCTCTGCGTTGCCGTCGCACTGTTGTCCTGTTACCGCGGCACCCTGACACACTCGGACACGCCTCTGCCAGCCGCCGTCACATGACTTCGAACAGCCGCTCCAAGGGCCCCACGGGTTCCACTGGCCATTGGCTGTGAACAGGTTTTCTTATGTCACAAACTGAAGAGATTACATTCAAATATGGCAATGATTTACATATATGCTGTTTGAATGCATCAGTTGGTCGTCCAGATTTAGTCAGTAAATACCAGTGGATTAGAGGAGTTTAGTGAGGTGTGAAAAGGCTGTTACGTAAAAATAAACCAAGCTCTTTCTCTTTTCTTTTTTGCCAGTGCAAATTTGACAAAGTACAAATTATACTAAAACCTTCTGAGGCAGAAACCAACCAATATTTGGTTTATACGAGTGGTTTCACAGCAACAACTAAATATACGAGTAACTAGATTAAACTACACAGCATTATATATTTGAGACTTATAAGCAAGTCCGAACTTAAAATGAGGAAGCAGCATTTCATATCTAAATCCATCCATCCATTTTCTTCCACTTCATCCGTTGCCGGGTCGCGGGGGCAGCAGTCTGAGCAGAGACGCACACATACTTCCTCCGGCTCATCCAAGGATTGTATCTTCACAATTTTGTATGTACAATGATTATAACTCATTGTTTTATTAAGCACTTTGAGTTGCCTCTTCAATAAACACAATACTATGGCTACTGCAACATGGCTACTACAACTAATAGACACTGCCCTCTAAGTTTTAATTAAATTATTCTGTAATAATAAAATACATTTTGCTGACATTTCCAAAATTAACAACTTATTTCATGTCCTTGAAAAGAGCACTAATAATATGTGCAATAGACCAAAAAGGAGAGGGAAAAAAGGAAAACGCAACACAGATGCTTCCCTTCAGCGATGTAGTAAATCACGTGCCCTTGTCCGATTGGAAAGGTACAATAGCCCGTGAGCAGAAACACGCTGCTTCCTGGTTTTAACCTACACTTGCCCCTCCTTCACAGAGACAAGGCAGTGCTGTGTCCTACAACTAACCTCTGTCAGCGGTGTCTCCAACAGAAAGAAGCAAACCAGAGGCGGCACGACCTGTTGGGCACAAACTATCGGCGAAGCATTGATCAAATCTGAGCAGATACCAGAAAGGAGCGGATGATTGCGCCGTCGGATGGGCCTCAAGTATCTCTCAAGGATCGCAGTCGAGTGCCACGTGGAAATTACCAGTCATTTCTAGAATATTTAATTGTACACTGTAGTGGTGATTTAGTTAAAGTAGGTAAAATAAAATTATTTTCCACATAAATCAGACCACAACATGCTGTCTAGTACGAGTCACTTTTTGACTCTTTGGATAGAGAGCAGACTGGCTGAGTGAGGGTGGTCCTCTCTGTTTCACATTTCTGTGTGAAAAAGCTGAAGTAAAGATGTGACAGAAGCCAAAAACACATGGTTGAGAGAACTGCTGATAGAAACAAACAAGCCTTTTATTACATATTGCAATATCTAAATGATCACTGAAAGAACTTTCTCACAAAACATTGTCACAGCTGTAACATGTAGGCTGCAGACAAGCTTTACTGCATGATATTATAATTGATTCAAAGGACATATTTTTGCCCGGCAGTTCCTGATTCTCAAAATGATACATTTGATTTTCAGCTATCAGTGACAGATAAGATGTTATATTTAAATCAGACAGTGTGGTTTGAGTAATTCTTCATTTCCACAAAGCAGAGTTGAGTCTTTGCGTTGCATCAGGAGATTACAGTCAACACGACTGATCAGACAATTCCAATCCTAATGTAGACATCTTTAGCAGTTGGCAGACGCTAAACCTGAATTATGTGAAAAGCATGGTGTATTTATAACCGGATTTTATAAATCCAATTGATCGTCCATGGTCTTAAATATTCTTGAAATACTATAGGCTATGGTTTTTTTCCTCAGAGTTTCTGCATCAAACCCATGCAAACAAGAAGAAGGAAATGTGCAATACAGAACCCATCAAATGACATAACTGACTGCTTTTTTAAAGCTTGTCTGGCTTCTACCACAATTTTTCACATCCATGTATTTTTTGAATCTCACATTATTAGATTAGAAATTTCAAAGAGAAAGGTTAATAAAAGAGGACCACCCTCACCCAGACAATCAGCTCTCAATCCAGAGCATCACATTTTGATTCACTGGGCTTTTTCTTACTAGTATGTAGAACAAAACAAGCATAAAGCAATGGAAGATATTCACAGGGATTTTGTTCCCTTCAGATTCATCTATGTATTTCACCGTCTATTCTTCCCTCACTTATTCCAGACCCAGACATACTTGAACTATCCATCCATATCCAAAATATGATGTTGTTTTGTTCTGTATTGTAAATGTGTGTAATTGTGCTCGATGCCACATACGCGGTCATATGCATTACATGGAATAAAGTGAACAAAAAATTCTTGATAATTCTACCTATTTCCCCCATTGGCACTGTAAGAAATCCCAATTACATCCTTTCAAAAGTGTAAAAATCTATGGAAATCCAGCATTTTCCAGCCAAATGTAGCTGTCAAATTGTGAAATCCGTGACTGAGTAGGTGGTTACCTGTGCAGTCTGGATTATGGCACTCCCGGCTCTCGGCCCAGTGGCCTCGGCATTCTGATCCCCCATGTGCCGCTGCCGAACACTGCCTGGTCCTTTGCTGAGTCCCATTGGCACAGGTCACTGAACAGTCGCTCCATGGGCTCCACTCCTGCCACTGCCCATCCACTGAAGATCCAGAGGGGAGAGGGCAGAGAAGCATATGCTCAGATGACTATCACAAGCAATGAGAGAAACGGCTACATAAGAAAACAAGGGGATGTTAGATTTATGTGACATTTATTAATATGTTAGGCACTGAATCCCACGTGATTTTCAGGTTTCAGCAAGTAAGAAGCAATTGTATTGTATTTTGGACCAACAAGGCACATGTGATTCAAAAATGGTTTTGTAGTACCTTAATACAGTAACACAACATCCATATAAAATAAATACATGTTGCTGCTTTTCAGCGTCAGGGTCAAGGAAAAGCCTCTGGGGCTGAGTGAAGCTTTCATTTAGCAAGAGCAAAAACTCATCATCATTAATCTGCTTAGCATCCGCAGGCATTTGCAATCACCAAGTCATTTTGCCATTAGCATTTGGACGTTCATGCTTAGAGTTACCGTGTGACTCACCTATGTATTGTGTCAGTGATTCTCAAATTCTTAAAGACAAAATATAACGACACAGAGCAATGAATTGTGCAAAATAAAGGATTACATCAGGAAGGAAAAAATGAGAAGTAGAAGAAAATATTTTATCTAAAACTTGCAAAGACACGTTAATAAAAAATGTAACTAAGATTTTGAATGCAAAAAAGAGAGAGAGGAATTATTGTTCATAAAATTACCTTTTCAACCCTGTCAAGGGCAAAACATCTGATGCACATTAAATATAAGGATGATAAATACAGAGCTCAAAAATATATTTTATCATCTTTAACTTATTAAAAATATAGTATCCATGAAAGGCCTGCCCTTTACCAATATGCAAAGTGCTGGCTGATATTAGCACTTTCACCACAATTTGAGAACCACTGACCTAAATCTTCTGTGATGTATTATAAGTGCAATGTATTATCATTATTGTGATTATTATTTGGGCTGTGACAGAAATGCGCATGAACAGGAGTACCTGGACACAGAGCTATGTTGCAAAGCTTAGTCTGACTCTCGGGTCCGTCACAGGCCCGGCCCCCGTGCTGCGGAGGGGCACACATCCTAGTCCTAGTGCGGTGACCGCGGCCACACGTGAACGAGCACAGACTCCACGGTGACCACTCCTCCCACACACCGTGCACTGCAGACACACGCACAGAAGGACACTCAGAAGTCTCTCTAAGGGGATCTATGGCACAGGTGAACTGCTCAGAGCCAGAAATGAAATGGACTTAAACCAATGGGTATAATTAGGCAACAGAACCAATGCAAATGAAACACGGAGCACACAGACAGCTTCTCTGACACAAGCTTAGGTCTACTGTTTGGGGTTGTTACAATGTAGTATTAGCAACGATCCATGTTGAGAACTGGTAGGCAAAAGAGCAATGGACCTGTGTGACTACTCTATGACTTCAAACACACCGCCTTAGCTGACTTGCTGTAGCCAAATAATATCTCACCAACGTGTTCCAAATTTACACACATCAATAAAAGCTAAAATACTCATAAGCAATAACAAATGTTTAACTGGATCCCATGTGGCTCCTTCTGTTATTCCTTTTCCTCTTTCTATTTTCCATCACTGCAGATGAAATCTCCAGTCTATTTGTCACTGTAATATAACACTATTGATAACCAGTCCAAAGCACAGTGAGCAGATGCCTTCCGTCCCCCTGCTGCATGATTTAACTGGGTTTGGGCTCTGGTGTTATTTCTAAAAAATTGCACAAAGCATTTGATACACGGCCTGAGTTATAGCTTTATAAAAGGAAATGTGAATGAAAAAGTTAGTCACCTCCTGCTAAATAGTGCAGAGTGGAGCAGTATTTATTCTGCTGCTGCATTTTGAGATAGAAGGAAAACTTCAGAACTTCCACAGCTTAATCACACTCAACTTTTTAAGGTGATTACACCACTTTTTAATATGAATAAGACATTGCACTGTTAAGAGGGAGCTAAAGAAAATGGTGCATGGTATTGTTGCACTTTATCAAGGTCAGAGTCATTCTACGAAGACGATTTTGGAATAATGAATTCACATAGAAATAATAGTTCCTGTCTTAAACTGATGCACAGATGGTTTATGTTGCTTCCCTGTAGAATATCCTGATTTGGAGGAAAGTGGAGGAGTTCCAGCTCATGCACTGCCATAAGGGCAGGCAGTGTCTGTCCTATCCCTTGCCTCTCGGCACCACTTTGATGCTCTTAGCTAAGTGTCCCATGGTGGTTGTAGCGTTTACTTTGAAAAATTTAAGTTCAAAGCGGGCTCAGTACCCATGGCTAGCAGTGTCGGAACAGAATTCTGCCTCTTTCAGGTTGTTTTTCCTCTAACCAAACGAGCTCACCACAGCCACAAGCAGCCCCCACTCGTTGCAGACTTTTGGACGGATTTGCGACACGAAACAGCAGGAAAGAGCCGCCAAATGTGTTGCCATTAATTGGTACTGAAGTGGGTTGGACAGTGTCTCATACAGCATCACTCTGCTTTAGTCAGTCTCTGAACAGTGATTTGCTGGAGACAGAAATCCATACTTCGCCAGGAGCTATTGCTGTAGTCTCTAAAATAACTTTGGTGTAACACTGGTATGTCATTCTCCGTCTGCTGCAGCCGGAGGCATCAAACAAGAGAGATTTATTAAATTCCAGTATAATCAGTCTTCAGGCGCTGACAGTATCGTGCTTGGTCAGACCATACGAGTCTTTTACCTAAATTAAAGCTCCTGCTTCAGTGTACTGTATTAATCACACTGTGCACCATTTCTCATCTTAAAATAGTTTCTCCGTCTTTTCCAAAGGTATTGTAAGAACCAAGGACCAGAGCTGATAAATGCATACTTATCCTCTGCCTCAGGCCATTGAACTGTTGTTCACATACAATAGAATAAGTAAGAATTCTGCTGCACGTCGCAAACACAGACGAGAAGTCAAAGCTCCTCTCCGAGCATTTGTTACAGACTTTCATTCTGTGTGGTGCACAGTTGGGATGTTTTATCCCTATGTGCCACAGAAGTGAAACTAAGTAAGCTTAGTGACAGCCCACTGCATGCATTTTCAAACGGAAGAAACAACAGCATCACCAGAGTTATGTTTTTAACGCAGACTTCTTTGTTTTTGTCAAATAAAAAGGGAAAGAAACAAAACGTTAATTTGAACTCACATGACCATGGAGAACTACTTGGTGGAAATTAAGTACTGGTATAGTATTTTGCATTTTTGTTTCAGGTTTCCAATATTGTTTATCCTTCCATTTGTATTTTGTTATTGTTGTTTTTTAGATATAGACTTTAACTACTAAAATTCAGAAAAATAATGAATGCAGTTAATGAGCGCTTGTTTGTGTTGGTGTAACTGACGTTACGTAATTTTTTGTAAAAAAAAAAAAAAGCTTTTTAGTGACTGTGCTTAAATATCCAGTGTTCAAATACCAACAAAGAGATAATTCTCAAATGCATTCTATCACCCTAAATCACTCTCAAGCAGTTCTCTTACGCAGAGGGATACAGTTTTTAGCATACGTGTGTACAACAATTTCACACCTGTAGATTTGAAATCGCTGCTTCAAAACTCGATAAACAATAGCATCCCTCCAGCACCACTGACTTCCACTTTCAGAGCAGACCTAGCCTCTAATCACAGAGCCTTGTGATCCTGATACCTGCCCGTGACTCATCTGCTGTGCCATCATGGGTTGAGGAAGAAATGCCTCACAGGGTGTTTGAAGAAAAGCTGCCAAGCTATTTTAAAATTCACGGCTGACCTTCAAGGAAATAAATCGGACGACTACATCCCTACTGGCTGCTCCCTGGGCTCTTTGCACAGACATGTCTGTAAAGCTTCTCAATGCTGATGGATTGCTTTGTAGTTATGTGGGATGGAGAACAGAAAGATGATTAAAATACAAATATCCACATTCACAAAAGAACATCATATGCAAGCGACAAACAATAATTATGGTTCTTGTTTATACAGTTATTGCACATCATCATACATAACCAAACAAAGGACAATCATATAGCATCAACATGAATATTCAAGAATCTGCGGCTAACACTACCTGGACAAGGGGCAGTGTTATTGCAAACCCTTGATTCTCTTAAAGGGCCGGCGCAGTGCGATCCATATGGTGACGCGCATGTTCTTGTGCGCACCTGCGACCCTTGACTGCAAGTTACAGAACATGAGCTCCACTGGGACCACTCCTCTGCACCTGATTCACCTGTGTGGGAGAAGTGACACTAGTTAAATGCAGCAGAATGCTCCAGCAGGGGGCGGGGCTAAAGAAGGCCAGGCTCAGGACACAGGTGCCAGATTTGGGAAAGTAGGTTCAGATGGACTGCTGTGATTGGCTGTTAGAATCATGGGTGGCAACACATATTATATTACCTTTTAAATAAAATTAAATTATGTTGACATCTTATCCACTAATCAAACAAATGAGAAAGTTGCATGAGAAACTTTCTATTGGTGCCATTTAATCTCCACAATGTCATTGTGACACTTTCTAAAACCATTACCCGAACAGACCAGTCACTTGAAGGAAACAGTCAATCACAGCTGAGCGTCCATAAGGTCAAACAACATTTTGGAAGGTACATTTTGGGTTTGAGGCTGGAACACAGCGGAACACTAAATTGTACTCTCTATGATCTTTCATAAAATCAGTATTAGCAATGTTTAGTTTTGGATTCTAAATTATTCAGAATCACACAAAAGAAACTTCAAGGCAATATTCACAATTTCACAAAGATAAATCAACAATTTCCCTCCAAAAGCTAACAAATAAATACAGTAGCATTTATGCAAAGATCATAGAGAAGACATTAATAATAAAGGACCACACTGGGTATTTTTTTTATCATGCATTTTTAGTGAAGCCCAACAAAAGGAAATTACCATAAGCAAACAAGAAGAAATGAAAACATGCAGAGAGAAATAGAAAAGGTGACTTTGAATGGATGTTAGTAGAAAAGTGGAAGAGGAATGGATTACAAGCACCACATGGGACAACTACACAGAATATTGTTTTTTTTTTCATCGCTTCCATAACTGCACTAACCTGGTGGTTCCCATCTGAGTGGGAAATGGGAGTCACTCAATATTTTAAGCATTATATTGCGGCCATATTTATGTGACTTCAAGCGACTGTTGAATTTTTTATGAAGACAAAATATCTTCAGTGAAAAGTAAATAAGAGAAGACATGGGTAAAAATAATGTTTTACCAAAATAAAGCCAAATGAAACATATTAAAAAGCCATGTAATGTCAAATTAGGCGATTTTGAAAACCTGAATGAAATGATGAGATTTACAGATTTCCACTTGAAATGACTGCTTTTTAATTATGTGTTTTTTGAATAAAGAGAAGTGATTTAACCTAATGTAAGTAAGTAAACTTTTCACTGCAGCTCTGAATACATTTGAAATCATCTGATAATATTAAAATAAAGTGCCATGGCATTTGTATGGAATGAATCTTTGGGCCAAATAGGAATCTAAGCCATGCTCTTTTAATTTTGTACATCATAAACTAGACCAAAGGGTGGATCAATTTGTTAAATGAGGCAGCACAAGAGAGGGAAATCGTGTGAGGGTGATGGGAGAAAGCATCGCGACTTGGACGAGGGAAAAACATACAGATATTGAAGCAAAATGGAGCAATGGTGTTAGTAGTAGTAGTGTATCGCAAATCAAATGGTAATGGATGGAGCTCTCAAACAATGAATTATTTGGCACATTATGAAATGATTCCCAAAAGGAAAAAGAAAAAGACATATTATTGTACTCCCAAAATTAAGAACACAAAAGATAATACATTTTCTTTTAATTTACTGGATTTGACTCTTACTTAAGCCACACTTTTATGAGTATTATTCCTTAAGGGTAGCAGCTATCAGTCTGACATTTGCTATCAAGTGCATATTCTGTGTTTGGCTGAAGGGGATGGGGTTTTTCATCATATTTAATTTATCGCACCTTTAAGCGAATGATTAAGTACATTTGGTGCTACATTTGAAGCTGGGCTTTTTTAATTCATGCTTTGGGAAAGTATAAAATTGTGTCCACTTGCCAAATCTCTATGCAATAGTAAAGCAAACACCAAAAAGACAATAGCCAAAGAAAGGGGATATTAATCTTTCCGATGTCATAGATGGCAGAAGAGTGCAAAACATTTTCACTTAAAAAGGTGCAAGTACAAGAAGAGAGAGCATGCATGGTGAAGAAATTAAGTTTAGATAACATAATAAAGAAAGATAACTATAATATTACCAGTTTGTGCCATAAATTTAGCAGAATCAGCCTTCTCCTGAAGTGCCTTTGTGTCATGTACTGATCTTGGCCGCTGACTTTTTACAGTATGCTCTCCGATCATTCCATATTCTACGGAACAAAATACATGTATATAAATGCTATGAATTAAACATATTTCAAAATTATTATTATTATTGTTACATATGTTGTTTTTTCATATTTGAGGCAATGGCTATTGAAACAAAGAACACACATTTACTGTCTAATAGAACAATGCAACGAGTTTTTATAGGGTGAGCTGGAAGTATTAAAATGCCCTTTGAAATCACATTGTAAACACATGGGTAAAAAACATGCAGATAGCAGCTATTTTTGTTTTGTTTAATACTGTTGTTGGAACGTACCAGCAGCATCGCAATCTCCCCACCCGCCCGCATGCCCCAAGGATAAAAAGTAAATAAAAAAAATTAAAGTAAAATGTGTGTAAGCCATCAGAAAGCCACAGAGGAGGGGGTCATGGACAGAACATGCTATTGATCCACAAATCCTGCTGTCCTTCTGAGGTTTTGGAAAAGTTGTATCTTCAAAGTTTGCTAAACCAGACAAATGTATTCTGAGCTGTATTTTCGTAGAGTGCATGCCCTCTTTGCTTCCCACAAAGGGTCAAAGAGACAATGATGTTCTGACGCCACACTGGAGAAAGTAATGCAAGCAGAGGTTTCTCGAATTTCAACCAACTTGTATACATTATTTGGTGAAATAGCTATTGCTGTCAGCTATTATTTGCAATAGTATAGCAAGCATTACTTTTGGCAGTGTGGTCCCAATGAGGTGGTTTTGTTCCAATAGGCAATGTGGGTGATGCACCAACAGAGTCACACAAAGCTTATGTTAGTACATAGGACAATACATCAGCCATTGACATGGAGTTCTTTCATGATGATTACTGTATTTTGAATGTCCAATTACTTTTACACTATATTTGTGTATATTGGAAGGCAAATATTACTGTTTGGAAAGTGTTCATTGCTTCTTTTGTACACCAAGTATATAGAAAAGAGTCCATGAGAATAACGCAAGGTTGAACAGATCTAGTAAAGTTGGACTACCCCTGACAAAAATCATATAAGAGGAAAAGTCTAATACAAAAGAATCATGGATTTAAAGTGGACTGCCAAGCCTAATTAAAAGAGAGACATGTCATGGCCACTGATCTACAAAGGGCAGCAGGTAAGAACAACATCTCATCCCTCTGATGCCTGTTGGGATGATCTGAGTCACAGCTAACAAGCCAAGGCTACACATGGAAAGGTCACATGTTACATCCAGTTTGTTCACTTTAAGAAAAAGAGCAGGGTCTGGACTGAAGGCTGGGAATCTGCTGCTGGCCCCTGACAAACAGCAGGAGGCCATTCTTACGTCCATGAAAAGGCTAACTACCCCTGTGGACCGCCCGCCACCTCTCTTTTCTCTGTTTCATTTGACGTGTCCCGTGGTGTGTTTGATAGGAGGACGGCCCCATAGCGGGAGGATTAAACGGGTGATCTGACAAATTATGGGGGGAAAAAATAAAAAGACTAGAAGTGATTACTATTTGAACAAGATACTGTACAGTATCACTTTGAGATGTGGGTTTATGAACGCACCTGGTAATTATTTACCTTTGCCCGCTGAGGTTCTCATATTATGGACAAAGAAGAAACATGCAAGCACCTGTAATAACCCCTACTAAGTGCTCATTACCAAACTCAAATTAACTAATGAATTGCAAAACAAAATCAGTATTAACCTCACTATTTTTTACATTTTTGGTACAGTCACAAGTTTTGTTCTTACAGGTGTTTTTTGTCTGAAAGATCCATGTGAGTCACAATATGATGCAGTGGGCAGAGAGCTGATCATTGGTGCTTGCACTGTCCTCATATTTTCCGTCTGTTAACCTGTCTGGGGTGAATAGTAACATGGTACAATCAGGTTGCATTAATGTGACATCACAACATTTGAGAGCTTCTAGTTTAAAATTCTGGTGGAAGGCAGCTGAAAAATTGTGGTAACTATGGTAACTGTGAAAAGTTTTGAGCGACTGAAACGAACTCCTGGGCCAATTCACATCCACTGGGTAACAACTAAAAACATAACCATGATTTTGGCAAGAATATTAGAAGACATAAGAATACTTTGGTAGGTTTGTGAATCTACTATCAAATAATGATCTAAAAAATTATTTAGACATATTGTCAACGTCACTTTTGAAAATTTCGTCTTTCCCATTGGGTTGGTACTTCCCCTCTGACTGAAATAGGAATCTAGACCATGAATTTGACCTATTTAAATCCTTTCTTCAGTTTAAAAATCAGGCCCCCGAGCTTTAAAGAGAAAGACATTCAGCTCAAACTAAGCTTAAGTGTTTCCCATAAAGTCAAATGTGATTTCCACATATGCCCTTTAGATAGACCCTGGTAACGATCGTCTGAAACGTCTACTCAGCCCCTTCTGTTGTGATGTCAGCCCTGCAGTCAGCCACACACCACCGTGCGTCACCCTCTTCGTCGCAGAAGTGTTTTAATCACGCTGTATTCATCAGTCTTGAAGATGCAGATCTCGAGCAAACACATGGGAGCCTAAAGGTAGAGTGTGCGGAGGAGACACCCTCACAACAAGCCCGGCTCTTTCACTTATTCAAGCCCGTAGCCATAGCATCACAGTAAACATGAGAGACAAAGCAGACTTTTAATAACTGAGGCGGGATGAGAGAGCCATTTGTCACAGCAGCCCAAAACAATGTGTCTAGAGTGCGTTACATCGCAGGACGCAGAGGAGGCAGGTAGTGTGTCATCATTTAAACTTGTTTTTCTGGATTTTTGTTTTGTATTTTGGCTCAAGACATATTACTTTTTTATTTTCCACTTGATTATTTTGCATCAGTTGTCATATCTGAATTCATAAAAATGCTATACTCTGCTATACATCAAATAAACTAAGAAAAAGACGAGGTTTTATGTAATTTTCCTACTTCAGAAGATCCAGACCATCAATATCTTAATGTAATTTTTTTCTGATTGCTATAGTATATGACAGATCCATTACTGTTTTGTTCATGGATTTGTTTTTCTTCATTGGACTTGCACCAGTGTTTGGAGATTATATAAAATGTGTTTTGTTAATATTAGATTTACTGTATGTTATAAGCTTTTGGGAATATCAATATCTGAAAAATGGCTTGAAGGGTTTGATGCATTCTCACTGAATCTGGAATAAAAGTTAGGATTTGCACTGTGCATATGTCCCACCGAACACAATTTCTTTGGGGAAAAAACAGAAAAGTACCAGCATTATTATTAGATACAGCCCATGGCAAGAAAAACAACATCAGGAAGTCAGATGCGTTTTTGTATCTGCACAAAATTACTTTTGCAAACTAAGCTATTGTTTTGTCTGAGTCCACTTATATTACCTCTTATCAATGTTGTATCATTGACTATCATTTCAGGTTAACATTGATATATGTTATGTGTAGTGGTGGTCATAATATAATTATCCTTGTTTTACTTTCTCTTGGCGACGTCATTGCTTGACTTCAGTTATAAAAAACTAGCATGAGTTGTATCACTAACGCAACATGCCATTGAAATAATAATTCAACATACTTTCATGCACCAATTGTAACCTTTACATGCATATTTAAAACAACATGCATCAGTGAGACTAGGCTCTAAATAATACAGGGACAAGGGTGGCGAATGCTGCTTGATTAAGTGGACTTATTTGCAATATATGGCTCACTATATGAGCAGAACTTCATGTATTACATTGACTGATTCATTCATTATTCATTGATTGAGAGGCATGGAGCATTAACAATTTATATTGTGGAGTATCTTTCTGTCAGGCCATGCAGAAAGTACAGGGTCATATGTTTCAATGGATGGAGTTAAATGCAATAAATGTAGCAGTGATGTATCTCAGTAAGCTAAATTCTAAAAAAATGTTTTATTTCTGATGATAAATAGATCCAATAATAATTTCATAATTAAAAAGACATTGCTCAGTGTGAGTTTTCTTTGTAAAAAAAAAATGTATTTACAAGTTTCAGGAAGTTGTAAAATTAAGTGTGAGAATGACTGAGCGTGGAGAGGATATTTTCGGTTCTAATTCAGAACATTTGGTTTGGACTAAGTACCTGACCAAAATGTCTCTCTGTATGACTCACTCAAAGTTTCTTTTCCATTCTAGACATAATCCTGTGGACATAGCAAATAGGAGAGAATACTAATTCACTTGCTTCAATTAGCTTTAAAAGTGGATCTCTGGGGATAGACTGGTGGCTGCTGTGAAGAAAAGGTCATATTTGGCAAAAATGTGGGCTCTCATAACAGGGCTGTGGACTGTGACCTGCACATGACACAATGAGGTCTGGACTTCACACACACTCAGTCACCAGTGTCGCAGCTAAACCAACACGGAGCGCCTGTGTTCACGTCAGCTCACGGCATAGCGAAGAATGAGACAAATCAAGACTTCTAATATGATTTGATAGCTGTGGTAGGTGCTCTAACACAAAGGGGTAAAAGTCAAATCTCAAAGATGCAGTATCCCTTTGGGGAAAAAAAAAAAACTATTGATGACTCCTGATCTCCCAGATTGTCCATGGCAAAAAAGATCCTACATGTGTGCACTGGCAGGGGTGATACTGATACCCCACCACAGGTTTCTGAATAATTCAATAATGGTGGATAGCTGAGGCCACAGATGCCTTGGGTCAGGTTGAGATGGGACAAACATCTATCAAATATCTGTTCCACTGGCAATGGGCAAAGCTAATACTCAATTGCCAGATTAGAGTGAACATATCTCTCCTGTGATAGTGGGGTTCCCCTCTGGACACAAAGCTTCTTTGAGCCATCAGTGCTCAGTGAGCTTAATTAGAGTCCACATTTACAAAGAGATCCATCCTTGGATTAATTACTGTCCCACATCTGACTTCGTGCCGTACACTGGGCACACAAATAGGGACAGTGTACAAAATCAAAGTCTGCTGAAGTTCCCTGGGTGCGTGACCTTTGTCGTCAGGCCCCTTTGATCCACTGCATGCAGGGAATTTAAAAGCTTAAGCACCGGTGCAGATCACA